AGTGTTGAGTGTTGAGTGTTGAGTGTTGAGTGTTGAGTGTTGAGTGTTGAGTGTTGAGTGTTGAGTGTTGAATGTCGAGTGTTGAATGTCGAGTGTCAAGTGTCGAGTGTTGAGTGTTGAGTGTCAAGTGTTGAGTGTTGAGTGTTGAATGTTGAATGTTGAGTGTCGAGTGTTGAGTGTTGAATGTTGAGTGTCAAGTGTCGAGTGTTGAGTGTCGAGTGTCGAGTGTTGAGTGTCGAGTGTTGAGTGTCGAGTGTCGAGTGTTGAATGTCGAGTGTTGAGTGTCGAGTGTTGAGTGTCGAGTGTCAAGTGTCGAGTGTCGAGTATCGAGTGTTGAATGTCGAGTGTTGAATGTCGAGTGTTGAATGTCGAATGTCGAATGTCGAATGTCGAGTGTCAAGGGTCAAGTGTCAAGGGTCAAGAGTAAAGGGTCAAGAGTCAAGAGTCAAGAGTCAAGTGCGAGTGCCAGCAGTGAACAAAGAAAAGTTGCATGCTGTGTTATCTCTCCGGGACTATGTACTTTGCAACTAGCGCCTGGCCGTCTTCTCCTGCTCCAGCTCCAGCTCGGCCTGGCGGTAGTACTTGGCCGTGTCGACGCCGTGGTAGGGGTGGTTGACCAGGTTGGGCCACGGCAGGACGTGCGCGAATGAGGCGGCGTAGCGCGAGTTGCGGTGGGCGACGCCCTGCATGTACTCGGTCATCTCGGTGGTGCCGTACAGCGGCTCGCCGCGCTTGACCTTGTCGACCATCTCGCGCATGTCCTTGTCGACCTCGCGGCGGTTCTCGCGGGCGCCGTAGAAGCGGGCTGTCTTGAGGTCAGCAGAGCACTCCCCATTGCGCCTGTGGAGCCACTCGGGCCAGTCGTGCGCGGGCACATACATGCGGAGCGCGAGTACGCGAAGATGACGGCGCCAGCAACACCGACGGCGCCGCTCAGGCGCATGACGGGGGCGAAGCCGCCCTTGCCGACAAACGAGGGCGAGACGCGCTCCCAGTACAGCATCAGCCCGGGGCTGATGGCACCGACGGCGGCGCCCGTGAGCCAGTCGGACGGGCGGGCATAGCGCAGGACGCGCGAGAGGTGTCTTCGGGGCTGGTCAGTACGAGCGCGCAGGCGAGCGGGGCCGAGGGGAGGGGGTGCGAGGGCTGCGAGGGATACGAGGGGTACGAGGGGTACGAGGGTACGAGGGCTGCGAGGGCTGCGAGGGCTGCGAGGGCTGCGAGGGCTGCGAGGCATACGGGTCGTTGTCGATGAGCTGCAGCGGATTAGCAATGTGCGCCCGATGCGCGACGCGGCGGACGGCCATTGCGTACCGGGTACTCTCCAGTGGGGACCTTGTCTGGCACGACGGCCTGGTGCCTGACAGCGGCGTCCTGCGAAGACATTGTGCGTTGCTGGCGGCGAGCGGGCAGCCGAGACGGGCGACGAGCGAGGTTGCTGGTGATGGCTGGCCCATGCGCGAGCCTTGCCGACCATGACGGCAAAAGATTCACGCGCGCCAAGCCCGCCCGACATGTGCAGCGCCGCCGTCGCGACGGTCGCGACCAGCTAGCAACGCCTGCGGATTTTCTGCAGCAGCCCGACCGCACCACCGCACATGGACGGCGCAGAGCGAACCCCGTCCGGCGCGGAGGGCGACACGGCCCCGGCCCCGGCCACGGCCTCGCTCCACGCCCGCCCTACCGTCGCCGACCTGCACGGCGAAGGCCACTTTGCGCAGGTCGCCCGCAAGCACTGGCTGGCGGCAAAGCAGCCGCCCAAGGTGCGTCCAGAGGTGCTCAAGAAGGACCTGTGGGACGAGCTGCAGCGCGTCGACTTTGCCTACTCGTCGCTGCTTGTGCTCGAGAACCTGCAGCTGCTCGAGCGCTACCTGTGGCCCGCCTTCACCGAGGATGCCTCCCACCACCACCACCTGCTGCTGGCCCTGATGGTCAACGTCAAGCGGAGGGAGAGCCTGCCGTCGTGGGGTACGTCGCGCCTCTCTGCGCCCGTGGGCGTCGCACTGACAGGCCGCCAGATCACTTCGCCAGCAAGCCCGACGCCTTTGCCTCGTTCTTCCGGCGCATTCTCTCCCTGACGGTCGACGCGTCGCAGCCCACGCAGATGCGCACCCAGCTGGTGTCGCTGGTCATTGGCGCGTTCCAGTCGCTGGACAGCGGTCTCGTGCGCAAGGAGTGTGCGCCGCTCGTGGGCATATCGATATGGCACAACCTCCACGCCGACGCGGCGCGCGAGCTGCAGTTTGACCAACACCACATGCTGCGCAAGGCATGGCGCGCCTCGGGGAAGCGCTTCGACGCAGCAGACGAGGCGCTGCAGGCCAGGCTGCGCTTCGAGCGATCGTGGCTGTACACGCTTGTCCTGGACTTTATCGACCGCCTGTACGGCAGCAGCACAAGGCAAGAAATGGCCGACAACCTGGTGTACTGCGAGCGATTCGTAGAGCTCCTGACCGACTTGCAGAGCCAGCTGCCAACCAGGCGATACGTCAACACGCTGTTGAAGGACCTGAACCTGCTGCCTGCCGTCAGGCTGTCGCCCATGTACGCAGCCGAGGACAACGGCCTCTTCCGCGATCTCTACAGCCTGCTCAGCCACTTCACCCATTTCGCCATCGAGGACCAGTCCGGCAAGCAGCTGTCGAGGCTGGAGTACGACCAGCAACACTACGATACGCTCGCCAAGCTGCAACGCATAGCCTACGCTACCTTCCAGCAGAAGCTGCAGCTGATGGCGCTGGCAAACTTTGCCAGCCTTGGCGACCGCGTTGAGCTGGACGGCCACTTGCGCACGTTGAGCGACGACGAGCTCAGAGAGCTCTGCTCGCTCATGGGTCTCCGTACCGACTACCCAGGCTCGACGTCCCTGGTTCGCGACCGGGCTTTCTACATGGAGACGCTCGTCTCGCTGGTCGAGCAGAGGCCCATGTTCAAAGACACCGTCCGCGACATGCCCGTTCTGCCCACAGAAAAGATGCTCTACGAAACCACGTTCCTTCGAAACGAGGCGTACAACGGATCGCGGCCCCTCGCCATACCGAAGCTGAACCTGCAGTATCTGACCATGGGCGACTTCTTGTGGAGGTCGTACGTCCTGTACCGCGCCGAATCCTTCTACGGCATCCGAAAGGACATGGAAGATGTCGTCAAGCGTGTGCAGCCGCGGGGGAAGGGCGCCAACACCAAGTTTGGTGGCTTTTCTCGCATGTCCATCCCCATCAGTGCGCCGGGCATCGTCGACGTTGCCCCTCCCAAGGTCGGAGACAAGCATCCTGCCTACGTGCGCGCAGAGATTGTCCTGGACGTCAGCCGTCTGCAGCTGCCAGTGCGCAGGGAATGGGAGTCGCTGAGGCCGGATGACGTGGTCTTCCTCCTGACTGTCCAAGGCAAGGACGATGCGCCCCTGAGCAACGGCCACGGCGATGCAAACACAGGCGAGCAAGCTGGTCTGCAAAGGCTGAGATGTGCCCAGGTCGTCCAAGTGCTGGACGACAACGGCCGGCCTTTGCGTGACCAGGCACAGAACGGCGACTTTGCTCCCCGAGCGCGATCACGGCGCCTCGTGGTCAACATTGACGCGAAGCAGTATCAGGCCGACATGGACCATGTCGCACAAGGCCGACCCAACACGTACGAAAACATCAACATGATTGCTCGTCGTAGGGGGCGGGAGAACAACTTCCTGCCCATTCTCGATTCAATCAAACGCCTGACCTTGTCCGACATTCCCGCACCGTCGTGGCTGCACGAGGTCTTCCTGGGCTACGGGGACCCTTCCTCTGCGACCTACACTCGCTTGCCTAACCGGCTGCAGTCAATCGACTTCCGCGACACGTTCTTGGACTGGCAGCACCTGGTCGAGTCCCTGCCTGGAAAGACAATAGAACCCGCAGAAGACGCACAAGGCGCCTTTGGGCCACCGTACGTCGTCAAGTACCCTGCACCCGCCGAGCCTGCCGCCGCGCCTGCGAAACCTTCCAAAAAGCGGCGTCGCGACCAGGTTGAGGTCGCGCAGCCTGCACACGAGTCTCTGCATGTCGACACTTACAAGCCCCCGAACATGGGCCCGTACCCTGCAGATGCTCTCAAGCAGAATGCAGTAAGGTTCACCCCTGCGCAGGTCGAGGCCATCACTTCTGGCACGCAGCCTGGTCTGACGGTCGTGCTCGGCCCGCCGGGAACCGGAAAGACGGACGTCGCGACCCAGATTATATCTAATATATACCACAACTTTCCGGGCCAGCGAACCTTGCTTGTTGCGCACAGCAATCAGGCCCTGAATCAGCTGTTCCAGAAGATCGTCGCGCTCGACATCGATGCCCGGCATCTGTTACGCCTCGGCCATGGAGAGGAAGATCTCGACACCGAGGCTAGCTACAGTAAGCATGGCAGGGTCGAGTCCTTCCTCGAGAGAGGCGCATACTACCTCGCAGAAGTCGATCGACTCGCGAAGAACTTTGGAGCGCCAGGTGCACATGGCCAGTCGTGCGAGACGGCGGATTATTTCAACCTGGTCTATGTCAAGCCTGCCTGGACACAGTACTGGGACAGCATCACATCAGAAGAGACCAGTGTCGAGCAGATAGTCGCCGGGTTCCCGCTCAAGGACTACTTCTCAAATGCGCCGCAGCCCTTGTTCCCGCCCGAAGCGGACCGCGAGCAGGCTCTTGATATCGTTCAAGGCTGCTATCGTCATGTGGAGAAGATCTTTACAGAACTCGAGGACATTCGTCCGTTCGAGATTCTGCGCAACCCTCGCGACAAGGCCAACTACCTTCTCGTAAAGGAAGCCCGCATCATCGCCATGACCTCGACGCACGCCGCCATGCGGAGACAAGAGATTGCATCTCTGGGATTCCACTACGACAACGTCATCATGGAGGAAGCCGCCCAGATCACCGAGATTGAGAACTTCATCCCGCTCGCTCTCCAGAACCCGCAGAACGGCGAGCTGCCCCTCCAGCGCATCGTTCTCTGCGGCGATCACCTCCAAAACTCGCCCATTATCCAGAACCTCGCCTTCAGACAGTATGCAAACCTCGAGCAGTCTCTGTTCCAGCGCCTCGTCCGCCTCGGCGTGCCCACCATCGTGCTCGACCAGCAGGGCCGCGCCCGCCCCTCGATCGCAAAACTCTACAAGTGGCGCTACCCGGCACTCGGCAACCTGCCCTCTGTGCTCAGCGCGCCCGCCTTCCAAGTCGCCAACGCGGGCTTCAAGCACGAGTTCCAGTTCATCAACGTGCCGGACTACAAGGGCAAGGGCGAGGCAGAGCCGACGCCGCACTGGCTCGTCAATCTGGGCGAGGCCGAGTACGCCGTCGCGCTGTTCATGTACATGCGGCTGCTCAACTACCCCGCGCACAAGATCTCCATCCTCACAACGTACGCCGGCCAGCGCGGCCTCATCAACGACATCCTCAACGCAAAGTGCAGAGACCACCCCTTCTTCGGCCGCCCCAAGATCGTCGCCACAGTCGACAAGTACCAGGGCGAGCAGAACGACTGTAAGTTTCCGCGGAGCTCAACCTTTTACGCAAGCTAACCCCGTCAGACGTCATCCTCTCCCTCGTCCGCACCCGCGCAATCGGCTATCTGCGCGACGTCCGCCGCCTGACCGTCGCCCTGTCCCGCGCCCGCCTGGGCCTGTACATTCTCGGGCGCCGCGCCGTCTTCGAGGCCGTCTTCGAGCTCAAGCCCGCCTTCGACATGCTCCTGTCCCGGCCAGACGAGCTCGCGCTCGTCACGGGCGAAATGTACGCCGAGACGTCCCGGCCCGTGGGCAAAGGCGATGCGGATGCAGCTGTTGACGGCGAGGCGGTTATGACGGGGTATGAGCATCTTGAGCAGTATGTGCGCGGCATCACGGCGGCGAAGATTGAGGCGCTGAAGGCCGGCGGCGGGCAGCTGCCGACGCGCGAGGTACGGATGCTGGATGGCGGCGACGAGCTTGTGGATCGGGAGGACATGGTGCTTGTGCGCGAGGAAGCGGTGGGGGAATTCGGCAGCGAAAATGACGACGAGGACGTCGTGTAGGACTCAGTTGGCGTGGTGCAAAAGTAGGCGTTTGTTCGTTCATGTTCATACCAGATACCAGTCCCGTAACAGCGTTGTATCGGATGCTTTCCGTCCATATCCACACACGCCCAAGTCCCACATTGTATTTACCCCCCTGCACACGACCCACGCCGCAGCAAGCTCCGCGCCCTATCTCGGCGCCTTCCTGCTCTTCAGATACGCACTAACCTGCTCAACATGCGTGATGAAAAACATCCTCTTCTCATCACTGCTCCACTTGAGCACACCACACTCATCAGCGTACTTCTTAACATCTCTATACTCGGCCAGCGAACCAAACTCGCGCATCAAATACCCCGTCTCTGTCTCGACGCGCTCGCCCTCGTACTCCCACAGGCGGATCTGGTCCATGACGGTGGGCGGGAGGAACGTCGTGTTCTTCTGCATCTGCGGGTGTGCGTGCGTCGTCAGGTACGAGATGATCTGCGCCGAGGTGATGCCCTGTGCTACCGCGCGGTGGACCGATTCCTTGGTTAGCTTGCCCGAGATCAGGTTCGGGAAGCGGTGCTGTAGCTTGCAGAACAGCGAGATGATGGCCATTTGGATTAGTGAGCTGGTGTATGCGTAGAGGCGGTAGTTTGTCTCGATGATTATGAAGCCTTGGCTTGCGGACGAGCTGGAGCTGGTGCTGCTGCTGGAGCTTGAGGAATTGAGACCGCCGGATTCAGATGTTAGGGTTGTTGCGAGCCGGGTTGGGTAGAAGATCTTGGCGTCTTTGCTCGAGCGGAAGACGATGCCCATTGCTGAGAGGTCATCGAGCATCTGCAGTTGGGTGGCGGTGAGGGTCGAGGTTGAGTAGGCTTGGCCGAGCTCGAGGGAGCCGAGCATGAAGAGGAAGGAGAGGACGTCTGTTTCATTCATCCCGAGCTGCCCGGTATTAGCAGTGACTTCATGTATTGATAGACGTGCACTTGCATCGTTGACCATTCTCAGGTACACAATCAACAGGTTCCAGACCTGCGCGTTCGTCTCTTGCAAAACAAACGTGAACCCCTCCTTGGTGATGCGCGGTTGCCCTTGCCAGGTCCTGACCAGATCTCCGGCATGCAGTAGCTTCTTGGTTCCCGCACCCATGTCTGATTTGACATCCACACCCGCAGCACCGCCGACCATGTAGAACAGGATTGTCTCCCACTGTGCCCTCGCATGCTCGTCCAGATACTCGATGCTGACCCTTCTCTCGCCTCTGCTCTCCTCTGCTGTGGCAGACACGCCAAAGGAGCCATCCCTCCCAGAGCCCTCCAGAGCATGTCGCAGACTGCGTTTGAAGCCCGGAGAGAGCGAGTAAGTCTTCCTGCCGTCGTCTTCCTTTGCAGCATCGAGGATGTGGAGTTGGGCGAGAACGAACAGGGCGTGCGATTTCTCACGAGTCGCGCCGGGCTTGAACCACGCATTGACTTGCGATTCGGGGAACGAGGTGGGCATGTAGAGCATTGCCATTACCAGCGTCTTCGCTATTGTTACATGTCAGCTATCGGACGCGGCCATATTAGTACGAATACATACCAAGATGGGGTAGCATGCAGCGAAACACCGCCAGCACTGTCGCAGGTGCCTCATAGAGCTTCCGGTGCGTCTGTAGAGGCAGGCCCTGGAGGTATTCGAGCGCCTGGGAGGATGACGGCGCCGACATTGTTGCGATTGGATTGTTGTTCGCCGTACTACCGTACTATCATCATCCTGCAGCAAGACGGCGGACCAGACGCATCAGTTGCGCTCTGCGTGGTGCGAAAGGTAAAGTTCGAGAGCCATCGCTGCCTTCTGACGATCATGACGCGCCAAGGACACCGGAGCCCCACATGCACGTCCGCTCCGCCCCCTGCTTAGCTCCCGCTCGAATCCCAGAGCTTCGTGCAACTGCCCAGACCGTCGCTCTGATAACACGAGGGTAAAGTCGCCACAATGCCTGCACTCAAGTTTGTCCGATCTGTGAGCTTCTGCATCATTGAATTGATGGCTTGAAGGAGATACTGATCAGCTCGGTAGGTCTGGGAGTCGTTCCGTGCCAACTCCGGCCTCGAGCCAAGGTACGTTGCTTCGATGCTGAAGGTCGAGCATTGCTGATCAAGCAATTGTAAAGGCTTCTGGATGGTGTACGTCTTGCAGTAATTTCCAACATGCGTGAGCTGGAGCCTGATCGCTGACGTTGTGCTGTCCAGCTTCGCGTGACCTCGGCTACTCCTGGGCGCGTCAAGTTCGAGCTTGACATCCAGAAGGAGCATACTGTAAGATGACCAGCATCGAATACCTGATTGAGTGCTGAATCGTGTCTAGAATCGACTGAACATTCTTCATGGAGGCACGATAGCTAGCATGGTGGACCTGGGTGGCTCGTTGGCCGTGGCATCTCGCGGTCTCTTCGCTACTGGTGTCTCAACCGATCTGAACGTCACCTACCTGGCATCTGGTGGCAAGATCGGTGATCTAATCAAAGCTGAGGTGACTTGCGATAAGTGTATGCTGCACGCAGATGGAATGGGGATTAAAGCTGACATCAAGCAGTCGGCAAGACCCTGGCGTATACATCGATCAACTTCAGCAACAACAAAGGAGAGGTGTTCGCACGAGGTAGTCATACGAAATATGTTGCACGAGCATGGGAAGACCCAAACAACATCGTAGAAGAGCTGTCGCCCAAGAAGGCTGAGAAGAAGGGCTAGACTCGCAATGCTACCTGTACCATGTTGATTGGTCTCACACGTGTGCCCGTGCAGTATCAGTCGAAACCACCGTTTACTTCACCTCGATTCAAAATGTCGTGCCCTCTTCGCCAGGATTACGGTTGCAGCTGCGGGCCGTCAAGCTGATTCGTCGCCACGCCCACCAATCTCACGCACCCTGCCCTCAAGCTGAATCGAGAAATGCTTGTGTGCTTCAAAACAGTAGATCAAGAGGGAGGCCGGGTTGGGCAGACTGTTCTTACTACAACAAGTTGTCATCTCCCATCTCTGTTGCTCGCAAAACTCCACTGCCTCCGTCTCTGACCAGCATCCGTCTGCGACCTCGTCGGCAACGCAGACCCATTCGGTGCTTCCAACGCTCTGCTGCGACTAACAGTCCTCACAATCCTCTCCATAGCACTCTCTCCACCATCGCCCATCCTCCGCCTCTGCTCATCAGCAGTCTGCTGTTTCCATCCGCCCTCGGTGCGATCCTCCTGCTTCTGCGGCCAGAGGATCTGGTGTATCAGTACCGCCCTGATGTTCATAACCACGACAAACATCCACATCATGATCAGCGCAACCGTCATTGCACACCCCACATATTGAATCGTCCGATTTCCATTCAGCGCCCGTGCAACCGCAAACGTGCTCGTCGTCAGCGCCGTGTTGGGGAACACAAACGAATACCACGTCATGGCAAAGTCCATCTTGCCTCTCCGCGCGCAGCTCCAATGCGCGCCGACGCTGATGAAGAAGAACCACAGCGCGAGGCCCCAGAGCCAGAGACCCACAAAGTTCGCCATGATCATGCCAACGCGGCCGGCGAGCTCGCCGTTGCCAGCGCCCATGAAGTCGCTCGGCACGACTTGGGGCAGCTCCTGGCCCATCGTTACGATCCCGGCGATGGTGAAGCCGCTGGGTCCTACGGAAATGAACATGCCCGGGCGGAGGGACTCTTTGGGGAGCTTTTGCGTCATCAGACGGTAGATGAAGGCGGCGTAGATCATGAGGCTGACGAGGAAACCGATGCCTTGTATGATGTATCCGCCGAGGATGATCTGTAGCGCGGTCTCGGGGTCCTCAACTTTCGGCGCGAGAGACCCAGCATGAGGCCCGATGATGAGGAGGGGATAAGCTGTCGTCGCGTCAGTAATTCCCCAACCAACAAAGTCCACCGAACGTACCGGGAAAGATCCAAATCGGCGTCATCTGGTTAATTGTAAACGTCGTCGTCGACCACATGATCAGATAAATCCCCAGACTAAACGTAACCGCCAACCCACAATCAACCCAAAACAGCACAATCATCGTATGCTGCAGCCACGTCGTGTTGCCCACCATGCCGACGCCGTACTGTGACACATTCATCATGATGATGCCGAAGCTCACAATCGCAGCGGGGATGAACAGGCTCTCTGTCGGATGCAGAAAGCTTGCGCGGAACGTGCGCGGATAGAAATAAAACCGCATGCTGATCATGGCCACGTTGAACAGGAACAGGAACAAGTTCAGCAGGAAGAAGACGACACCGATGGCGTACAGGCCGCGGAACCGGAAGGGCACGGCGTACAGCACGTTTGCGATTCCGCCCGTCGCCATGGTCAGGCAGAACCATGTCCACGTGAAGTGGCGGATGCGCTCGCGCCAGGGCAAGACCGTGTGGCGGCGGTCTGGGACGGGGAGCTGTGCGGGTTCGGCGAGGGCTTCTTTTTCTGCATCGCCTATGTCGGGGCCGGGGACGTTGCCGTTTCCTCCAAGGGTTGCGTCGGTGCGAGGACCTTGGTGGCCAATTCGGGGGCCGGTGTCTTCGTCGATGTCTTCGCCGCTGCTCTCGTCTGGTTTTTCGTTTGAGCCGTTAGGTGTTGGAGGGGGTAAGTTGGCCGCCAAGTCGTCGAATGGATCGCGCTCTACATGCTGTGGTTCAGGCGTGAGCACGTGAGCGTGGTTTCGCCAGCGGCGCCGGTCGGCAGCGCTGGAGATGGTGTCGATGCTTGCTCTGCGTGTCTCATCTGGGTGTAGTCGGGCGGTGTAGAAAGTCTCCTGTCGCTCGTTCATCGCGGTGTCCAGCGACGGTGGCGAGCCCCAGGCATTGGCAAAGGCGAATCAAACAGGACTGATGACTATTGAGGCTAGAACAGTGTTCGGCGAGCGGGAACTAGCGGTTCGTGTGGAGTTTTCTGGGCGCTGACGTTTCGTTCTCGAGATTCGCCGAGCTTTGGACCGTGGAGTTGAATGCTGTAGGGAGTCATGTTTAAGTATGTCAACATAAATCTTGCACATGCGACACACATGTGCCCCGCCATTCTCTCGAATACGGAAACACAAGTGAACATCGCAGAGACTGGAGCAATGGCGTTGTTGAGTGCACAAATAGCGTATCCACTATCCGGCTAGCGATCCGGCTTATCTCCAGGCGTCCTCACCTCGTAGACAACTGTTGAAGATTTGTGATGAGTGTGTAACAGTCAGTCATGGCTACGTAAAAGTAATACAACCCATACAGAATGCAAGACTCGCGATACATGGAGTCTCGGGCCCAAAATCCCAGAACACCCGCAAATGCTGTTCGCTGTTTGTACGCCATAATGGTACAGGCAAATGCCACAAAGCCCTGTCCCACCCCCTGATACGCCAGCCATACCATACGTTTCATCTTTCCACTAGTAATACAGCCCAGGTCCGCCGACTGCTTACCAGAAACTGCACCAACCAATATAATGCTGACACAAGTTCTCCAGATTCGTCGCTTCCTTGATCAGGCGATCGACTTGCATCTGGAAGTTCAGCTCCTCTCCGGGCCTGAAGTCTTTACCGGTGAGCTTCTCCTTGACGCGCGACAAGACCTGTAGAGCGCGCGCGTTCTGCACTTCCTTTGCTTCTGCTTCGTTGGGCGGCGCGATGCTCGACCTGTGTCGATTCCGCACCATCGAACCCATATCGGTGATGTCGCCCATAATAGATTGGCGGCGCTCAGAGGGGAAGTTGGGTTCGGGAGGAGAGTCGCCACGATTGCCAAGGCGCCATGTGAGGAGAGGATCGTGTATGAACTGAAGGACGTTAGTATCGATGAGGGACCTCTGCGTGGGATAAGGTAGCGACTTACAGCTTCGAGCACAGCCATGACAGACTCCTTGTTGTCTCTCAGCACTCGCATGACGTGCTCGCACGTTGTCCTGTAACTTCCTTCGATATTGCTGACCTCCATGGCGTACGTCAACATGCGCGTGAGACGGAACGGCACGCGCTCAGGGTACTTCTCGCGGTGCATAGCGACCTCGAAACAATCACCGAAGTCGATATGCACAATCTTGCCAGTCACTCGGTCGAGCATCAAGTTAGACGGGTGACGATCACCGAGGCCAAGAATGTAACCGACCATCGACATGACGGCGAGCGAGCGTGTGTAGTTGGTACGGCGGTCAAGCCAGGCTTCAGAGCTCTTGCTCTTGAGCCAGAGTACGCGGTACAAGTCTTGACCAGTGGTATTGTCGAGTGCGTACCCGAAGACTTCCACCTTCTGCATGAGAGTAAGGCAGTCGTAGTCCGGAGCCATCTGCAGCATAATACGATGCTCGATGTTAAGAAGAATCTTTCTGCTATCACGGTACTCTCTGATGAGAACGTGCAGGGTATCACTGTTTGGTACAAAGCCGAGAAGACCGGACTGCGTGCTAAGCGGCACAGCTGCATAGCGCTGAATGTTGAGGTGTCGCTTGCGCGACTCGACGTCGTTGGCCAGGAGAGTGTTGCAGAGACCGAATAGTTGCATGACACGCTCGTCCTGACGAATATCTTCGTGGCCTTTGAGAATATGGGTATGTGGCTTGCCATCGCTGCCCTGCATCTCCAGCTTACGGGGCCGCTGCTTGGACTGGATAACAGAGGCGAGGGGATCGAAAGAGATGATACGAATAACTGGCTTGCCAACCTGGTATGTTCCCGGAACAGCGAGCTCGAGATCATGAGCGTCCTTGAGCTTTGGTGAGACATATTGCAGCTCAAGGGACATGAGAGACGGTAGCTGGCGGGCGATCTTGCGGAACACCTGGTAGTAGAGATCCCATGCCTGATTGAGATCGCCTATTTCCCCAGAGGTCCTGAACGTGTTGCACCAGTCGCGAGCCTCTTGGAGCTCGCGGCCAAAGGATTGGATAAAGCTTATTTCGCGTAACGTTTCTGGACCTTTGTCGAGCATCGCGTGTAGTGGCGCCAACGTTGCGAACATGCCGTCTATGTTATGATCGCCGAAGTACAGTCTACTCGCTTCCTCGAGACCCTCGTGCCACTGCTCGTGCCAGAGCACAGCGATGCGAATGAGTTCGTGGCTGACAAGATCGGCCTGTTCGACAAGAAGAGGAGAGTGCTCGCGCATTGCCTCCATGAGCTCTTTGGCGGATCTCTGGCGCCTCGAGACGTCCGACTTCATACTGACAGTCAAGGGGAAGACAAGAGCTTGTGGATGCGCTTTGCCGACCTCAATTAGGAGCTGATGGATCGACTGGCGCACAGTAGGGTTAGGTTGGTTGATGCGAGCGAGCAGCTGTGGAATGACCTCCAACCAGGTATCGATCGGTACTGACTTGGTTCCTTCGGTGATCGTCCTATTGACCTCCGGAAGGCCGCCGTGCATGAACCACAGCGTAAGAAGACGAAGCGTATCCTGTAGCGAGCTAGTCGAAGACAGCGCAATGGACTTGAAGAAACCCTGAATAGCAGGGACGACGTGATCGTGCACCATGTTAGAGGGCACATCTGTAGACTCCCGATCGGCCTTCGACGTAATGGAGTTGATGACTTCAAAATTGGCGAGCGCCCACGCGTGCCATGCCTTGTACCAGTTGTGGTTGTACCTCGTAGCTGCAGCGTAAGCTGATAGAATCTCATGGACGTATTCGTGCTCCCATTCTCCACCCTGGAGCTCTTGTTGCCAATCGCCCTGCTTCAAGTAACACTTGGCTAGGAGACGGTGACACTCGGCCAGTTCGGCTGGCGAGACACCCATAGCAGAGCCATTGAGTATACTGGAGCCTGCTATGCCATTGACACCATTCGAAGCGGCGAAGGGATTCATGTTGTTGAACAGCTGAGGATGACCGTTGGTCATGCCATTCATGCCGTTTATGCCATTCTGTCCCATCATCGGATGCGAGGCGGCCCTAGCGCGCATCGTAAGATCGTCTGATAGCCGGGCCGTGAAGTCCTTCATGGAGTCGAGGGCTTCTTGTTGAGTGTGCTGATCAGCCCACATGTATTTGTAGGTTGCGTACGCCACAGGGTGGGAGATCTTGTGTGCGTTCTCGCGCACATATTCGACGACTCTGTGATCGCCTGAGCCCTCGATGTTGAGCAGCTTCTGCAGCGCCTTGTTCGCGAGGTTCATTCTATTGTTCTTGCGACAGAGGTTGGTGTACTTGATCCACATATCGGTGCCCTCCTCTGGCGAGATGACGAGCTGTCGGACCTTCATCATGCGCTGCCAGACTTCAGGGTTGGGTTGCAGCCCCTTTAGTCGCTTCATCCAGGTCTTGCGCATGGATGCTTGCTTTTCGCGGTTCTCCTTGATGCCCAGCTGTTTGTACAGCATGATCTCTTCCAGCTCAGCCAGCATCTGTACACGGATCATTGGCAGATAGGCGCGCTGGTACGACTCGCCAAGAAGCGAGCTGAGCTCTGTGTCGAGGCCCTTGCGAGCCTTCGCAATCTCTTCGATAGCAATCTCGAACCTGTTGTTGTGAATATTAAGGATAGAGGCGAAGAACGCTCGATCCGGCGATTGCTCTTTCATGACGCTCAGGTACGAGTCCATGTCCGCGAACTTGCCCAGACCCCATGCAGCGGTTGCAGCAAGCGGTGCAATTGCCTTGCGGTACTCCTGGCTGGCATTGGCCCACTTCTCTTTCGAAAGACTCGAGAGCAGATCCCATTCGCCGAGCGCGTGCAGACATCGCATCTTACCCATGGTGATCTCGAATGAATCTGGCTCTTCTTGTTCTCTGCGCTGGTAAGAGTGTAGAGCTTCGTCCCATCGCTGCAGCTTCTCGAACCATGTCTCTTTGAGCTCGACGTCCGTATACCCCTGGGCTTTTCGCAGGATTCCGAAAGCCGCGTCTGTTTGCTGCAGCTGGTTGTTGATACTGATCAGGGCCTCGACTGCACTGGAGTTTTGCTCTGCGTTGAACTCCAACTCCTTGTAATGCAAGGCCTTTGCAAAAGCGTGACACTTGCCGGCATACATTCCCAGTATCCTGACATCGATTGGCAAAGCTTTGTCGTCATGTTCCATGAACTCGGCCAGGTTGAGCAGGATCTGCAGGATTTCAGGTGGGATGTTCGGCGATGTGAGCGCAGCCTCAATCGATCGGACGAGCTCTTCCTGATACTGGTCGTATAGTTCAGTCCAGCACGACACGAACGCGGAGTTGAACAAACTCCTTGCAATGGGGTTGTAGATGCTGCCGAGCGGCGTGCAGGCGCGCAACGCTTGTTGCGGTGACTCTCGAAGAAGCTCGACGCTGAAACGACGCATCCATTCAACCCAGTCCTCTTTGGTGGTCTTCGACGAAGCTTCCCAAGCAGCCTTCAGATGCTGCTGGTTGACTGCCAGTTTCTTGGTGAGGATTTCTGCAGGATTGAGGTCCTCGTCGTCCTCTCCGTACCGCTCATCTGGGCTTAGGTCCTGAGGCAGAGGCTCGCCCTTCTGCAGCTTGGAAACAATACGCCCATAATTGGCGTGTTCCACTTTGTTCGCGATCAGAACCTTGTTCACTGTCGGTATAAAGTGGACGTAGTCAGGCCCCAGCTGAAAGATCAACGCACAGAGCGTTTCAAGAGCTGTCTGCTTGAGAGCTGGATCGCTGCCTGCGAGGACTCTACATAGCGGGTGAATGATTCGTGCAGCGAACTCAGAGACATTGACTTGCTTCGACAAACGACCCAGCGTCTCTATCGCAAGTCTGCGAATTTGCTGTGGTTGACCAGGCTTATCAAACATTTTGACCATGATGGGGATGATCAGGTGCATATACTCTTCAGCGCTTGATCCAAAGATCAAGAAAGCGTGTAGTACTCTCTCAGATGGCAGTCTCTTCCCGGTTGTGTCCGAGTCAAGCACGCTCAACATGAGGGGCAGGACGTCTGCCAAGTAGACCTTGAACTCACCCTCGAGCGACCGTGCAATAGCTTCAATGAGCGACAGGATCGTAGCTTGCAATTGCGGATTGTTACCCCAGTACTCTTTGACGCATGTCAAGATCGAAGGCAGGTAGGGACGAATGTGTTGGCGCACAATACGCACCAACTGACTGAGCTGGTTGAAATAGCCCTCGGATCGTCCAGCCGGAGTTGAACGAATGACCTGAAGGAATCCGGGTACGACCTGGTTGAGGAACGGTACACACTTCAGTCCCATGGTGGCGTAGATGTTCATGACAGCATCGACAACGGCTGAATGGAACTGCATCAGTGACGAATCTTTCAGTAACCCCATGAGCGTACTGATGACGATAGTGGGGTAGTACTCCTCGTTTGAGGGGGTGATGCCTTGCATGATGAGCGTGACGTCGGTGACAGACTGCGCTTCCATGATGAGTTGTTGATCTGGTGATTGCTCCATAATCTTCTGGTATTCGTCTGGATCCAGAGCGCCGAGCGTACCCATGAGCCTGACGGTCTCTCGCCTCAGCTCTCCCTCGGGCTCCGTCTTGACAATACTCATCAAGATGTTCATCAGCTCCGGGTAATCTCTGTACGGTTCGATGACATAGCCGGCGTTGGTAGCGAGCTGCCCAAGGGCTTTGAGCGCAGCGAAGCGTTTCGAATCCGAGCTCAAATCCTGCATAAAATCCAGAATGATAGGCATCAGCTCAGGAATATACTTGATCATGTCCTCACCGCCGACCGAGGCAAGATCACCAATGGCCTTGAGCGTGGTCGATGCGACTTCCGGGTTGGGATCCTTTGCCTTGGGTAGGAGCACAGTAACGATTGGGTCAACGAGCGGCTTGATGAGACTGTCGGCAGCGCCGACCAGGCTACTAATGAGTTTGGCGCTCTCCTCTTTGCTCCGCGGGCTGTTGGCGTAGTTAACCTCGGTGAGTAGCTGCAGGAGGACTTTGCGTAAAGACGGGAATACGTAGGCCGGGTTCACAGCTGTCAAACGTCCGATGATGGACATTGCAGCTTGTCGGATGACGAATACCTCGTCGTTGAGAGCCAAGAACAGCGTTCGCACATTGTCCGCCTTTCCGAGATGTCGATCGAAGCGAGCATCGAGCGCAAGGAGGACTTCCCACCGGATCTCCCAATCAACGTCGCCCACACCGACTGTCAAGAGCTTTTCTATGATGTCGCCGACGACTTTGGTAGCGTGAGTGCTAGTCTGATGTACAATTGGGTCTTTGACAAACAGCTGACAGCATGTCAGAGCGGCACGCTTGCGAATCTCTGGGTTGTCTGCCTCAACGTAGCGAATGGCAACGTCGCGAACAAACTCGTTCAGTACATGGCCGGTGAAGTCGAAGCTGCCCAGCGTATGGAGTGCAAGAGCGATCTCAGCTTCTCGCGCAGGAATGATGGCGGGATCTTGTCGATCTCGCGACCAGATCGTTGGTGGTTGTGAAACCTGATAAGGGCTGCCGAGTGGCAGGAATTGTCGCTGTGCAAGGATCTGACTGAGCAGGTCGAGAAGCCTCTCCTGAATCATTGGCCTTGAGGGCGGTACGTAGTGCGCCATGTCGACGAGGGCTTGAAAGAGTGAGTCGCTCAGCCCGCATGAGAAGATGGGATCCAGCAGTCGCTCCACGCTCTTAGTAAGAGCTTGTCCGACAGCTGCTGCGATCATGCTAAGACACTGAAATATCGGAGCCTCATTGGTGGCTGCCCTGTTCTTGGCTTTGGCTGTTAAACCTTCCTGGATAAAGCCCAGGATGCCCTCCAGGTAGGGAGAGATGGCGACTCCAACAGCGTTTGCGACCTGGCCGATGGCTACAAAGGCCTTGTCGCGATCGCGGTCCCTCCGTATCAGTCCCTGCAGGTGCACCATGCATTGATGGAGGTATTTCGCAGCGAACTCGGTGGGCGAATAACTGGCGAGTCGCGGAATGATCAGCACGACCTCTCTACGGACGAGTGTGTCCCTGTGCTCGCGGTACTTGAGGACCGTCTCGGCCGTCTCCTTGAAGCGCGCCTCGTTCATAAAGTAAGCGCTCTTATCCAGCAGCTCTTTCATGGTGAGCAGAGAGCCGTGGATAGCCTCGTTGGTGCCCATGTTGAACCCCCTGAAGATCTCCTCGTAGACCTTGCCAAACCACAGCTGGCGCATGGCCGAGTCGCGCGGGGAGATGATCTCGAAGCAGGCGCTGATGGCCTCTGCGGCCGACTCCCTGATGAGGACCTTGAGATCGCGGAGGGCGACCCAGATGACCTCGAAGATCTGGGCAATCCACTGGTACATGAGCGTGGGCGAGTTCTTAGCCAGCTCGCGCAGGATCAGCACGGCGGCAAAGCGACGCGTCTCCAGGCGCTCAAGCTGCAGCCATTCGAGGGCGCCCTTGACCTCGGCCTCGACCAGCTCGGCGGTGAGGGTGCCGCCGGGCTTCGCGAGGCGGCCCAGGGCTTTTGCGGCGACGACCATCGACGTCGTGTCCTGGCCGCGCATGACGGCGCGCAGGTATGAGGCGAAGCGCGTCGTCTTAGTGCCAGCATCGTCGCCACGGAAGTCGATCAGGGCGTTGAGGGCGTGGATGCCGCCGATGCGCTCGTTGGAGTCGCTGCCGCCAACGATGAGGCTCGAGATCTTGCCGTAGACTTCGCCGTAGAAGCTGGTGAAGACAGCCGGCGCCAGCTCTGCCGAGTTGTCAGTGGGCGAGTGCTGAGGCGGGGGCCCGCCGTGCGTGCATGGCCGCAACGCACGGCGGGCTGCTGCAGCTCACCTCGATGCGCCGCCTCGACCGTTTGCCGCAGGTTGTGTGCGCCCTTTTGCCGTGTGTCATCGTGTCTGGCGCCAGTCAGCGTCCGCTCTCGCAGCTCTCGCGGCTCTCGCGCTTCGGGGTCTCCTCACCTGGAGCGCAGCTCTTGCACTATGCGGTCCAGCGCCGACGACAGCGCGCTCTGCTGCGCCATTGTGTGTGCTTCACCTGGGGCGAGCGGCAGAAGGGCAGGGCAGCGGCGGGCCGTCCATAGGCAGCACGACGCAGTGTTGGTATGGTATGGATGTGCAGACGCGAGGTGCTTGAAAGCTGCCCGCCAACGCCTGGGCCCTGGGGTGCAGCGCCAAGTCAAGGTGCCCAGGTGGGTCCTCCCGCTGACCGCGCTCCCAACGAGGCACCTGGGCAACCGTCCTGCTTATTAGTCGTGCACTTGCGGGAGGCTGTCACTGCATCAGCAAACCATCACTACCACATCAATTCTGGCCACAAGCCTCGTAACATGTACAGCTTCAAATATGTACAGCCTCAAACAGTGCAGCCTTAAACAGATGCAGCTTTGACCATTGGCAGCCTCAAACAGTGCAGCCTTAAACAGGTGCATCGATTCCATGACTGTAGGACACCTCGTCACCCACCCCTCATCCAATCACACCCTGCGCAGCAGCACCAATCGCACCCGCGACATTGCCAAAGAAGATGCTCTTCAGGATCGTCTCGCCCTCGCCGACCGCCCACATACCCGCTTCACTGAGCTTCTTCCTCCAGTAGTGCCTCTCCTCCTCGCTCAGCTCCTCCCACTGCTTCGCCTCTGTGTGCTTCTTAATCACTTCATCTGTGCTCTCGTGCACTTCCGTGCTAAGCTCTGCGCCCTCGGCATCGTGATTGATGACCAGCGCTTTCTGCTGCGCCCGTGGCTCTGCCGAGCCGCGGTGGGGCATGTGAACGTGTAATAAGTCCTGGATGCGGTCTACTGTCTTCATTACAGGCGTGTCTGCGTTGTTGAGTGCGGCTTGGTGTCGCTTTTCGCGCGCTAGCTCGCCCATGGGCTTGTACTGTGAGCCTGCGTTCTGCAGACTGCGTGGCACGACATGCCTGGTCAAGTTGCCGTGTGGGTCGACGAAAGACTGTATCATCAGTGCTATCGCGGCAACCACCATGGCTATGACGAGGTATGTGGCCGCGCTGTACAGATTTCTGGTCCGTGCTGTCTGGAGCACGTAGCGGCCCTCGTGTGGCTGTAACTCAAATGTCTCCACCGAGACGGTGTTGCCCAGCGATGTAGATGCCAGGCGAAGGTATTGCGGTCCTGCCTTTCGGTCTGCAGCCTGGTCTGGAGGAGCGACTGGCTTGTGGAAGGGCGAGAATACTGCTTTCGTCATCTGAACCTCGTGTACCTGTCCAATGTCAGTCTTGTTTCTTCCGGACCGATGCAAATAACCTACGCTATCATACGTCGCAAAGTGGTGGAACGAGCTCAACGAGTTCCTCGAGTGGCCGTGGTAGTCTATCGAGTAGACATGAAGCGAAATGTCGATCGCTGCTATAGCAATGGCAATCTGATATGCTCCCGAGGTGTCGGGGTCTAGAAGGGCAACGTCCATATCTGTTGCTGCCTTGACGCTCTTTGGTAGCGTCTTTCGCAGTACGACGCTTCCCGGGCCCTCCTCGTACATGTGCACAAGCAGCAGTTCTACGCCTGTCCTGCTGGGCTTGTTGACTAGTAAGAGCAGGTGTTCGGGGGTCAGCCATCGTATGCACCGCAGCTTCGAACGTCCGGTCTTCTTTCCGAGGTCGGGCAGTGGGATGGAGTAGAGCTTCCGGCGGGCATCCTTGGGCTTGGTCTGCGATGTGCTGATGTTGTGGACGATCACATCGTGGTCGAGAACGTAGGCAAGCTCGAATTGGCCGTCCCCCTTGTCAAAGAAGTCGACGTCATTGGCCTCTTCGCCCTTTCCCAGCTTGATGCGCTGCAGTATGTCTTGTGGATCCCGCGGCTTATTTGAGACGGCGCTGAAAACCACGATCTCGTTCTCGTCGCCAGCTAAGCTCGATGCAATTGCGCCGATGCGCCGTGTGGGTGCGCTTGATACAGTTCTTGGCGGCGGTGACAGACGCACCAGTCGCTGGTACCCCTCCTTCTTCGCGTTGACGTCTTGAACCGACCCGAAGAGCTTCGCCTTGCTCAAGTACGCGATGTCCGCATCCGCACCGTCCGTTGCAATCTTTCCTTTGGGAAGCTGGACCTCAAATGCGCGGAAGTGCTCGTTGTTGTCCTTTGCGCGGTCCTCTTCGCTGCTGTTGACGCCAGCATAGAGTATCAGGCCGTCCTTGGTCGCCAGGCTCGCGAGACATGTCACCGAGTCGTCCGTGGACGCCTCGATTTCGGCGATGGGCTCGACCTTGGGCGCTCGTGATGTGAAGTCGAAGACTGTGATCTTGTTCTTGACGCCGTGCCTTCCTCCGCCGCCGCCGCCTCCCACTGCGAGCACGCCGGGTCTGCTGCTTGCGAAGCTCGCGGCAAATATGGGATAGGAAGCTGCAGAGTCAGTGTCTGCTCACGCACTTGGCGCCATGACCTGCGACGACGTACTCTGGGCTTTCGAAATCGTAGGGCGCGACATGGTGAAGTGCTGAGTGATGCGCCGCACGACCACGGAGCTGGGAGATTATTTCTAGGGTGACGTATGCTCAGGAACACCAGAGCTGTGTCGTTAGAGATGCGCAAGGACAGAGTCGCAAAATAGTTCTCGGTCGGACAAGGATATGGAATAGGTGCTAGGGGAGCTAGGCTGCGGATTTTCGCTTTCGTGAAGTTCGTATCTGTCTACGTTGCGGGTGGAAGCGCAAGAGCGCGAGCGCAAGCGTCATGGTCGCGGTCGGTCCCGGTCAAGCATCACACTGCAACTCCACTCCGCTTATCCGCGCGCTTTTACCTTTTCGTTTATAGCATCACCAGGTGACACGCGCGTGGCGTAAGGAGCGGATCATAAGTCACACGATGCTTTATCTTTCTAGACCCACAACAGAGTGCACCTTCGCTGCCCTCCAGCCGGCTGCTCACTTCGCGCCTCATCATCACTGGATCGCGTGGTCGCCCACTTCCACAGTACCTACCGTCGCCCCTGCCTTTTCTGCTCGTCCCTGTTTATTTCCCCCTCTTTCCCAAGGGATATCCTCCACCCTAGACAACACATACGCCGGATCAACCCAACCGCCCGAGACATCCACCGAACCGTCTTTGTCAACAAAAAACGCCAGGGGGGTGTGCCACAAATGCTCGCTAAACGAAGAAAAAGGGAAATGGGAATCCAATGCCTTTGAAGAAAGAGAAGCTATCTATATTTGTCTGCTTGATGGTTCGCAAGACTCATCTTTCGACGAATTTGCGTGAACATGTCCCAGCCATCCTACTGCTGGGGCAAACCGGGCTGGCCGTTAGCCGCAGCGGCAGCGGCCTGAGCCTGAGCTTGTGCAATGATGTCGGCTTGGTGGACAGCGCCCTGGACGACTACCTGCTCCTCAGGGTTGAGGTTCTTCGTGAGATTCTCATACAGCGCGGGCTGCTCTTGTTGAAGTTCTGTAACGTGTCAACTCTGTTCCGTTTTAAGCTTGAGATTTAGGAGACTTACGGAGCAGTGCATGCTTGAACATAGCGTATGGCTCCACCTTGTCCAGGGGTGTTTCGAGGAGGCTCTCCTCCTCGAGTTCGTCATCGTCATCATCGTCATCGACGCCGCCGAACTTTTGAGCTTCTTCGTTCAAAAATTCGAGGTAAGCGGCGCTTTCGTCCTTGATCTCCTCTTCATCAGCCTCGTTGTTCCAGTCGGCTTCCTGCTCCCACTCTTCATCTTCCTCGTCCTCCTCATACTCATTGGCGAAGTCGAAGTTGTCCTCCCTCTTGGCCTCCTCACGGTTCTTCAAAGCGGCGGGCAGGGTCTGGAAGAGTCGTACAACGCCCTGCAGTAGGCGCGGCCATCCCTGCTGAACGCTGATAGGTACACTTTGGGCGTTCAAAGTTAGGAGCGCGCAAATAGCAGAAATGCACAGCTTCTTATCGTGGACTCTTGTGAAGTTATCAATACTGGAGAACCACAGGCTGAAGAACTTGTTGGTCCAGCCGTTCGCCTCAAGTACGTGGAGCGCAAGGGCGGGGTTGTAGTAAATGCTGTTGATGATGACCTCCATCAGGTGGATGCGGAGAGACTTGACCTTAGGCTCATCGTTAGTCAGGACTTGCATAGCAAGCGAGAGGAACTCCGGGACGTAGTCGTCAACGTGACCACGCATGTTCAGCATGATAATCTCGGCGAGCTTGCAACCGCAGATGCGGTCAACACCTCCGACCTTGTCGTCCTTGAAGATGGTGCGAACCATGTCAACCATGGCGTCAAGGTAAGCCCGGTTCTGCACGAGGGTTTGGGTTCCGTAGTTCACAAAGTTTTCCAGGGCAGGCAGCATATCTTGTTTCTGTCAGCAAAGAGGATTGTTGTGTGTGTTGACAACCATACCTTCAAGGTAGAGCTCGGCACCGGCCTTGAATGTTCTGTGAATAAGCTCAAAAGCCTGCCACATGGTTGGCGAAATGCTCTTGGCAGCAAACGTGCAGCTATCGATGATCTCAAAGACCTCGTTGTACAGGTCTGTGAAAAGATTAACAAATGAGCTTTGACGACTAAGTCGGTGATGATGCATACCATAGAGCTTGTTCTCAAGCGTGATCGTGATGACAGGCATGAGAATAGTCTCGAGGTGCAGGAGGACGTCCGGTGTGCTCTCGAGCGTAAGGATCAGGGTCCCGATGGTTTGCAGAACACCAAGAGCTGTGATACTCTTCTCGTCCAAGAAATCGCCATACTCGCTATCGTCGCCCTTCTCTTGATTCCTAGACACGAGCTCGCGGACGATGCGGAGGTATGTGTCGCGGAGTTGCTCACTAAGCGCGACCGCGAATGGTGTCAATTCTGGTGCGAAAATCTCGACGAAGTCCTCCATAACATTGGCGAGGGCATCCACATCAACCTCGTTCGCTAATTTGAGGAGCTGCTGCATAACCTGGGGAATGTTGGTCTTCATATTGGTCCGGATGACATCGTGGCGTATCAGGGGCTGAAGAGCCAGGGCGGCGGCTACACGAACGGGAAGGCAGGAATCTGCCATGGACTCGAGAATGTTGCGGTAAATGATGATGAGGTTATTGGGGTCCTTGAAATCGAGCTGCTCGAACTTCTCAAGGGTATCGCACGCGCGTGCACGGAGGAAGCCATGAGAACTGCGGAACTCGGGGAAGACATGACGAACAAAGAAGTATTCGACCTGATCGGCGATAGGGCTCTTCTTGCCCAAAATGACACCAGAGAGTGTGCCAATCATGCGCAGCGCCCCTTCCTTTTCTCTCGGGTTCTTCTCGCCATCTGGTGCAGCCTCGTATTGGTTGACCACCTCGTTGATGTAGTTAAGTATGGTGAAAGTGGTCTTCCTACGGCTCTTTGTAAGTGTGACGAGGAAGTTTGTGGCAGCGACATCGGGGGCGGTAACATCTTCGTAGAAGTTCAACTTGCGGTGCAGATACTCCTGCGGCTCCTCGTCGAACAATTCGATATCCTCATCTGACTGACACAAGACTGGAAATATCAGATGCGAAATGAGGTTGTCGGTGTGTGGCTTCAGCAAGGTCCACATGGACTTGGGCTTGATGCATTCGTCCAAGAAGCTCAGAGTATAGTACAGACTGGCCTTGGACAGCCAGACCTGCTTGCCAACCCACTTCTCGATCTGCTGGAGGTAGACCTTGAGGATCTCAGGAGCGAAGTTGGCGATGAAGTTCTTGGCGACCTCGGTGTAGTCGACCTCGTTGTTTTTGCCCAGCGCAGATGGGTTCCCGTATCTGTGTAGGTTAGTTCAGATCCCTCCATTGTGGCGATTGCGATACGCACCTGACGTAAAGACGGTTCAAGTTCGCGTATGACCATTTCTTTGCTTTCCACCAGTGGTTGACCTCGCGCTCGTCAAGGTCCTCAACCATAGATGTCTCTGGTGGCTCCTTGCCAACGACGGTCAGGAAGAGTGTGCACCACCCAACCATAGTCTGCTGTTCGCGGAGAGAGGCGGGGAGATCAAACTGCGTCGTTATCAGCGCCTTCGTCGCGTACTGTTACTCACAAGCTCCTTACGTAGATGGCGTGCTTGTACACCTTTAGCACGGTGCGGAGGATTTCTCCAGCCTCGAGACTCGTCTCGCCTGCCAACGAATTGCCAATGTTCAGCAATTGCGGAAAAGACATGGCGACAATCTTGTCGAAGTCTGCCCTGTTCTCGCCAGACTTGAATCTGTAGATCTTGCAGATCGCCAACAGACACTGCACGCCAGCGAAGACTGACGCAATATCTCCAGCGTTCAGCAGCTGGATAGTGATGTCGAGGAAGTTGGGCCATTTTGACGGGAAGTCGTATGCGAGGATCTTCTGTAGGGTGGGGATGAGCTGCAGGCGGATCTGCGGCGGCGAGGCAACGAGGACGGGTACGAGGCGGTCTCGGAAAGAAGTCTTCTCTTCCTCTGGGATAGGCTTGGCCTGGCTGTACTCCTCGGCCGGCGCCCAGCCCTTGGAGACGCGGTTCTTGAGGTAGACAACAGCTGCATCACGCGTCAGCATACGAGGCCCTGGCACCGGGTACTCGCGCCTTCTTACTCGACAGTCGGATCGCAGGCTCCTGCTCCTGCTGGAGAACGTTCAGCAGCCCATCAGTGAAGCCTGGCTGCTCCTCGGCCTATGTGACTGTCAGTGTCGGCCGATACACGCCAGGACCCAGAAGCACACGCACATGCTTCAGGTCCAGCTCAGCTTGCTGGCGGATAGCAGCATTAGGGTCGAGTGTGGCCTGGATGCGGTCACGAAGGCCCGCGGCGTCCATGGTCGCGATTAATAATTCGCGACGGCGTATGTGTGCCTCGTGCAGCTGTCCGCTCGAGGATTCAAGGTCGGTGCGTGCGGTGTGGACGGTGGGGTTTGAGGTTACGGCGAAGGCCAAAGCTGCACGCTCTGCTCGCAGCACGGCAAGAAAGGTTTAATGGCGTGGAAAATAGTAGGGGGAAACAGCACGCTTGTGTCTCTTGAATTCTGCGCCCTTGCGACTTGCCTCCGGCTTGTGGGAGAATGTGATTCTTCGGACAGCCCCCACCAGAAAAGTCAAAGGGCCTGTGCGAGCCCCCAAAGGCGCTAGCTTGCCGGCGCGGTGGGGGCAGAACGTGGCTGGGGCGCAACACGAGCCAGCACCATCTGTCACTGGCTCAAGATTTTGGTATATGAGATTGACTTGTATGCTTCTTGAGATCGGCATGAGCAGGACACCGATGGCAGCAAGCAGAATCTATCTTCGGAGTGTCATGCCATGTTTCCATCCGCTCCTGCCCTGCGATCGAGATCGGTACGTATACCTGCAGGGTGGAAGTCATGAGGCAGACCCTCTGTCAGATGGAGCTACACAATAGGTACGCAACAGTTCCACAAAAGAGTGTATCGAAGAGGAGCATAGCCCTGGAGGTGCTCCACACAATCGTGGATCCTGAGCTGATGAAGGTGTAAGTACGTAAGTTTTGAATTGGGTGCGTGCACTTCAAGGAAGCACAACCTCAGCAAAGAGCCATGTTGATTCGTGAATGCTGTACGGCTTGGTACCGGCCAGCTCATGCAGGATTTACTTCATTCACGAAGACTCAGAACCACTCGACTACCTCTGGTGGCTGTCATTCTACCCTGCTGTGTTCGCAGCAAACATGTCTCTGGCTTCAACCGCAGAAGACCGAGACACGGTCAGAGACCGACGTCAGCTTAAGACAGCGTAGCTACGTAGCAAACTCGTCAGTTCAGAATATGACATATCTTTGCATGCCTTGAAACCGCCATTGATCACAGTACGAGGCCTGACAGCGGTTGCAGCCTAACACAGCATTCTGGCGGCAACGGCATCAGTCATTATGGCTTCCACATGGGCGTCGAATCTCCACATGTGTAATCTCACTCCATGCTGTGCACTTGTTGACATCACATCGTGAGGCCCACTGTGCCTTACATACAGGGCACGTTTCATCTGCAGGTGTGAGTAAAGCCGGACAGCATCTAGCTCACAACCGTACCACCGCAGCGACCTATCATGACTTCTCCATTCAGCCACTAGCTCACACAAGACGTTGAACTGCTTCGTTACCGAAATCTGCAAGAAGGTTCGACTGGCGTTCATGCCATGCTTGTCAACAATCCTTGTGTCGGCCACGCGCTACGACTCCAGAAGAGCATTGATGATCCATGTGTATAACATGTCACGTGTGTATGTTATGCAACTTTTGACGCATGTCGTGGATTACCGCCGAGCACATCCATGTCTGCATGAAGTCTCGTGGCCTCCAGGATCTTTGGCTCTCTTCGGCATCTCCAGGCCTCAAGCCAAGCTCGGTATCCTCAGATTTCAAGCCACCTGCAAGCTCGGAATCGAAACGTGGTCCCGAAACATACTCACGGTTCACCGACACTGACACTTTAGAACCCGTCTGAAACACCCCAGTTCTACAGGTACAAACTCGCGCAGTTACAGATGTCGCTGTTTCACCAGTCAGCATACAGATAACGATCATGGACAATCATGCATATCCTTGTTTGCGAATAGTAGGCGAACGAAACGTACCGTTTGATGAGTTCCTGGCAAGTTCCCATTTTCTGGAACAAAGTCGGGTCGCCTATGATTCGCGCTGCGTTCTTGACTTCCCGGCATGTCTCATCCAGACGCGTGATAACCCGCACGATGGTGCCTTCCATGACATCCGTTAGGTCTGTTATGCGATTAAACGACATGCCGCGGGCCCACTCGTAGACCACCTCAACCATGCCGAAGCGAGGCTTGGACACGAAGTCGTTGGAGTCGTCGGCGGACAGGATGACCTGGTAATCGGTCTGGACTTTGTTGACCTTCTCAGAAATCTCCACGATCTTGGCTATGCCTCGTTCGAGCGATGCGGTCAGTGTGGCTTCGGTATCGGTCTTTTCTTGAAATACGAATGCAGACAGCAGCGCGACAATCTCCTCGGGTTCGTACTCAGCAAGGACGTTCTCAAGGACCAGCTCGGTGAGCACAAGTTCGTCTGCCGAATGAATCTGGAAGCGAGTGTGAGCAATGTGAATGCACAGATTGGATGGATAAATTTACCTCGCAAGCTACCTTGCCCTTCAGCTCTACGCGTGAACCTTCATCGATGAAGCCGAGCTCGCGAAGCACCTGTATCCTCTGCTCATAGTCGGGAAGTAGTTGGAGATTCTGGTCAGACATGAGTTGGCGAATGGCAAGGATGTTCTCCTTAATGACCCATTGATCGTGTTCCATTGAAAACTAGTCCGTTAGCATATGTTGGGCTTAGTGGACTTGAAGCGAGCGAGCTTACATGCTTCAAGAAGTTGGGACACTGTAGACACTCCTTATTTACGGCATTCTGGCCTCGTTTGCGTCGTGCGTCCTGAGTTTCGCGAAACTGGAGGTTCTTGATGCGGCTGTAGTCATACTCGTCCCAGTCTTCGTAATTCCATGATGTACACAGTGGAATGAACTGGGCATGCGCCAGATTCATCAGATCCTTCTTTTTCGTGAGGTTCTGAACAGTCTCTGGTATATCGATGGTCGTCTTCGTAAAACACTCGACATCATTGAGAGGGATATATGCGGTCTTCAATATCATGTCTTTTGGACTTGTTGGCAAGTTGCGGAACAACTTAGCAAAGTCTGCGAAGTAAGGTAGTAGATCATCAGGCTTTCGCTCGAGGTTCTGTGAAATCTCTAGGACCTTGACAGTAGGCTCGTTGCCCTTACTGGGTCCATCTTGGAGGAGCATACCTACCGTACGCATGTTGTCTTTCTTGTAGACTATGAGTCGGTTTTTGCTGAACACGCGACGTCCCAAAGGATTGCCGAGGAGACTGAGATGCGTCTCGTTCGTCAGCTTCTTGTAGTCTTCACACGCCTGATGGCATGCTTCCAGATCAACGTCGCAGATTTCGCAAGGCTCGCGCTTGACTTTTTCCAAATCAGCTTCTGAGAGCTTCACCTTCTTTTCGTGTTCTGGTAAGAGGGCTTGGGTGGCGTTTTCACTGAAGCTGCGCTTAATCATCTCCTCGATCTTCAAAGCTTCAACACGCAGTAGATTCAACATCATGTTGTACGTGAGCCTGAACTGCGAACGCAGCTTTGTTGGTTCGCCCAGCATCATTTGTCGTAGTCGAGCTGCCGGCGGCGCTTCATCGGCACCAGGTGCGCAAATGATTACCGTGCCCACCGTGTCGAGACCTCTTCGTCCAGCGCGACCGGCCATTTGAGTGTACTCGCCGGGTAGGAGATCACGGAACTCCCTTCCGTCATGCTTGCGGAAGCCTGAGAAGACGACAGTCCTGGTAGGCAGATTGAGACCCATCGCAAAGGTCTCTGTTGCGAAAAGTACCTTGACTAGGGTCTTTGCAAACAGAATCTCGACCACTTCCTTGACAATAGGCAGCATGCCACCGTGGTGGACGGCGATACCTCGGCTGAGCAGCTCCCTGAGCTTCTTGATCTGCGGCAAGTCTCGATCTTCAGGACTCAGTCTGGCCAGTGACTTCTCAATGGTCATATGAATAGCGCTTTTCTCTGCAGCGGTGCAGTAGTCAATGTTCGACAGCGCGTCCGCATTCTCCTCGCAACGCTTCTTCGAGAAGACAAATATACAAGCTGGGAGTAGCTCTTTCTGGCGCAGATGCTGAATGAGATGCACCCATATATTTCGATCTTGAGCGGCTGTTGTCCGGCCACCACCGCGACCTGTCCTGGCGATATTGCCCCGGCCCCGAGCAGCCGGCGGTCCGCCACCACGACCACCGGTACCACCGCGGCCACCATTCTGCTGGCCTCTTCCACGCTGGTTTTGCCCTCCCCTTGCAGGTGGGCCACCACGGCCTCCACCACTTCTTCCTGCTGGTGCATCCTTGGCGGCTGGCGGTGCTTTGACCTTGTCTTTGCCGGAGAGCGCATCGTTTGCGTCTTTCCATCCGTTATCGATGAATTTTTTGTCTGCTGAAACAATCTTGTGCATCCCCTTGCCTGCCCATAAGTAATGTTCGAGAGGAATAGGACGTTTGGGCGTTGAGATGACATAGATGTCCTTCTTCTTGGTTCGTCCGACCCACGAAGCGAATTCATAGGTGTTGGGAACCGTGGCCGAAAGAAGAATTAGCGTTACGTGCTCAGGAAGCATGATGATGACCTCTTCCCAGACCACACCGCGCTCTAAGTCGTTGACGTAGTGGACCTCGTCGAAGATGACAAATTCCACATCTCTGATGAGATCGGCTCCCCGGTACAGCATACTTCGAAGGATCTCCGTAGTCATGATGAGACAGCTGGCCTCTGGTCTGATTTGAACATCTCCGGTGAGAATGCCAACATCGTCGAATGTCTGACGGAAATCACGGAACTTCTGATTACTCAAAGCTTTGATGGGTGAGGTATAGATCGCTTTGGTCATGTGCTTTGCAGCAAGCGAAATGGCGTACTCGGCCACCACCGTTTTACCAGCAGACGTATGGGCTGCAACGAAGACAGAGTCGCCATTCTCCAGGTGGTAGACAGCTTCCTTCTGAAATGTATCCAGCTCGAAGGGGTATTCGCGCGCCATCTCAGGTACAAGCTCCTTAAAGTTCGTAATGTCGCGATTGACATCAACCATGTGAGCCCACTCTCGCCCGCCTTTCCTGTTAGCCATGGCAAGCTGCGTGTGAGGCGCAAGGGCGGGGAACTCGACTGGTAGGAGCGCATCGATCTCTTCTTCTCCGGGAGTCTGTCCTTCTGCATCTGCTGCCTCAACTCCGTCGACTTCGATACTGTCCACGGCATCATCATCATCTGCATCAGCATCTTTGACAGGCGCCGCCGCTTCCCCGAGCGCAGCTTCCACCTCGAGCGCAGCCTTCTCATCCCCAGCAGGTTTTAGCTTGAAGTCTAGGCCGCGAGTAAAACCGGGTGGAATCTCCAATAGACCACCCTCAGCGCTAAAGTTGATCACGCGATCGAGACCTCCGCTCTTCTTCGCGTTGGCACCCTCCTGCCGCATGATCGCTTCGTCTTCGATTGCTGCGATGGCTTCGACGCCATCAAGACCTCCCGGCGCAAATGGAAAGAAGCCTGCTGCACCACGGACAAACTCGGCTCTGTTGGCTGGCTTTCTCAAAAGCGAGGTAGAGTTCTTCGCAGTTGCCGAGTTTGCAGGAACAGTGACCTCCTTGTATCCTGTGACGCGGCCTTCAAGACCCTCACGAGTAAAGCGAATGATTGTGCGGGTCTGAGTTGGGGCGATCTGGAACAGGCCACGATAATTTGTCGGGGGTTCCCATCGTTGCTGCAGCTGGTTCAACCATTGCGTGTTGAACGAATGCGAAGGCGTCAGAAACTCATGCTCCAGCTCTTTCTTGACGGCTTCCTTCGTCTTTCTCTGTCGTTTGGGTGGTCGTTGTTCGCCTGCAACAGCGTCTATCCAGCCGCTATTCAGGCGCAGCTTCTCCAACTCGCCAGAAATGGTCTCCATTTTCGCGTGCGGGAGGTAGAGTTGAGTGCGTCCCTGGCTCCGTAGTGTCGAAAATCATTGATGACGTTGTCAATGTTTGTCCACGTCGGTCAAGGCGCAAGAGCCCCACATGCGGGGTGCGCAAGGGAGCTGCTGCACACGCCAGCCATGCACAGCTTCACGAGTATGTTAAGTAGCATTTGTTTTCTGCATGAACAGGGCATTCACCTGGCTCAGCTCTGTTTATTCTAAATGCTAGATATCTTATATTCCCAAACGCCACGCTATGCAAGTCCAAAATCATCAAGCCCTCTCATGTCAGATCGTCCAGAACAAAGTGCGATCACCACATGTCCTCCATGCCCTCCATGGCCTCCATCTCGTCTGCAAACGGATCGTCCGTAGCTGGCCTTGCCTGCGAAGGCAGCACTTTGGGTGCTATTTGGGCTCGCTGTTCACTCTCTGCCAATAGCGCGTCCAGCTCATCCTCATTTGGCTCCTCAGCAGAAGGGTGTGCGGAAGCTCGGGGCTGAACAGGTGTTTCAGCACCAGACTGCACTGCTGTAGTGTTGTCTTCCGCCTCTAGTCCCTCCATAGTCTCTGCTTGCACCTGTGCAGCAGTTTCATTTTGAACATCTGCACCTACGTCGTCCTCGGGTTTATCTGATGTCTGCCTTGGTTTCCCTTCATCTATCCAGAATTTTCGGTCGACCTGCATTCGTTTTGTATGGCCGACCTTCTCGATGATGGCTAGGGCGTCTGCGAATTTGGCGCGAGGGTAAAGGTCGTCGAGCCAGAGCTGATACATGTTCAGCATGCGGGCAATGTCTCCGTACTGCAGCTGTGTGAACTTGCGGGCAATTACAGGTCTAGACCAGACGTACCTCATGCCCTTTGCCCTTGAAGCGCAGCCTCTCTTTCGAGATCGTTCGCAGACGTGGAACGCCACGCTCCGAGCGCAGCCTGACATCGTCTAGTTTTGGGTTTGGTATGCGCTTTTTAATCACAGCAATCTCCTCGTCGATACCGAGGCCTGCATCTGCATTGTTCGTGGATTTACTCGCCGCCGGCTCGGGCTGATAACCTCCTTCTGCGGCGATCCCGCGTAAAATGTCGTCCAACTCGTCACCTGAGGTTGGAGGTGCAACTGTGGGAGCCATGATGTATCGTTGGCAATAGACGGTACCGTCTCAAGTCCCGCAATCAAAGAGGGAATATGCTCTTGAGGTTGCAATGAGCGGCCTTTGTGACTGACATCAGACGCGTCTTTGACGCGATTACGCTAGTGCCTAGCGCGCCAAGAACACTTATTCTCGCGACAGAGGACTGGGGCCAACATCCAATCCACATCAACTAAAGTGACATCCCCTTCTGCGCCGCATAGCGAGGGTCGCCAGTGACTAATTCATTCACTAGAAGTGCAAAGACTGAAATTTGCGGTTTAACTCGTACACGTTAAGGGTACTCCAACATATCGCCTTGTGATCACTTTCTTTCGACATCGCGCGCTTGAGATGGCTGTCCCTGGTGTGCCTCAGAACAGCACGGCAGCGAGGCTGGATGAACTGCTGCATCGTGCGCGGTCGGTCAAACGCAGTAATTCAATCGAGCCTCCGCTTCAGGTAGCAGAGCTAGTGCCTGAGAGCGAGTCTCTTTTCAGCGACATCAATGGCGAAAAAGATACCCTGTCAACCGCAGTTGAGAGTGCTGCAAAAGGCGTGTTTTACGCCAACATTGTAAGCAAACCGACTCCGCTGCGAATATCAGCTGACGTCAGTAGGGATCAACAAAGATTGATGAGCCAGAATTTGTAACAGTGTGGAACTTACTTGACATTCTGCAGTACTGTGGCGACAGAGGTATCCATGTCCTGTGAGCTGGAGTATTTTGGAAGCGTGCTGATCAGATTAGACATATGCTCAGCACAATTAGTGCTTCTACTGATCGAAGAGCTTCTCGACAGCCAGTCACTGGCGCAATGTCGGACGGTATTCAACTTCCTCGAATCGCGAAGAGAAGCAATCATCGCAGTATGTTCTCCGACATTCCAGTCTGCTAAACTTACTCCTCGTTAGATAAGCTCTCAAAACAAGTCCCTGGTCATTCTGCGACTGTGTAATGAACTGCTCCGCCGGCTGTCTCGCGCGGAAGATCCGGTCTTCTGTGGCCGTGTGTACATTTTTATGTTCCAAAGCTTCCCGCTTGGTGACAAGAGCTCAGTCAACCTTCGCGGCAATTTCCACGTGGAGAATGTCACAACGTTCGAAGACTTCCTGGCAGATACACCTGCAAATGAGGATGCGATGCAAGTCGATAACGATGCATCAGCGCCTACCATCAAGACTACGGCTGCGTCTGAGGACCCAGCGACCAGGCCTGGTAACTCCCTGAAAGGGAAGGCGGATCAGCCCAAGACACTGAACATCGACACACTGTACCCAGTCTTCTGGTCATTGCAACACTCGTTCTCAAACCCGCCCCGCCTTTTCGAGGAGAATAACTTCAAGGATTTTCGGAGCAGTCTGGAAGCGACACTTGCGAAATTCAAGGAGGTGCCGAAGGTGATACAATCAGGGGACATCGAACGCAAGAAAGGACCAAAGCCTTCTTCGGGCGATAGCTATGACGTGTTCGCAAACACGTTCAACCCAAAGTACCTTACAAGTCGTGACTTGTTTAAGCTCGAGGTATGTGCCCACCATCTTCTCAACATATGCTGTGGCTGACACCTCGTAGCTAAGCGATCTTGCTTTCCAGCGACACATCCTGGTTCAGGCCCTCATACTTGTCGATTTTCTCTTGACTTTAACCGATAAAGCAAAGAGCAAGCCACTCTACCAAAATGCGCAAAAGGCCATGCAGTACAACTTCACTATGCGTGAGCAAGACGTAAGTGTCCGCCACCTTCTCTCCTGATCTTCGAGTTTCGCCACTGGCGCCTACGTCAGTGATCATTAACTCTTCTTGTCATGTCTGACCATAAAGCACAGACCGAATGGGCATTGGGCATCAAAACCGCCATCGCAAATTACCTGCAGGAGGGCCCGGACGGCAAGTTCTACTACCGGATGGTAGACACCGTGCTTTCCCGTGACAAAAACTGGGTAAGATGGAAGATGGAGAACTGTCAGCCGTTCACTCGAAAGCGCGTCGACACAGCACAGTTCTTGACATCCAAATCTGATGCTGTGCGTGCCGTCGCAAAGAAGAGACCAATGGAGCCCATGGGCGTTCCCAGCTCTCTGGACTTCTTGTATAACACGGAAGCGGAAAAGGGACTGTCTCAACTGCGGCAGCGCGATCGGTATGATACACCCGTCAAGTCGAAAACCCCATTTGCTGTGCTTACAACCACAAGGTTCAATGCACCAAGTGCAGAAACATACGCGAAGAAGGTCAAGATGATCGACCTTGATTTGGAGATAGCTAACAATGAATCTGAGAAGCGCGAGATAGAGGAGAAGAAGTCAAGCTACATCTGGAGGGGTCTTCGCGCGGCATCTCAGAAGCAGCTGAGCTCGTTCGAGAAGATCGAACGTGGTAGGGGTCTGGAGGCTCTCCAGCCGACCCCTTCTCAAACTGAGATTGCAGGCGACAATACCGCACCCACCGTTCCGGAAGGCAGGGATGCAGCTCCGCTAGAAGAACAGCATAGCGTCGAGGAGCAGCGGGCCGAGCAACGAGATCAAGTGACTGCAGACACAGAGATGAAGTAACCAGCAGGGGAATTGCTGCATGTGCGAGTGGCGTGTCATGTGGGGTTGTGAACATGCAGTCTATCTCACAAACTCTGTCTTCTTTTGACGATGTGCATTGTGGGTGAGGCGTAACGCCCGGTTATGAGGAGATGGTGTTGACGGGGGTCATATGAAGACTAAATGGGGCACAGCCAGTCATCATACATGTCTCCGAGCGATCTTTGAGGTACCACTGGAGTTGCCAGCGGGCTGTGAAGCAGCCGCAGAGCGGCGCCACGCCACAGGACACGCAGCGCCACGATCTGCAGGATGGAGATGAAGGGCGCAATCAAGACTACTGGACCGACGTGCCCGGCCAGTGGCCAGACGTTGTGTCATTCCCGGCACTACGAAATTAAACTGTCAAGCGAACACATCAAGTGCCGCTGCCAGCCAGAATGACCTCAGGCGGGCGGACGTAGGCTGTATTGCAGTCATTGGCCGAAGTTTGAGTTCAGATGCTCCACGTACGTGGGCGATGCTGCGGTCCCCCGAAATGAAGGGACCTTGTCTTACCTGTCACAGCGTTCTCGATTGTGAATGGAGGCATTGTCATTGTTCTGGCATTGAGCTGCTAGCGAAGTGTCAACTTCACAGTACGAGCGCACCGGGCTATCTCCAAACTAGCATACAGCATTATTGATGGTCTTCAATGCAATGGCAGAACGAAAAGCCGAATGGTAGCGCTTGTCGGAAAGAGCATCTTCTCCCGACATCAGCTGCTCAGCATGCCATCCATGTGTCCATCAAACACGTGTACCCTTTGCTCCCCACCAATAGCCCGCCAAAATTTCCGCGGCGGTTTCGCTTTCGCTGCTGGGTTGACGGATGAAAGCGGGTAGGTAGTAAATGACAGGAGCTCGGCTTGGCACACGTTTGGAAAATCGGCCGCGAGGCCGGTCTCGGCATCGACGCCTAGACTGGAGATTGCTTATCCCGGCAAAAAGTGAGTTCTGATTTTCTTCTGCGTTGCGAAACATGCCAAACAACCCAAACGCTGGCCGCCAGCTGTGTGCCTCACCGTGGGACAACACCATTTAGCGTTCGATGGCGTTGAGGCCGCCCGTGCCGACGATCACAGCGTCCACAGCGAGCACCGCACCCAGCGCTCGGCTATCGTTGCTGTGTTCATGATGCACTACGCCCCAGCCTGGTGCGCCGGCTGGCCAGCTCATTTCAGGCACGGGTGATGACTATGTTCGGCTTGAGAGCTGCTGATCCCCGCGGAAACTTGGAAGGGTTGGCTGCACTGACCGGCACTGATTGCGATCTCAACGCAGGCCCACCTGCCTATCCTTGACGTCCCCTGCAACGCGCCGTCGAGACATTGTGGCAGCCTCACGCAGCGAAACAGACTGGCGTCTGGACGCTGAGTCCTTGTGCCCGCCGCTACCCTGGGCACCCTGCCATGATGCGTTACGTCGACAAGCACCGCTGTCAGAGCCACCGACAGAAGGCCGGCGTTGCACCATGAAGAAGTGGGCTTCGAGAAAATACGATCTCAGTGCGGCCCGAAGCTTTTCGCCGTTGGATCCTCCAGCCAGATCGTTCACTGCACGCGCCATACACTGCAGCCGGCGTGCTAGGCGCTCGGCGACGGGCAACTAGGTACTCGTGACTACACGGCAGCCACTACGACTGATCGCGCAGGTGTGTAGCCAGTTTGTACCTGTTCAGCACGAATCCAGTTAATCGCTGTTTGCTGGCGGCGAGGGCATCCAAGCACTGAATTTCATGCGTCGCAGGGCGCAATGGGCGGCTCGAAGAACAAGGCTGATGCAGCGCGTTCCTGACGCAATCTCGCGGGCCACAGCCGTTATGAGACAGCTGCCAAACGACGCTTTGAAAGCCACCAGCCGCATACCAGCACGGATGTGGACCGCTGTGAAGCGCTGGTTACTCGGCAGTAGCATGGAGTGAGCACGCTGCACATGCGCGGCTAGCAATACACCTATCCTCAGTCCGACCTCACCACCACCACCTCGCTCGCCCACGGCGCGGACTAAAGCAGCATCAACAGTAGAGACCCCGCAAAGAAACGTTGCCGAACCCTGTAACCCTGTCGTATAATCCCTGTCGCTCCTGCTGCGTGTGTCCCTGGGGCTCCCGTTGTGCTTCAGACCAATGGAAACGCCCACAACTGCCTTTAGAGACGCCACGGTCCATGCATTGCTCGTCGGCGGTTTCTTTACTAGGGCCCTGGTCTACTGCAGGCAGCCCTCCATGTTCACGCACCGCTCACGGTCCTCCTCGAGAGGGCCCCCCGGTTTCCAGTGCACCTGATTCAGAGACCGTCGATTCGCCCGCTCCCGCTCCGTCTCTCCTTCACGTCCCGAGCTACTGTATCCCTGTGTCTTGGAACTTTTGGGGCCTTCCTAGCCCTCGACGTTAGTCACGCATCTTGTCGTGTAACGACTCGCTTCTAGATTCCCTACGGATGTCATGTTTCTGAAAGTGCCCTTAGTCTATGCGTGGCCCAACCCCAGTCCTCACACTTCTCAAAAGCTCGATTTATCCGGATCATCCTCAGCAGTAAAGCGTTAAGCCTTTCTTGTCTGAATGATCTGTTCCGCTTCCCCTGCTGCATTCGCTCAAGCACCCTCCGCCAGGTTCTGAACCTACTTACAAAGGGTTCCCCATCGCCGAATGCTTGCTTTCCATTCGAGCTAGCCAACTGCTTACCACAACACTCTACCTCCCTATCAAGCAACTTGCTCCACCATCAGGTCTCATCAGATTGACCCAGTGTCTCCTTCAGCCCCACGTCGAGCCCAGATCTCGATCATCAGCCCATCTCCATCAAGCTTTACCGAGCCACGCATCCTTCAAGGCATATACTGTGGGTCGTAACGCTGCTCATCTTCGCCACCCTTTACACCTCTTCCAAGTCATTGGCGGCCAAGGCTCAAAGCCTGCCGGTGCAACCAAGTCAGTTCCAGTCTGTTCGCAGCACCAGGCGCTGGTGATGGTTACCTCGTACTAAACTGGCGCAGCAGCACAACCAGCACTATCTCTCTATTGTCTTTCTTTGCGAAAAGCGCCAATGGTTGAAGCAAGCTTCAACGTTCCCCTGTCCCCTCCTACTTCGCCTCGCAATTTTGCGTACGGCATGTCCACTGTCGAAAACGAGTGGCAGTCTTCCGGTATACGAACGGAAGAGCACACCCCGCCACACTCGGATTGCGACATGACGGCTCTTCAAGTCGAAAAAGCCAGCAGCACATACGATCTCAAGCGACCAACGATCAGATCGCACAAGAGCTTCCCTTATCTCCTCAACAACAAGTCACACAGCAATGACTCTAGCTCACTATCAACCGTGGATGAAATCGAGCCGCACGACTTGCCTACAGTAACCTTTGGCGGCTCAGCTCCAACTAGTCCGATCTCCAGACTGACTCCACCTTCGACCAACGATGGGAACACGGAGGAGAAGGCGGAAGAGGAGGGTGACGATATCATTCTTGATGAGAAATACGAAGATGTCGATAGTGACACCAACGAGGAGGGCAAGCCGATGACAGCTGCTGAAATTCGAGCGGCCAAGCGCAAGATGAAGAGGTTCAGGCTCACCCATAACCAGACCCGCTTCCTCATGAGCGAGTTTGCCCGTCAGGCCCATCCAGATGCTGCTCATCGCGAACGTCTCTCCCGTGAGATCCCTGGCCTCAGTCCTCGACAGGTGCAAGTGTGGTTCCAGAACCGGTAAGGAAAGTAATCGAGCTGTAAAAGCAAGTTGCTAACGAAGACAGACGAGCGAAGCTCAAGCGTCTGACTAGCGACGACCGCGAACGCATGATGAGATCTCGAGCTCTTCCAGATGACTTCGATATGGCACAGGCACTTCACGCTCCCTTTAGTAACTCTCACGGATTGGGAACACCGCTTGCATCCCCTGCTGCATTTGGTCAAGGATTCCCTGACAGCGCTATGATGCGGCCCCTCAGCATCGACACACTACGTCGAGCGACACTTGACTCTCACATGTCTCCCACAGGCATAAGTCCGGCCTTTGGCGGATTCACATTCACACCGCCACAATCTGCTACCGACACACTATCGCCTGTATCAGCTCACGACTCACCCTTTGGGTTTCCCTCCGCGCCTCTTGACACCAGCCCCAGGACATCGAACCCATTCTCCATACCAGTGAGCGCGCCCACATCGTACTCTTCCCAGCACTCCTTTCCACGTCTTGCACTTCATGGCGACCGTATCACCAGGACTCGCGCTGGTACACTTGACTCGCCACTTCGAACGAGCATGAATTACTCTCACAGCAGCGACATGACCCAGGCATCAATGGACTCAAACAGCCACTCTGATACTTCAAGTGCATACTCCAGCTCAATGATGCCATATGGTGTTGGATACTCCTGTAAGCCTTCTAGCAATGTGTTGCTCGATAACAAACTAATCAGATCAGACGCTCCTATCCCTGGCTTCCAGGCGTCTAGCTCGAATAGGATACGCTCCTTCTCCAGCGGTGTGCCCAGGCGTATTGAGCTGAGCACCCACTACACTCCAAGCCGGAGCGCTTCGACTCCACAAACCGCTCAATTCCCGTCATACTCCAGCGCTCCGCTTGCCACACCGGTCTCTTACGGCATGCCCCAATTGAGCGCGCCACACAATCTCTCCACGTTCTCCAACTCTTATCTGCGCAGCGATTCTACCAACGACCACTATTCTGGCGTAAGCTCTTCACTTCGAGATATGCTGGAGCATTCCGATCACGGGAACGACCATCACAGCTACTGATCGACATACTGTCTCTATACCCTGTTCACATCTGGCGTTTAGCGTATCAATAGGCGCATTGGGCGGCAAAATTATGGACTGAAGCGATCTAGGGTATGGCGTAGCCCGCGTTGTCATGACTTTACGGCTATCCTGGCAGTCACCTTGAAACACTACAAGCACTTTTGTGGTCATTATGACCGTTCCTACTTCTTCTTCGTTCTCCTGCTTCCATCCCCTCATCATAAATCTCTTCTTGGACTGTGGCCCTTCCGGCAGGCTCGGGCTTTTGGCTTGTCCGCTTTCAGTTTTTCAACAGACGCGAATGGCGCATCTGGTATACCCTTCTTTGTACGAGTCTTGTTGACCCATTTCTTCACCACTTTCTTCGGATATACATTACTGGTGTTCATTACAAATCATGTACACAGCCTCGATTATCAACACGGCCCTTGCAGCTCCGTATTCAATATGCCATTTCCAATGCACCACAGAATGTCAGAGCAGAAAGTCCGTAGTGACAGACGATCAATGCGAGACGCATTACATCACACCCTTACTCTCGCCCCACGCGATACCTCGTATGTTAATCATTACAGCTGCTCATCAGGAATGACGTTCCGGCACCCTCGATATGGACAGGGTGACGACAACGCGTACCTGCACTAACAATCTCACCTTACTCGCACCGTTTGCTCGTTCCTGCGGTTAGCCTGCGGTCAGCCTGCAACAGGGTAGGGATGAGGACCTAGCAAGGAACACAACAGCATCTAGAGAACGCGCGAAGCCTTAGCTGCAAATTTCTAAGTACACATGATCCTAGCTTCTGAACGGGGTCAGAGCTCTAGCTTACATTTCGGAGTCTTGTACCGGATCTTGACTTCAAGTGCGTTCAGACGCTGTCACGATGGGTACAGAGCCAATGGTTAAAGTCCGTACGTCACCTGCACAAGCCCGCTCAATTGTTCGGATCCTTGCTGGACCAGCGATCCAACAGTATGTGCCTGCACATCTTGCCCGTTTTCTACGGTGCTCTTCACCACCCTAGTCATTTCCCTACCACAAGTCCGTAGCGTGCCTCCGGTATGCTAGACTGACGCAGCTACAATCCGGACCATCACACCGCCACATCTGCAGCAGCGAGCACTTCAGAATTTGAGGATTGGCGCTGTGCATCACGGACCCGCGATTAACAGATCACACGCCGACATAGAACCTGTGTGTTGTGCAGAAGCTTGGATCATGATCGCCCGACCTATCAAGCAGCCTGGGAAAGAGAAAGCTAGCTCCACTCACGAGCAATGGCAGTGCGCCCGGCCTCGATTTACCGTGAGCATGAGATCTGCTCTAGCATAATTAGTCTATATCTGGTTCTCTTCCGCAGCTCGATGACTTGTTCGCCGTACGCCCAGGATCCAAGTAAGTTGCGCAATCCATCCTCCCGCCAGCCAGCCAACGCACGCCGTTTTTAATAACTCTAATGGGGCAATGATGGGTAGTCTGTGGCTGAACACAGCAGGTATTGGAGGAAGGAAAAGCGCGTCCGGAGCTACGGATTCGCCGCTTCCCTGATCCATGGATTGCGCCCTGCCCGATGCACCTCTTGCACATGCAATGTACATACGGAGAACGTGCGACTGTGAATGGCATGTGGCATCGTCCACGTTTTCCCCGCAAAACGGAGAAAGAGTCATCTGCAGCGTTGGGCGGACCCATGGATGGGCATCGGGGTATGTGGATTTGCAACGCATGACTCGGTGCAAGGACCGCTGCCGTTACTACCCAGACTCAACCAAGCATTCATGGCAATTTAGCCAGCGGCACACCAAGCTTCATGCTACTCGTCACAAAGCTGAAGGCAGAATTTGAGCTGGCATTGCCCTCGGTTCCTGGAGCTAGAAGCCGAAATTAAGCAGGACCGCTGGGCCGCTCCGTCTGGGGTAAAGTGTGGAGAAGCGATGCTGCAGGTGTTTATTGGGATAAATGATCATGCGGAGGCGAAGAGGCTGACTGGGTGGAAGGAACAAGCGATGATCGAAGGCGCAGAAGTTTCTTTATGAAACGATCCTCGCGTGGCTGTTGTCAGACTGACCTGACAGCTGTACATACGATCTCATGCTCGGCTGAGAACGCATTCAAGCTGACCGGACTGCTCGCTTGCATGTGCCTTTGAAATGAGCTGGTGTAGAACCGCGATGCGCTGACAGCATGTCGGTTCAGTTTAAGCTCGCGGATCAAAGATACGCAGAGCCGTGATGTGACTTTCGATAGTTTGATGATGTGGAGCTCAAATCGCTTGCCAGTTGTTGCCCTTGTTGCCTGACGGATCCATCTGGTGCTAAGTATCGTTAGACGAACGTACAATTTCTCCGAAGTCGCGGCGCGTAGGGCGGCGCAACTGTAGGCATTGCCGTTCCTGTGTCCTCGCTTGGGTATTCAGGTACGTACCGAAGATTCCCTGCTCGTGCAGCTGGCAAAGGAATCGTAGCCGCTTGACATTCCTCTTCCGAATGCTAAGTCTGCCCGGCCGGACGGGACGTGTCGTGAATGTGACGAGCTTTGTACTACCTACCGTGTTTGCGTCCTTGTGTATCCGCTATTGGCGCCCAACGCGTGCAGGAGATGATGGTGTGGAGTAGCAGGAAATTGGAAGCAATGGACACCCGGGGTTCGAACGGTCAGCCTTGTGCATTATCGCACACGCGAGCTTCGCTCATGCGTGTTGGCGGAACGGAAAGAGACATCAGCCGGTCATCTTGCAACACCATCTTGAACTCTTTCGAGACTTGTACAGCACCGACATCCGGTATTTCCCAGTCACCTTACGCATTCTGGGTAGTCGAGTAATACGGCGAGTATGCTTCGCTTCCTTGAATACGTAATTGGCAATTACTCGCCGGTCATCGGCAATCTTTGCTGTCCAGATGCAGAACGGAGTAAATGATACTGCGCTGACGCTATTGGTGGAACGACAGTAGCAACGCTCGTCCTCACGTGTAGGCATGCAGTACTTGAGGGCTCTAGCTTGTACGCTTCACATGTCAGTTGGGCTCCGAGCGCAATAGGCGGCGATGCCATGTCCATGCTGCAGGCTCGAGGCATCCCTGACGGACGTGCCGAAGCGAAGACGAGACGGGAAGGAACTCATGCATATGTACCGCAAAACCTACGGCATTTGGCACTTCCAGCGTCGCCTTGTCTTATGCCAGCCCCCTTTCATCCGCCAACAGCGCGCGCAAGCACAGCGCTCAATGCGCACTTGTTTGATGTCGGTTTTGAGTACCAACCTGCCCTTTCGCTTCACCAGCGCGGACGGTTGAAGGATCAAAAGGGCAGCGCGAGGCGCCTCTAGTGCCCGACAACATGCAACCTGCAGATGCATGATGTTGGATCCCGAGGCTGTGCCCCCATTTTACAGCAGATCATCGTATGACGGTTGGCGCCATGAGCTTTTCTTGACCACAGTCGTTACTCGTACGAGATGCGGAAGTCTAAAATGCTGGGCATTACTCGTACTGCGCTTGCGTAGGGCCGAAGGGAGGGTCGGAAGTGGCGACAAGAGGTGGAGATGCTGTGACCGTGGGCAACCCGGAGAAACCTGACAAACGCTCGCCCTCTGGGCCGACATCATCATGCCACTGATGTCGCAGAGTCATGGAAAGAGGTTGCGCTCGCAGCGCCTGGCAACATCGCAATAGTCGGTGCAGCCTGATCGCAGCGCCTGTATTGGTCGACGTTATCTTGCCTCCTACCACATTCGATGATAAGGCCGCACCTTGCGCACGACGGGCGGTTCCTCGCGGAATTGCACTTGTGCGAGTACAAGGCATGTTGCCAGGGTTCTGATCCATTGCTTCTGGCGGTTCGATCCATTACTTGTGTCCCTGGCAACGAGGTGCATCGCACAGCAGCTTGGCCTGCCAGACGGTCTTAGTTATGTTGTGCTCCCATCGACCCGCGGGCCAGTCTTGCCCAATCGTACAGCATGATGCATTAACTCCACGGATGCAGCGACGTTGCCGTACGACAATCCGCTACCGTTTATCGAAATCACGTGGATGCTCAAAGTAGACATAGAAGATGTGAGGGAGAAGATAATAGGTATGTCGTGGGGTGAAGAAGTGGCATTGGTGGCACAACGCTAGTCTGTCACCAAGACTCTGGGGGCCTAAGGCGTGCATTCCGCTGACTTCTATCTCAGCTTCTGTCGCGGATCAAGAACTAATTATTTTCATCAGGATGCCGCTGCTTCGATCTGCATGAGTATGGAGGGACCTCCATTTCAGCACTAGGATGGCACGATCTCCGGATCCTCGACATTCCCAACAATAGCTTCTAGCTTTGGCGAAACAGATGAGTATATGTCATGTCATCCCAGCTGACAACAGACTGCCTCTTGGTCTTAAGACTCAACTTATATAGGACGATCTCTTCACTGGATCTAGCCTGCACCTAGATCAACATCGTCAAACCAAGTTTCCAATCGCTGACCTTGACCTAACCTCCTCCAGGGACTCAGCAGTGGTACCAGTTCAAGTTCATCCATGCTACTCTCACCGTGCTATAGACTAGCTCATAATGAGTCCTCGCAAGTCAAGACATTTAATTGTGTGTAGAAAGAAAGAGACAAGTCATATTTGTATCTTCATCGACCACTCCAAACCCAGCTCATCTCACGGATCTCCAGAACCACAAACACTCCTATCTCAGATTCTTCAAAGCAGCGCATCTTTCGACAGCCTTGCAGCACTCGCACCTGAGACCTGCTCAACTACAGGAATCACAAGGTAGGCAATTCAAACCGCGTTCTGATGCTTCTGATTCGCTTCGAGCTTCTCGGCAAGCAGTACTTCCAGCATGTCCCCAGTCGAAATCGATTTGAACTGGCGCGGCAATCGAGCCTCCTCGGCATTGAAGTAGGGCTCACCTAGGTAGAGGCCATTGTTGGTGCTACTGAATCGGTCTTGAGAGGACGAGTTGGAGCTGAATCGTGGATGCCACACCTGAAGATGTTCAGCCTGCACTAGCTGGCTTTGTTCTGGTGGGGCTCTTTGCAGAGTGTTCGAAAGGTACATGTTATGATCCACCTTAGAAGTCAAACCGAATCGTAAAGATGACTAGTCCAGGTTACCGCGTGGTATGACCGCTGAGGGTAGTAAACAACATCAGTGAAACTTCAGGCTGAGTGCTCGCACCTCTCCATTCACCCAATTGTGCGATCATACTCCAGATTCATGGTGGAGACAGCACTGCCACAAGCAGATTTCAGATCCAGGCACTGATTGGTGCTGGTGTTGGCTCATAGGCATCCAGGCAGCAACCTCTCACCAAGATAAGGCCAGCACCGAAGAGTCAGACGCTCTGGCAGCAGTCATCGGTTCCCTCAGCCTCAAACCCACTGACTACAATCCTGAGTCACTGTGACCACCTGTTCGCCTTCCAGAAGCCCTGGAACATTTTCGATGCCCAATGTTGGTCAGCTCGTTTGCGCTAGATGGAGTTAAGGGTGAAGTACACAGCTGATTGGCTGTTGAATTGGAGAATCGAAAAACACGCCGTCATACTGCGTGAATTCGCACCAAAACGTCACCTTTTGGGAACGTCGTTCGATCGCAGCGAGCAAACAGATGCAAAGACACAGTGGACATTGTGCGCACAAGGCGGCGTAGAGGTCCTCACAATGCTTACAGTACCCTTTGTCTGCCTCAAAGCCACCTCCTGGCTGAGACGGTGCGACGCGCCACAGAGCTGGAAGACCGCCCCATGTTTGTCTGGACGCAGTTTCCACTCACCTGGTCCCGGTCTGCAGACAGTGACTGCGCGCAGAGCGTTTGGCAGCGAGACACGTCTGCCTCGAACGTGTTTGCCGCAGACGTGTGAGATTGCTGGAAGTGCACTGCGCAGCTTGCCCCCCCCCGGGAAAAGGAAATAACGCCCCTTGGTGCGCTCGTCTGTGCTGGCAAGGCCCACGTCAAGGTGTTGGGGCGGAGTGCAGCGTGCAGCGTGCAGTGTGATGTTTGTGATTGCGGCTCGCAGTGGCAGCCCCGCAATGGTATTTGAGGCAAGAGCGGACAGGCAGCCTCGAATTCACAATGTGCATGGCTGCAGGAGCAGCGAGTTGGTTCAGTGAGTCGTGCGCACGCCTGTCGCGTGGACGAAGAGGCCGCTGCGGACGGCAGGCAGGCCAGTGTTCTGGCGGTGCACGAATCACATGCGGGAGGACTCCATGGGTGGGCAGTGATGATCCCTGTGGTTCGCTAAGCCCGCTCTCAACTTGGGCGAACAATTTTCAAGACGGCCTTCCTCTCCCTTCACACCTCTTCATCGTGAAGACCTAGACAACATCTCCGCAGCGGGCTCAGTGCATTTCCACGCGAGCCGCTTGCCAATTTCACAGCCGCGTCTGTTGGAATTCTCCGAGGAGCACCTGTCACGACTCTTTTCACTGCAATCCAGTGAAAGCGCTCGGACAGCCTCTTCCGTCGCCCTTCTCTCAGGAGCCGACCCTTCTTCGCCCAACGCGACAGACCCTCTCTTCTGCACTCGAGTCGCGCCCGCCGCCGACTCTTAATAGCAGCCAGACCGCCCCGCGCCGAATCCGAGATTCGCCCAGCACCCCGCGCCACTCTCAGCGACTGCGACCTCACCCGCACTCGCACCGCCCGCCACCGCTCTCACGCCGACCTCCGACGCCCAGGTACTAATGAGTGCATCCGCTTCGAACGCGCAGAACCCACCGATCGCCGCTTCCTCGACCGCTACGCCCGCGAACAGCTCCTCGTCTGGACCGTCCGCCACCGTGGCCGCTGGTTCGGCTCAGCCCACTGCCCGTAGCTCGTACGCCAACGCGACCAAGAAGATCTCATCTCCTACGATCGCGTCCAGCGGCGCGCCCGCGGCAGTGGGAGCCCCGCAGAGCGCACAGCATGGCAAGAGCAGCTCCGTCTCCCCGGTGAACGGCAGCAGCATCACGCCCGCCGTGCCCACCATGCCCACCATCGTGAGTGGCGGACCCAACGGCGACCACAGCCGCAAGTCCTCTGTTCACATCAAACAGACGCCGCCGACCTCTGCCGCGCCCTCCAACATCAAGTTCGGCTCGCTCGCCGGCTCGCCCGCGCCCGCGCCCGCCATGCCCGTGGCTCAGAGCAGCAACCTGAACCCGCAGGCCCAGAACCCGCGCGTCGCCTCGCCTGCACACTCGCCCTCGCCTATTCCCACGCCCGTCTCGGGTGGCCCCAAGCCAGACGGTTTGCCCACTCGCCCGAACCTGGTTTTTGGCGGACAGGGTAGTGAAAGCGCTGATGGCGTAAGTTGATCCCCTGCTCCCAATCTTGACTTTCGCCATCTGCAAGATTTCGCCCACACTTGAATATCCGCTGACAAAAATACCCAGTCTCGCCCCGTGATGCCCGCCCAACCGAACGGTCCCCCTCACATGCGCCGTGAGTCTTCCCAGTCGAGCAACCAAGGTTTCCAGCCCAACGGCGGACGTGGCCGCGGTTTCCAGCCGCAGCCCTACGGCCAGTCGCCTCAGCCATACCGCGCTATGCCTATCCAGCAAGTGGGACGAGGAGGCATGCCTCCCTCTTTCACTCCCCAGGGTCTGCAGAACTCTCCCTACCGCAACAACCGTCCTAGCCCCGCTATGACGCCTGCTACTCTCCACCAGCAGCAGCACTTTGCCAATCCTCCGGGACAACCCTTCTACCCCGGACAGCAGTACCCGCCACAAGTTCGTATACCCTCTCATTCTTCCAACAATCTCGTATCAGAGTTCAGCAAGCCGAACAAGCGTTCGCCTGCAACTCATTTTTCTCAACTTTCGACTCCTTGTTTTCATTCTTCGCATGCTCGTTCGACAAACCTGAAGGGGCCTGATTTTCAAGCGCCTGACGACGAGTCGAACGCTTTCTTTCAATCTATCGACTTTTCTACATTTACGAAAACTCAACAAGAACAGTATCTAACGACCATGCACCAGCAGAACATGTACGGCATGCCTCCTCAAGGTCTCGACCCGTACAACAACTACTACGGCCAGCCAGCGTACGGACTTCAGCAGTCCATCCACTACCCTGGTGTTCCTAACAGTCCCGGCCGTGGCCACGGCTTTCCCCAGCAGATGCAAAACCCGTACTCGATACCCGGCCCTTACGGCCAGCCTCCTCAGGGTCAGAGCATGTCGCGCACTCCATCGCAAATGTCCGAGCGCCCTCCATCTGCTGTACCCCAGCCTTCCACCCCTGCGATGACCAACGTCAACCACCACGCCCACACTCCTAGTGTCACATCCGCTAGCCCGGCACCAAGCTCGAGCGCTTTCGAGCGTCCGAAGAAGAAGAGCGCGGCTATTATCATCAAGACTGCTGATGGCGAGATTGTCGACTTCAATAAGTCCAAGGCCGCCCCCTCGCCTGCGTCTAACGCTGCGCCTGCAGCACCTGCTCAGTCCAAGAGCCCCGCGATCGCCGCCACTCCTACACCTCCCCCTCGTGCGCCCAGTGCCTCAGACGCTACAAAGACTGAGGAAGCACCTGTCAAGTCTGCCAGCGAGAAGAAGGCCGACTTCGTCAAGCAGTTCCAGGAGAAGCTTCGTCTCCAAGAGGAAGCTGACAAGAAGGCTAAGGATGATGCTGATAACGAGGCCAAGGCAGCCGTCGAAGCCGAGCAAAAGAAGAAGGACGATGCCAAGGCAGCCGAGGAGAAGGCAGCTCAAGAGGCCAAGGCCAAAGAAGAGGCCGCCGCACAGGAGGCTCAAGAGGCCAAGGAGGCCGAAGAGAAGGCTGCAAAGGAGGCCAAGGACAAGGAGGATGCCGCAGCAGCAGCTAAGTCCACCGAAGACGACGAGGCCGAGAAGAAGCGTAAGGAAGACGAGGAGTTCGACCGCATGGTCGCCGAGATGGAGGCTGAAGAGGCTCGTCGTGAAGAAGAGGAGAAGAAGTATGCTGAGGAGAAGAAGCTCAAAAAGGCCGCGGAGGACGCCAAGGCCGGCGACAAGATCAAGGCTCAAGAGGAGGCTCTCCGCAAGGCTGAAGCTGAAGCCGAAGCCGCTGAGATCGCTCGCCAAAATGAGACCCCAGAGCAGAAGGCTGAGCGTGAGGCCAAGGACAAGGAGATGTTCGCTTCTCTGAAGAAGAACACTATGTTCGGCCCTGGTGCTACCGGTGAGGAGCCCAGCGAAGACTCCGCACCTCCCGCAGCCGCTCCCGCCCCTGTGGCTAAGCCTGCTTCGGCCACCAAGCCCAAGCCTGCCGCGCTCAAGCTCGAAACCAACAAGCCTGTCGAGCCTGCTCAGCCCACTGCTGGTATGGAGTCTCTCAAGACTGCTCGCTTTATCCAGATCCGTAACGAGGCTATCAACTACCCTGAGGGTGTCCAATCGCCCAACCCTGCATTGAACCAGGGCTCCAAGAGCAAGGGCCGTCAGTACGACAAGGACTTCCTGCTCCAGTTCCAGGAAGTCTTCAAAGAGAAGCCCTCTGTTGATTGGGACATGAAGCTCAAGGAGACCGTCGGTGATGGCACTGACAACGGCGGCCGCACTCCTTCCGTGCGTAGCGCCGCTGGCCGTGCTCCTTCGCAGAGAGGAATTGGAGGTGGCATGGGCAACTTCGGTCAAGGAGGAGCATTCGGTGGTTCGCGCACACTTCCCCCCGGCACGACTTCGCAGCAGCGTTTCGAGCAAGCATCCGGCCGTGGCGGCGGTACAATGACCAATCCTCTGGCACCTTTCGTACAAGGTGGCAGCCAGCGTGGCTTTCCTATGGCCCCCGGCATGTCTCGCTCGTCGTCGTTCCAACCTGGACCCAACTCTCCTCGTGTTGGTTCCCAGGGTGGTCGTGGTGATCGCAGCCGCCGTGGTGGTGGAGGACAGAAGGGCCATCAGGCGGATGCTAAGACCATGCCTCTTACTGCAGGCAAGGATCTCAAGCCCCTAGAGCAGTCCCAGTCTGGATGGAAGCCCCACGGCGCCGAGAAGGTCGTCGTCACTGGCCACATGGCTCCTGATATGGTTCAACGCAAGGTCAAGGCTGCTCTGAACAAGATGACACCCGAGAAGTTCGATAAAATCTCTGATCAGATCCTCGAAATTGCTGCACAGTCCAAGGACGAGACCGACGGTCGCACTCTCCGACAGGTTATTCAGCTTACCTTCGAGAAGGCTTGTGACGAAGCTCACTGGTCTTCCATGTACGCCAAGTTCTGCTTCAAGATGCTGAACACTATGAGCCACGACATCAAGGATGAGAACGTTCGCGACAAGCAGGGTAACCCCGTCGTTGGTGGTGCCCTCTTCCGCAAGTACCTTCTGAACCGCTGTCAGGAAGAGTTCGAGCGCGGTTGGGAAGTCAACCTTCCTGAGGCGCCAGAGGAGGGTAAGGAGACTACCATGCTGTCTGATGATTACTACATCGCTGCTGCTGCCAAGCGTAAGGGTCTCGGTCTCATTCAGTTCATCGGTGAGCTTTACAAGCTGGGCATGTTGACCCTTCGCATCATGCACGAGTGTGTCCTCAAGCTCCTCGACTTTGAGGGTCTGCCTGACGAGTCCGCCATTGAGTCACTGGTGAAGCTTCTCCGCACTGTCGGTGCCACCATGGAGTCGGCCGATGCTGGACCGAAGATGATCAACATGTACTTTGAACGTGTTGAGAAGGTCATGAACATGGAAGCCCTCAACTCCCGTCTGAAGTTCATGTTGCTGGACACAATCGACATCCGCAAGTCCGGCTGGCAGTCCAAGGACATCCTCAAGGGCCCCAAGACCATTGCCGAGATTCACCAGGAAGCCGTTGCTGCACAGCAAGCTGCCGAGATGGAGCGTTCTCGCTCCCAGCGTGGCGGCGGTGGCGGCCGTCTCCCAATGGGAGGCCGCGGCGACGCGCGCTCATTCTCTGGTGGTGGTATGATGCCTCCTCCAGACAACAGCAGCCGTGTACAGATGGACGACCTCCGCAAGCTGTCCAAGGGTGCATCCGCCCGTGGTCTCAACAATACTGGTTCGCTCGGCCCCTCGATGCTGGGTAGCCGCAGCGGCAGCGGTCGTCGTGGCCTCGGTCCTGGTATGATGGGCCGTGGTGGTGATGATTCTGGTAACTCATCCCGCACCGGCACACCCCCTGTAAAGGAGAAGTCAACTGCACACGCAAATGCTTTCGAGTAAGTCATCACCCAGTCGCTATACCACATTTGTACTTTGCTAATAGTTACGTAGTGCGCTCGCTGCCCTTGAAGCCGAAGACAACGCCGGCGATGTCAGCTCTCCTCTAGCAGCTGCCGCCGAGACGGAATCCAAGCCGTCTGAGTGATTACCTTCATACTTCGTTCCAGCGCGTGGCGGTCATACCCATAGACAGCACCACACGCGGTAATCTAATCGCTTGTTTCGTTGCATAGACAGGGGCATTTTCTGCGCGCATTGTACTGCATTTCGCATCAAGACTAGCGGGGTCAAAAGTTCTTTGTTGTCGATTTACGGGTTTCGAGAGGATGGTGGTGTTTTGTCCATCTTTCGACCTGTATCATGAGCGGGTACAATACCATGACGGCGTTCCGGATTTGCTGAGGTAGCCACCACGCCGACCGCTTCTTGCGTTCTGGGTGGGATCTTTTGGCTCCTGGTTCACTACCCTATTCGTTCTTCGTTCCTGCACATTTTTGTCTTTATGTGCGAGTGGTGGATGTCTTTCAATGCGTCCTTCACGCTCAAGTCCTTCCGAATTGCGATGGTTTGACGCACGATAACGGATGGATCAGTACGTATTGCTTCGGCATAACCGTATGAATGCACATGATGGGAGGATTTATGAGAGATGGCAGATTTTTCGTGTGTATAGCTCGATTTGATTCAGAATGAACCGATTACTTCATGTGCTGTACCTTCCACATCTTCTTGCGTGATTCAGATGTCGGGTCAGAGCACAATACTTCGTACAGCCTGTCCTTTCAACCATGCGGGACGGGTGGGGCTTATCCCTGTCATTGATGTGATGAACACGAGGATCGACCTGCAAGCCGGCGCGGCTCTGGCCTGTGAGAGCCGTTGAATATCGGTGATCAACGGATATTGCACCGGGTGAGGGGGTTGCGACAAGGGTGTTGTATCTGAAGGGCAGGAGCGACGTCATGCAGGGCTGAGTACCGTATATAACCCACGATTGATCAAATTGCCCCTTCCACCAACCCTCATCGCCATGTCTGACCAAAATCAGTCCAAGGGTACGTTGTCATATCTAAGAAATATTTCACAGTAGCCACGCTCCTTCAAGCAACGCATAGACTGGCAGCCACTCAACGCTCTCCATCCACACAAAACATACTAACAGTACTGTAGGTTTCTTCGGAACCGCCACCAGCGGCCTCGGTATGTCTACTCTATTACGCATGCTCTCTACCCATAACAACAACAGCAACATGCTCGTTCGACAATATGCTTGTTCCTGGAAGTGTGCTGACTGACACCAGGCAACACGTTAGGCGCCGCAACCAACACGCTTGGCAAGGGCGTTGGAACCGTCACTGACGCAGCTGGCAACGTCGTCACTGCTACGGGGAAGGGCGTCGGTGATACTGTCACGGGTCTTACGCAGGGGCTCGGTGATACTACGAAGGGTATGTGCACCTTGTGTTGCTCTCGATGTCTGAGATGCTCGCAACGTTTACGGAGAGATGAATTGCTAACGATGTTGTAGCTGGCGGAAACTTTGTCAAGGACACGAGCAGGAGCGGAACGGATAGTCTTGGCTTGACTGAGGCGGAAAAGAAGGAGCAGGCTAAGCAGTAGAGGCTAGAGCTAACGTACACTAATGATGAATGCCTTGCCGAGGGACGACCGCATCGAGCCATGAAAACGAACCTGATTATAACCCCTGAGTTACGAATGACATCTACTGTTATGTAAAGTTCAGACCCAAAATGCGACCAACCCAGCCGCTGAAGCCTAGAACCCAACCAACCCAGCTAACCAGCTGACCCAGCCAGCAAGCTCATCGTACAGCACTAGACGTTACACCAATTTTCCATTCTCTCCACTCCCTTTCAAGGATTGCTTTCCTGCCCTCTTCAATGAGCCTCAACGGCGCACCAAGACTGAATCTCCCTCCCTCCTCCCTCCATGATCCGAACCTCTCGCCCCTCTTCATCGGTTCTTCTTCGAACTGCACCTCATTCCTCAGCACCCTCACCATGAACTCCTTGACCCCGAGTAAACAATCCAAAGCATCCACACCAGCCGTGACATGCCCTGCAGATAGGGTGACCGTACTTGTACCTGCCTCGTTCCTCTCCTGCACAAACGCAATGAGCATATCAACGCTCCTCCACCACTCCTTCAAATTGCCCTCACTCGGAAACAGAATCTGAGCAGGCGTTTCGTAAAACGCATCTCCAACATACAGCGCGCGCTCGTCCGCATCGTACCAGCTCAGACTATCGGGTGTATGGCCCGGCGTGTGCAAAGTGATGATGGGAAGTTGCATATGCGCGCCGAGCTTCGGGTGCACGACGTCCAAGGACTGGGCGTGCTGCGCCCATACACTGGTATGGTAAGGGGGCAAGCGGAGACCCAGGTCAGCGCACAGCGAGTGTTTGCGCAGATTGCTGGGGGCAATGAAGGAGGGATCGTAGCCGGACGATACGATTAGGGTGCGTGTCGAATGAGTCATGTGGGTGGGTCGGAGGATCGGATTGAGGCCGAGAATGTGGTCGTAGTGGCAATGCGAGAGGATGACGAGATAGGGGATTGAGGAAGACGGGTTGAGGTGGTGGTCGATGAAGGTGCGGATGTTCCATTGGCCGGTGCGGGATAGTTTGCTTGAGACGGAGGTGCCGCAGCCGGTATCGTTGACGATGAGTAAATTTACTGTTCGCCCATCTGCGAGAATCTCCGTATGTTTCTTCACATAGATGTTGGGGTTTTCGTCCTGGCGGTGTTAGTGATGGTAGAGTTGTGACCGTGCAGCGGCACTTACGAAACGGTCAAGTTCGCGGATCAAAAACGTAGTTCTGTTGATTTGACGGATGGTGAAGGGGCACGCATCAAGCTGTCTCTGCAAGAACCCATGGGGAGCCTCGAGCTCTGGTGTTTTCCGAAATGCAGCGTGCCATATCCAGATACACACTCCAATCAGAAGGAACAGCACGATCACATCTCCTTGGATCACAGCCGGTTCGCGACCAGCCCTGTTACGATGGTGAGGCTCAGCGGCGCTCGTTGCTCTCAAGATAGACATGGGCGCATCTGCAGTTCATGAATGTTATTTGACCGAGAACAAGACGCACTTTGGGTTAGCTTCTGAGGTCGGTGGAGAAGACTTGGAGTAAGCTCTTGGTAAGCGCGACATGACGCGCATGCGTGGCCCGTGGAGCACCCGCGGAGAGCTCGCACGCGGCCACACGCAACGCGTCCAAGCTCATCCCCGCAATATGCGTCCATCAGCGGGATCTCAGACCTTTAAGAAAAGGTGCAGCCTATGAGGCGTTCAGCATGGTCATCAGGCAGCACGCCTGGACTTAAAAGTGCCGCCGCTACAAATGGCGGGGCAATCCCGTTCCCTTTGCCGTGGTTCTGCGTCGTCATTGCTAACTCGCAGTGCCGTGTAAACTAATATCCATAGCTTCAAATAGGATGGAGGGCATCCTGCCACTTCTGCTAGAACTGTTCACCGGCCTCGTTCAGGCTTTCGGGTTCCGCAACTACAACCTCTGGTCCAACGTCCATTCTGCTTCATCGAGGCTACTCTGGCCCGAAGAACGCTCTGCAGAACGCCAGCCACTGCGACAGGAGCAGCATCAAGAGTGATCACAGGAGCAAGACGTGTAAGATGTCATCTCTCGGCCCAGGTAACAAGTCTGTGCCAGTCTTGAAGAATTTGACTATCGACAACATCACCGAGAACGTAGTGCGCATCAATTCGCAATGCGGCGATCCACGGTTGAAGTATATCATGGAGCGTCTCGTCTCGCACCTGCACGACTTTGCGCGCGAGACACGCCTCAGCTTCGACGAATGGATGGCAGGCATCCAGTTTCTGACCCAAGTCGGCCAGATATGTACAGACGTGCGGCAGGTAATACTCCCAAGTCCAGCACACTATTTCAAACACTGATAAGTCAGGAATTCATTCTGCTCTCCGACATAGTCGGCCTCTCGCTCCTCGTCGACTCGATCGACCACCCCAAGCCCTCCCACAGTACCGAAGGCACCGTCCTCGGGCCCTTCCACACACACGACGCGCCGGCTGATCAGAACGGATTCTCCATCTCCGCCGACCCCAACGGCGATCCGCTGCTCGTGCTGTGCACTGTCAAGAGCACGTCCGGCGAGCCCGTGGAGGGCGTCAAGGTCGACATCTGGGAGACGGACAGTCATGGCAAGTACGATGTACAGTACGACGACCGCGGGAACAAGGCCGATGGGCGCGCTGTCATACATAGCGATACGGAGGGCGTGTTTTGGTTCCATGCGATTGTGCCGGTGCCATATCCAATTCCGCACGATGGGCCGGTGGGCAAGTTGTTGGCGAAGCTGGGGAGGCATTGCTGGCGGCCGAGTCACTTGCATTTTATGTTTGAGAAGGAGGGATTTGACCACCTGGTTACGTGAGTACTTTGCTCTTATCTCAGTTCCCACTGATCGCAGGGCATGGCAGCTGACAAGAATAGGGCGCTGTACATCCGCGGCTCCGACTACGAGACCTCCGACGCAGTATTCGGCGTCAAAGACTCTCTCATCGTTGCGCTGGACACGGTGACGCCGGAGCAGGAAAAGCAGTACGACGTCAAGGAAGGCACGAAGCTGCTGACCTATGATTTTGTGCTTGTCACAGACGAAGAGACGAAGAAGCTGCGCCACGAGGAGGCCGCGAAGGCCATGAAGTCTCTGGGTCGCGAGGCAGGCATGACTATCATTAACGGCGTACCCGTGCCAGATGTTGATTAAGCTCTGTCGGGAATCTTGTGAACAGGGCGACGGCTATGTTGACGTATTTGATGCCCTCCAACAGATTGCGGATAGGTGAATAGCTTCATCTAGGTTCCATAATAAGTCACCAGCCTTGACAACTCAGCATCGACTATGTCGTACGCAGCCTCTATCCTTATCGCGACCTCCATCATTTCTTCCATCAATACAACAGTTCTAACCGAAGCCATGGGTGCCAACCGGCTAGCCTCCCGAGAGCCAAACACCAAATGCGGGGTTTAGCTTCACTAGGCAAAGCGATCCCAAGCAACACTAGAAAGCGTCTGCCGCGTCTAGCACTACCGTGACAAGATGTCAAGCTACGCCCTTGTCTTGACAGATGTGACATACGAGACTGGTGCGACTCAATGGACGTGATATAAGGTGCGCTTTCCCAGGACTCCTCTTGTCTACAATTACACTACACGACGTGCCATGGGAGTGTCCCTTAATTTCGATATGATCAGCACTGCGTATGCGTGGGGCCTGTTACTCCTTGGAGCAGGAACACTTACAATGATGTTGGGAAAGTACCTCAATGCATGTCACGCAGCCTATTCTTAAGACACTGACAACGCTGACCGTACTTCCAGAAGGCATCGCAGCCGCTACAATCCTCTGACAAGCGACGAGACTCGGGAGTCTCAGATGCGAACTCAGAAGATGCGTACTACAACATCGAGCCACTCAATGACTTCGACCTCGACGCCGAAGAACCGATCAAGGCACGCCCGTTCAAGCCCAAGTTTTACATGACAATGGGTACTATACGAGCGAACCGCTGGCCCTTGACTCTTCTAACATGCGTATCAGCCATCGAAAACACAACACTCTCCGATCTCGTAGCAATGGACAACACATACCAAGAACGTATCCAAATGCGGCGCGACCTAATCAGGGACTCGCACCACGAGGTAATCGGCAACAACCCCAAAGCCGACCCAGCCGTATCTGAACTATACGCCTGGCTCACGACCACCTACCTCCCCCGCCGCTTCCCCACAATATTCACATTCACTCCTAGCGGCCTCCTCAACCGGACGACCAATGAGACACTCCCACCGACCCCCGACTCAGCCAGCCACGCGCTGACCATCATGGGCTCGCACGTTGATGACGAATTCCTGCTCCTGCTCCCCAGTGACAAGGAAGAAGACGCAGGCAAGTATCGCCTCGAAGCATTCACAACCTGTTTCCCGTCGGGCTTCCGCACACGCGCCAAGCTGGGCCTACTGCTGTCCGCGATCCATGCACCGGTGCCGCACTACGCGCAGAAACTCGAGCGGTCCATGGACAAATTCTTCACCGCGCTGCCTGTCGGGAAGATAGTGAAGCGCTGGAATTGGACCATCTCGACGTCGGGCGACTTGTTCTGTGTCGCGGGCAACCACGCCACGAGTGCGGAGTTGGAGGACAAGGGCAGAGAGAATGTTGACCTGCGGACCACGTTTTTGAGGTGCGAGAGGCAGACTCTGCACCGCCTGCCGCAGTCACAGGCTGTTGTTTTTGCATTCAAGACGTATCAGTATCCGATCCAGGAGCTGCGGGATGAGGGCAGCGGCGAGGCGTTGTGCGAGGCTATTGATGGGATGGGCACGGGCAGTGCGCCGCAGATGGCGATGTATAAACGGCAGGTTGTTTGGGGTGAGAAGGTTAAGGCGTTTTTGAGAGGGGAGATCGATGTCAATGCGTGAGGGTGTTTTCGTGGTGGCGGTTGCAGTGTGGTTCCTGCGTCAGTTTTTGGATTTGTGCCGTATACCCGAGGTCTTCGAAAGGTTTGCCTCAATGCGAAGGTCTAGTTGACATCGGACGCATACAGCGTGTTCTTTGGGACTGCCGCGCTCTTGTACTCCAAGTCACAGGAGTTGTTCACGCTCAGAAGTGAGATTTGACATAGCGGTAGAGGCTGATGGAAGGCACAGGAAGGGTCGAGTCGCAGTGTATGTACGACTTGGCCTTGCTTTTGTCGAAAATCTTCTCAACCGAGTCCATTACGCAGGCGGTCTAAATCTTCGGAGGTGAAAACGCAATCGCGTGCGAGGCATCGTTCTCGTGGACGGCGAAAATCCTCCTGCCCGGTCAGCTGGCCGAGAGGCGCACATCATCGTAATGTTCGGTATTCATAAAGACATGAATTCGCTCCTTGACATCCCCAGAATTAAAGATATAGGTATTTCAACAAAACCTACGTATACATGTCATGCAGCATCCAGGCGCGATAACCCTCCCTAAAGCAACATCCTGTCGCTGCGTAGAAGCCCAAAGTCTATCGTATACAATGCTGCTGGCGCTAAAAGCAATTTCTGCATCCGCTCGAGGCGGTAGTGATGGTCGACCGTTCATGTGAGCGTCTAGCTCGAGGAGCCGGGGTAGCGTGTCTTCCCTACGGTGAAGGGGACGTAGCGGTACTTGATCATGTGCTGAATTTGTCGGCGCACTGGGACGCGTTAGCTGCATTGTCCACCATTGTTACGGTATTCAAACTTACTGGTCAGGCCGAAGAGGATCAGCCAGTATACGACGAGGACAGGCCAGAAGACAGGCAGGTTGAAGATCTCGAACCAGCTGCAGAAGAAACCGATGGCGATGGCCTTGGTGGTCGAGTACCAGAACTTGAACTCTGGCAGACGGCGCACGAAGGGCCTGAACTCCTGGTCCTCCTTGGTAGGGAGGCCGCTTGCGTTTCCATCCTCCATGCCCTCATCCTGCTCTAGCGCGGGGTCGAACTTGGGCGACAGGAAGGCGAGAAAGAGGTTGAGCAGGTAGATACCCAGCGAGTAGGCGACAATGTACCAGCCTTGGGCGACGAATATGCGCAGCCCAAACAGGAGGAAGAGTACGCCTGTCCCAACCCATCTGTATATGTTGTAGGGCGTGGACTTGTCGAGATAAGCCTGGAACATCTGCGCTCCGTCAGTCACTGTACATCAATCTGATCAGCCGCATCCCGCACGCCCAAGACACGATAGTGCAGGGTAAAGCAGGTGCGCGTGGCGTTCGACATACCCTGCCATACTTTGTGGTCTGCGCTGTGACGGCTGCGAAAGGGGTGTCTGGCTCCGGGGAATCCATGGCTGCCGTGGTTTTCTGGCTGCGGCTCTGTAGGCGGAGCGGTGGTGAGCGGCGTTGCGAACGAAGGGCTGATTGTTGGGGGCGGCGTTGTTGAGGAGAGGCTACCTGTCAAAACTCAAGTTACGTGTCGCGCAAGGCTGAGATCCAGAATGCGCAGCAGCAAGCTAGGGCGAACGTGAGCCGGTGGCAAGTGGAACCGAAGACGACATCCTTGCCAGCCGCTGTCGAATGACATAGCCGAGGCAGCCGAAGCTATGCGCGAGCTCCAACTTTCCTTGTGAGAAGACTTGCAGTGAGAAGACTTGCAGTCTCTACAACACCCTGCGAGCGCCAGATCAATTGCACCGGAATCGTGATGCAGGCCTTTAGATCAACAGTGCGAGTTGCTTCGCAGTTCAGGCCTACTGGCCTCCCCAGGTTCTACTCCACACAGAAGAGCTACGAGCACCTGCTTGTCTCGACACCGAAGCCCGGCGTTGGGTTCAGTGAGTCTTGCCCTCATCCTACTGGCAGTACAACTGCATGTGACAACAACCATGCACAAGTCACGATTGTCAAAACCAGAGCTACGAATCGCGCGCACCTTGCTAACGATCGCAGTCCAGCTCAACCGTCCCAAGGCCCTCAACGCGCTATGCACTCCGCTCATCCTCGAACTCAACCAGGCACTGCGCGACTTCCAAGCCGATAAGTCCATTGGCGCAATCGTCTTGACCGGCTCCGAGAAGGCCTTCGCCGCTGGTGCAGACATCAAGGAGATGAAGGACCTCACCTTCAGCAACGCATACGGAAACGACTTCATCGAGACATGGTCAGACCTCGTTACGTTCCTCAAGAAGCCGCTCATCACAGCGATCAATGGATACGCGCTTGGCGGAGGCTGCGAGCTTGCCATGATGGGAGACATCCTGTACGCTGGACCAAAGGCAGTGTTCGGTCAGCCGGAGATCAAGTTGGGTGTCATTCCTGGCGCAGGAGGTTCGCAGCGTCTGACAAAAGCGATTGGCAAGTCAAGGGCTATGGAGACTATCTTGACTGGCGACAACATTTCTGCTAAGCAGGCTGGCGAATGGGGGCTGGTCGCAAAGGTGTTCGAAACACCCGAGGCTACTGTAGATGGAGCTATCGCAACTGCGGAGAAGATCGCAGGGTTCAGTCAGATCGCTGTCAAGGCTGCAAAGGAAGTTGTCAACAAGAGCCAGGACCTGGGTATCAGGGAAGGCGTCGAGTACGAGAGGAGGGTGTTCCACGGCCTGTTCGGCAGCCAGGACCAGAAGATTGGTATGGCTGCTTTCGCCGCCAAGGCAAAGGCCGAGTGGAAGAACGAGTAGAGCAGTAACGCCAAATTAAATGCAGAAGAGCATTCGTATTTCATTCGTATTATGGACCCCCACATTCCACTAGCTGGCCTCGGTCCGCCGATATCGATAAGACATGCGGGCCGCGCGTGATGTGCCCGCGCGGGACCTTCACAAGCATCAAGTATTCAACATGCCCGTGCAGTAATTGCCAGATCGTGCTGCATAGCACCCACAGTTACCATGATGCACGAAACACCTTGGATACGGGATATCCTGCGCTTCGCCCTCACAACAACGCCCTCCACCCCGCCACCGTGGGAGTCGCCATCCTTCTCCACCACCGCAGGCGGAGGAGACCTTACCGACCCGGACGACCCAGGCAAAGACCCACGCTTCCGAAAACTAGTCGAAGCGATCCTATTCGGGCGGCGGTTTCTCAAGACCTACAACATCGTGTTGCTGGGCGTACTGTTGGTCTTCACAGCCTGGCACTGGGGCGAGAAGCTCTATCTTGGCCGGCGGAAGCGGCGGATCGCTGTACAAAGTGACACAGGTATTGAGGATGAGGTGTGGAGCAGCTCCAGCAGCACGCTTGAGGGGACTGTGACGCCGCCCGGGCCAGACAAGAAGGCCAGCAATACTGATGTCTCCGAGACGTCTCCTCTGCTGTCCACACGGCTGCGACCGAGACGAAGTGTTATCTGGACACCGTACTATGCGGTCAAGGCGGCGCTGCAGTACCAGCCGCCCCCGGTCCCGGTCATGAATAAGATACTACCCACAAATGCCGTATCGCTGCTTGTGCTGGCCTGGCTAGGCCTCATACTCTTCTACAACCTCTACCGGATGCCGCTGAACTTCATGTACCTGTTTGTCATTGCGGACCGCTGTGGGATCGTTTTCATTGCGAACTTGCCGTTGCTGTATTTGCTTGCTGCGAAGAACCAGCCTGTCAAGTTCCTCACTGGGTATTCGTATGAGAGTCTGAACATCTTCCATAGGAGGGTGGGAGAGGTGATGTGTTTCGAGGCGTTTTTGCATTTCGCGGGGATGGTTGCGTTCTGGTATGGGCTGTTGAGGCGGCTGGGGTTCACACTGGGTAGGTTCTTGCTGAATCGGGTCGTGCTGCTTGGACTGCTGGCCTTGATCTCATATGAGCTGATCTACCTTACCTCCCTGGGCAGCTTCCGGAAGCGCATGTACGAGGTGTTTCTGGCCTTGCATATCTTTCTACAAGTCGCTGGTCTAGCATTTCTCTGGTTCCACCACTACACTTCCCGCCCCTACGTCGGCATCTCGCTCGCCATTTTCTTCATCGACCGGCTCGTATACCGTCTCTTTCTTAAGTCTAGCACGCACGCCGCCACTCTGACTGTTCAGGACGACGACGAAACCGTCCTGCTCTCCTCAAACTGGGACGTCAGTACCCGCTCACCCGCTCTGCGCCTTCTATCGCACAACATAGAGCACGGCTGGTCCCCCAACGAACACATCTTCATCACTGTCCCCGACCTATCACGAAAGCACGCACTGCAATCGCACCCCTTCACCATCTTCTCCGCTGCCCCAAACACGCACCACACAACCCAGGACGATCAGAGCGAACACGCATGGTTCACACTCTTGATCCGCGCCCAAGCCGAGTCTGGCTTCACAAAGCAGCTGTTGAACTACGCGCGCACGCACCCCCAAACCCGAATCCGCCTTGACGGCCCGTACGGCTCGTCACACGCCCTTGACATGCTGCGCTCATCATCAACCGCAGTCCTAGTTGCGGGAGGCTCTGGCATCGCAGTCGCATACCCGCTGCTGTACTCGCTTCTCCGTCCGCCCAGCGATCCTGAGACCGCGCTCGCCACGTCCGCGAGGAAGGTAAAGCTGCTCTGGATCACGCATAGCCCGTCACACCGCCTCTGGATACCGGAGGATAAACTCAAGGAGCTGCAGGACTGGGGACTGGATGTACTCATCCCGCCACCGACTTCGCTTGCGGGGCGGCCTGATATGAGGAGTGTCGTGGGTGGGTGGGTGGATGCTGAGATGAGAGGGAAGACGGGCGTGGTTGTTAGTGGGCCCGATGGCTTGGTGAGAGATGTGAGGAATACGTGTGCGAGAAAATTGTGGCAGGGGGAAGATGTGGGGGTGGCTGTTGAGAAGTTTGGCTGGTGAGGGATTTAGAGATTTTGCATAATGGAAGGCCACAGGGCGTTTCGAACATATATTTTATTGAGCGTTCTAGCAGCGTTTGCTTAGATATGCAAACATGCTATTTGCTGGAGGCGCGTGACGCCGATATCTTCAATTTGGGATCCTGGCAATACGAACGTCTCGAAACGAGGCGGGACACAGCTGAAGAGATCATATAGATCCATGCGGTGACGAGTAGATGCTCCTCGGAGACCAATATCTTGATATTGTTGACGTAGAGGCTGAGCTGTGCCTGGCTCATCGTATGGCGTAAAGGCTGGGGTTGATCATCGAGTCTCAGACGTGGGTTTAGGCGGCGCTGTTCTTGGGGTTTTCGGGCGCCGTCTTCCACTACACCTGGTCAGTCACAAACCGCAGATCAGACTTTCCCTGCGCGATGGACATACAAGCTGACCCAGCGCCTTCTGGATCTCCTGGAAGGTCATGTCTTTGTACTCCTCCTCGCCACGATGAGCCCTGACTGCACGCGTTTGTCAGTAGACTGCGGTCGGTCACAAGTGGCAGCCGGGATCTGGCCTTCAGATCAGCGTAGCGTGGAGGTTCTGACGTACAGAAAGCGTGCATCCTCTGCATATTCAGGCTAGCCTTCTGGGCTGTCTGACGCTTGGTCCTTTTCTTCTTCTGAGCCGGCTTCTTGACCCCGGCGTCAGTAGTCTTGAGTGTAGGATCGTCTACGCGTGCTGGTGAAGTAGTAGGTGATAAAGAGGGCGCTGGTGAGATGGGTGCTGTTGGCGACATAGGCTCTCCAGATGCAGTCATTGGCGAGGAGATAGAAGGTGGCATGCTTTTTGAAGTGGAGATGGCCAGACGAGAGTGTGATGTAAGAAAGATGGCGTGTGTGTGGAAGTAAAACGGTAAAACAGTAAAACAGTAAAACAGTAAATCAGGAAATCAGTAAATCAGTAAATCAGAGGCAAGATGTAGCTGAAGATGATGAGGTGGAAGGGTGTAGAGTGGAGTTTTGACGGTGAGGTGAATGCTCACGGGCACAACAGGCAGGCACGCTAGACAACGTGAGAGTGAGCCCAACACAACCAAGGCTCGTTGTCTTTGTGTGGCGAGGAAAATTATGAAGAGATGACATATGCATGCCCGACAATGTACTTGTATTGTCTTGCTCCAATATCTCAGTTTCCTGGTCCAGAAGTTCGCCAGCACAAGGAAGCTGCCCATGCATGCTGACGAGCCTCTACTACCTGTAGTACTATGACCGCAATCTAGACCATGCCTGATATGATCTTGAACGCCAGTGTGCGGATAAATTTTGTGATGCGGGACTTATCCTCTTCGAGTCTCAGGCTAATTTCCTCATTCCACGTCATCGGTCGTTTGCTACTCGCATTTTGTTCACTGCTGCGCCTTAGCAGCCTCTGCCTCCGGGCTGCCCACGGCAACCAGCTTGCCAACAACGAGGTACTTCTCGTTGAACCTCGATTCCCAGCCATGCATAGCCTCCATCTGCTCCTCATCCAAGTCCTCGAGAGTGTCCAGGGGTCCGTCAAGGTCCTTCGTCAGCATGTCGTCGTCAAAGCTACCACATGCTAGACCTCGACTTGCGTCGCGGCCAGCGAAGTTGGCGTATGGGCCACCAGGACCGTAGAAGTTGCGCCCAGATGTCACGTCAAATATACGACCGCGTACTGAAAGGTACACAGGCATGCCGTTCTGGCCATTGTAGGGGAACAGCTCTGGCGGGGTGAAGGTCCGAAATACGGTCGGCGGCGGAGCGCGCGGCAAGGTCGGCGGGGCCTTCGGCTTGAGACGGAGGTAGACGATGAAGACGAACACAGAGAGAAGAACGAGGTTGATAGGCGTTACTGGCGAAGCACTGTTTCCATATAGTCAGAACTTAGCCTGGACTGATATCCGGAGGTTCGGATGCTTACGCATACGCTGCTGGCGGCTCGATCGTTGCTGCAACGTGTTAGCACTGCATAGCTCATGGCTAAAGAGCCACAATTGCGTACCTTCGACCATCTTTAAATGATAGTGGATGTGGCGGTATGATCAAGGGATGGTGCTGAACATAGTGCTGTGATGGTCGGTTTCATGGAGCTTTGTAGGGAAGACCATCTCGGCATATGATGCAATCCGAGATGCCAACAGCTCAATTTGAGCCTGACTCGCACGACAGCATCGGCCGACACAACCGTGGAGCTTGACTAATCACCAACCTTCGAACCTCATTTCTTTTCGATACTCCATCATGGTCTTGTTGTTATTACAAGATCTCGCACGTCGGATAAGTGATGGGTGTGAGGGGGGCTCCTGAGCGAACCCAGCCCTGTGGCATATGTGGCAGCTGACGGCAAAGCATTCCTGCGACTTCACTGCACAGCACGTCTTGGACTTCACCTCCGACTTCTCTTTGTAGACAACACATTCGTACATACTCACCGCACTTGCCGACAAGCGCGCGCAGACAGGGTCCATTAGCCACGACCCACGGATATATCCATGAGGCGATACCTGAAACACAGCTATCTCGTCTGAAACACGGGAGAGTGATTCATTTCGACCGGGTCGGTTGGCTCTCATTCGCCAGCTTGGTGGCTGCACTAGCACGGTCGAAACATTATTTGCGTTCACGCTGCCGAACCACTGCAGGCGCGCCTGTGCAAAGGTGAAGCAGCGACAAAGTTGTCGACAACAAGCAAGAGCTGCGCCGCTGACTTGAAAGCTGAGCTGCGCCTCCCTACCCAACACAACAAACAACTGGGGCGGCTGCTCTTTCAGGCTCTCCTCCACATTCATTTCCTGCTTGCTGACCTCGATACCTCCTTCTATTGACATCTAACGCGCCTTCTTGTACAACCACACAACAACAAACAGCCTCATCACACCTTCCTCAGTACACTTGTCTAAACGGTACGTATCTCGATCTCAATCTTGTTCTGTGTCTCTCCACAACCATCACTCCCGGACACCCAGGCTGGTACCACCTTGCATCCTTAGACATCCCTACCTGCAGCAGCTTTTCCACCCGTTCACGCACCCGCCTGCGTACCCGCCTGCGTACTGGTCAACTGGATACATCGTAACGTACACTCCCGTGTCACACAACACTTGCCGAGCACCGCATCCCGCTATCAACATCCAGCATGGCTTCTTCGCAGGAAATTTTTGAGGTCGCAAGGCCAAAGAAGGTCGTGACTTTCGGGCTCATCGTGTTGGCTATCTTCCTACCGTGGTTTGCTCTCTACCTTGATGGGTCCTCTTGGCCAACAATCGCAATGAACTTTGCAGCCTGGATTTTCTTACCAATACTCGGACCGGCCGGCGCATTCATCCACGCCATCATCTGCCTTTGCCGTACAGACAAGCACCGCATGTACTCCAAGCCTGCGCGCCGCCGCCTGCGCTACGACAACCACCTGAGTGCCAATACCCAAGCGCACATAGAGATGAAGGCCGTGGAGCCCGAGCCCGAACCGGCACCAGTCATACGAGCGATCGCGGAGCCACCTCCAGCTCCGGTAGAGAGCGCACCTACGGAACCTATAGCCAAGAATCCATCAGCCACATCTTCATCCACATCGGTGTCGTCGTCCGATGTCGAGGAGGAGACTGCTCCTGCCCCTGCGCCGCTGCAGAGGACAGCTACTGTCCCTCTACAAAGGACCGCCACTGCGCCGCCCGCGAGGGCTGCCACCGCAAAGAAAGAGGACGATCCGTTCAAGGACCCTAATGCTTAACGTGATGTTGTGGTGTACCCGCCCGTGGTATGGGAGTCGGTGCTCTTTATGATTCGGAATGGCGCTAACGATTGTTCCATACAGGCACTCACCATGTGGAAACGATTCCAGGGTCACGGGCGCGAGAAGGAGAGGTCTGCGCAGATAGGCCACCCTGTGCTACTTGAAACGACCTACGACGAAGAGCAACTCATGCGTAATCCTAATGTGGCCGAGTTAAATTATCGACTCAATGCACCCTCTACCCAGCACCAGTAAGTCGCGGGCGATCAAACGCTGCAACATACCGACTGTTCACTTACACCGCCTGCAGTCATTCTTCTTCACACGACTCTAAAGCCTCCAACATCCCCACTGTTTCTTCAGTATACTCTCGACCTTCAAACGACCTGTCCTACTACTACGACAATCCTGCAGCAACATCGCCTTCCGCATACGAAGACATATCACCATCAAGCTCACCAGAACCGGAGCACAACTCTAGCCTACCACGAAGATACCGCTCGATGCGTGACGTTTCACCGATGGATGAGAACAGGGGTGCCACGCGTGCGAACAGCAACATACCTGTGCTGCGCAAAGCACCGATTGCAGTTCAGATAGGCGAAGTCAAGCCTACATCGCAGAAATTCTGGGGAGGCAAGGTGGCGCCGAACAGCAAAGTGAGATGGGACGAGTACTCTGGCGAGCCGACATCGAGCAACGCAGGCAGGTCCGGCTCTGTAAACCCACTCGCATTCGCGAAAGAGAGTCTGCGGCCAATGGGCTACCAAGTGTCAGTGTCAGGGCCCGAGAGCAAAAAGAAGAACACCAGCTTTACAGATCGCGTTCCACGATTCGGAGCGAGGCCACAGCCAACCGAGCCAACGCAAGCTCCAGAGCCTTGGAGTCGCGCAACGGGCCGAGCGGAGATCGCGCGACCTCTCAAGGATGAATCTGCACGTCAACCGCTCCAGATCCCGAGAAAGCCATCTACTCGAAAGGTGGAAGGACTTGGTCTGGACATGTCAAACGTTGTTGCGACAACCACTAACCGCGTTGCGTTGGCAGCTGACGCTTGCCTTGTCGCAAATAACCCCAGTACCTTTGGCGCACATGACGAACCCATCAAACCCATCGCTCCCCTCAAAGTTGGCCGGAAATCTCCCACTTACAATATGGCTTCACCCACCACTCCTCAGAACCATGGTCTTGGTATCACAGACCCGTACTCGTATCCTAGTCCTGTTACACCGCCAAACAACGAGCAAGCGCTGTCTTCCTTTGCGACTACTGACATCAAGAGCGAGGTCTCTGACACAGAGTCGTGGGAGCGGAGCATTACGCCAAAGCAGAGCACGGTCTGGAACAAACCGACAGAGCAAACACCAGAACCGGACAAGGAAGCTTCGTACAGTCGCTTCTCGTGGACAACCTACAATACTACCACAACATACCAACACTCTCCGCCACCGTCTCCTCCACAGCCAATGCCAGCTCTAGACGATATTACCAAACCACGAGTGGTGACCGATTCTTCGGTTCTGAACCGCCGTCGTCCCATCCCGCAGGCGGACAAAATCCCAGATCCACCAACTGCTCGCAAACCGGTTCCCAGGGCTAGGTCTCCAGTTGGCGCGAAAACTCGCCTGGGGATGCTCGCTACCACAACCTCTCCTCGCCAAGGCTCTTCGTGCTCGACGTCGACGACAGGTACACAGAAGGCACTGCCGCAGCCACCAACTACTCTGACTGCAACTGATCATGTGTCACTGCTCGAATCTCAGGTCGAGGATATCCGAGTTCGTCGTGTGAATGTGTACAAGGTGTTGAACGATCTCAAGTCTGCCGCGCCTTCAAATCCCATGTTGACGGACTTCAAGACCGCAAGATTGGTAGAGCAAAAGAAGAAGACGCTCGAGGATGAGCTGGCGGAGCTCAAGATCGAGGAGCACGATGTTGGCCTGAAGTTGCACCGCGCCTTGCGCAAGAGGGAGAGGGAGGACCCTCACTCTGGCTCGGCGCTGTGGGTCAGGAGGGTCACGGGGTGATCGGCTGCTGGTGAAGAAGTACCTTGGAGCTGGCTCCTCAAGAACTAGCTTTCTTGTGCATAGCGTCGGCGTTCTGTTCTTTGGATCTTCTCGCGTTCACTATGTTCATATCTATCCTTTCTTTCTACACAAGGCGCTGTGAAGCGGCTGTTTGCGAGATACCCCAACGCCAGGCTGACAAATACCAATACGAGCTATCCTCCATTCCTATATTTGTTCTTACTGCACATCACCTTACAGAAGATGACCTTTCGAGTGGGATTGGCCAATCCATGCATAACTTACGTAAATCGCATACGCATGACTTTATTGAATCTCTAATCCCTATGCGGTCCGCGGACACGAAATGTGCCGCAGAAACTTTTAAGGCAACGTTATCTGTAGGCCATGTTTGTGCAGACATGTGGGCAACTCCTGCGGATGCACCTAGCATGTCGGGGTGGCATTTGAGAGGTCACAGATGAAGCAAGGAATGCAGACTTGCTTGTATGGAAACAACTGGAATAGAGCGGTGCATTAGACAACTTGTTGCTAGAGAAAAAGTAAGGCTTTTGAAAGTTCTCTAGACAAGTCAGCAATATTTTCTAAAAGTTAGGCGCAGCACAAGAAATCAGTACGCACATAGCCAGTTGGTACTTTAGTTTCTAATCATAGGTCCTAGGTCTATTGCACAAGCAAAGTGAAAGTGTTGTGCCCGACGAAGGGAATAAAATCAGCAAAAAAAGGAGCGCGTCATATAACATCGCGCTGTAATGAGCGCCTTCGTTGCACATGAATCCGACTAAAGCTACTGCATGGTGGCATCGCTGGACAGCATTGCACTGATGATAGCTCGAGCTTCAGCGGTGCGTCTGAAGACCTTCTGCTCATCTACTTATTTGCTCGTCGTTGACCTTGGGTGATTTGTATCTGTCAAATTGCTGTATCTGTCATATTGCGCTGTCTCAGAGCCTTCCTGCCATGTTCCAGGTATTTGTGTATCTTCACTGTCATCTCAAGCAAAAGAGGATGAGTATATTGCGCTATGGCGGGCTCAGGCAGAAAATGCTGCAGATTGTCTATGTCTACCTTCCCGTCTCTTTGCTCTTGCTTAATTCTACACCTTCCGCCTCACCAAGCCCCTGAAGAAGTCAAAACTATTACTGTCGCTCTGCAAGCTCACCACCTTCCCCGTCGGGCGATCCTGCCACCCCAACTCCTCCGCCAGCAGCAATCCCCAATCCCGCGTAATCCCCTTAATCTTCGCCTTGACCCCGCCCTCACTCTCCAATTCCACAATCTGATCTGTGTGCAACCAAGCTCGGTAGTATTGCTCTTCCATATCGCGGGTGAATCCCGCGGTACAGAAGGTAGTGTACAGGGATTCAAACGAAGCGAGGATGGACGCGAGGAGCTTCTCCTGCGTGAATGGCTTGATTTGCGGGTTCTGGCCTGCAGCGAGCTGGTTCAGAGATGTCGTTGGAAGCGCATTAGACAGATTGAGACCGATGCCGCACACGACGTCGTAGCTGGTGCCTGAATATGAGCTATTCACAAGTATACCACCGATCTTCACGACCGGATTGTTGCTGCTTCCGGGAAGCTGCGCATAGATGTCGTTTGGCCACTTCAGCTTGACGGGGATCTTTTCGTATCCAGGTGCGTAGCCCTGGATGCCCTGTACGATGGCGAGGGCGGCGAGGTATTGGATGAAGATCACTGGCGCGGATTGTGAGAGGGCGAAGCTATGGTGGAGGACGGTGCTGAACATCAGTGCACCTGGCGGTGCTACCCAGACATTAGAGCCGCGGCCCCGGCCGGCGATTTGCGTCGTTGCTGTTACAGTGAAGCCGTTGGGTAGACTGCGTAGGAGAACAGGGTTTTTATCGAGGAGCGTATTGGTGCTGGTGACTACTTCGCCATAGATAAGAGTTGAGCCGAACGCTGCAGATGGGTTGCGTAACTTGTTGTGATAGTGGTGCAGATTTGCGTAGAACGCTTCATGATGGAAAGAAGCCTCAGGACTTGTTGGGACACCTTCCTTGTGTGGAACGATGGTCTTGACAACTTTGTCGTAAGACAGGATCTGATCAAAAGCGGAGTTTGCCGTGTACTCGATGCACTCTTGGATCTCCTCTGCCTTCGTCTTCGTCTTCCTCTCATCTGTGGACTTCTCGACAGTCTTCTTTTCTCCGTCGTTCGTCGTAATTTTCAATGACGCAATCGTTGGCAGCTTCTCCGAAACTGCACTCACAGCTCGTTTTAATTCCTTGACGCTCCAGATGGAACCCTCTTTTTCGATGTGAAAGACATCATTGCCACCTTGGATATAGTCTTCACCATCAATTATAGTGATGACTTCTGCCCAAGATGCGACGAGGTCCGCAACGGCTGTCGGTTTGTGAGACGTGAGATGCAAGCGGGACAGGGATGGTACCGCTTGTTCCTGCTCATTGACGTTCAAGCCCAATTTGCGCAGCATCAATCCTAAGAAAGCAATTCTGCCTGTATCTGTGGCAGTAACTGCATCAATCATTGATGCATACGATGGGACGCTGGGTATTTGGCTCAAGTTCTGTGGTGCGAACCTGTGAAACAGCGTCAGTAAGGCAACCGTTGAAGAGCTTTCAAACTTACTCAGGGTGTGGTCCGGTGAGTATGGCGTGTCCTTCACCAATTTTACGATATACCACCGCAGCTTGGCTTTCGCCAGACTCTACGTGTAGATCTTCTGTGTAGCTGGCTAGGGTCTGCACACCTCGTGCCTCAAGTTTTTTAGCATCAACGAACACCCCACCGCCGTTGTAGTAGCTCTTGAACGAATCGGCAGTCCCTTCCTTCACGTCCTCGAAAGCCGCCTTCTCGATCTTGACTTCTGCTGCCCTGGCGCCGGCCTCGCTCGCATACTTGAAACCTTCAAATGCCAGTCCTCGACAGATACCCGGGAAGAAAGCCAATTCGCGGTCTCCGACGACTGCCATCTTGGGATCATCAACTTCAAACTCGCATCGTGCGCTGCCATAGTAGCCGCCAGCGCAGAAACCCAGGTACGAGCCACCAGCATTGACATAGCGGCTGATGCGGCGGTTTCCCTCACCGTTCAATGTACGGCAGTACCCCAAGTCTGCACCGCCAGGGAAGACCAGGAGCGCGCAAGTACTAAACCATGGCTCTTTGATAAGTACATCGCCTGTGACAGGAATGACAGCGTATGCTGGGGAGAGCAGGCGGCGAAGGGTGTATAGGCAATGACGGACGGATTCCGTAGTGCTGCCATGTCCTATCAATGGTAAGTACCATCGTCAGTTTCAAAATTGGCCAATTCATACCAGAATAAACCAAGACATTCAACTTCCGGGTCGTCATGGTGGCGACGTTGACGTTGTGTGTCGGGGCCGAGATAGTCCGACCTTGTGCCGTGAACTTGCTCGCGCGGTGAGAGCTACAACAGACACCTGTTTTCTTTCTAAGCTCTTTGAGGATGTCGAAGAATACCAAGACACAAGCTGCTGCAGCACAGATGATGATTGATGATGAGCCAGATGACTGGTAAGCCCAATTGATGTTGTGGAAGTTGTAACGCCGTGGCTGATGGGTGTATAGGGACAAGAGGATCTTCAGCACAGGCTGCGCAGGTGCGCTCGTCGGTATCAATCACGGGACTGAGCTAATCTTTCGCAGATGAAAACGCGAAGCTGACAGATTGCTACTACGAGAAGAAAGACTGGCGAGCGTGCAAAGTTGAGGTGAGTCGAAGCTGTTCTCGAATGTTGAACCTCGGGCGCCGAGATGCTGCCGAGCCATCGCAGACACCCATCGTTTCCATCGATCTTTGAGTTCCTCGACTAACATTTGATTACAGATGGAGATCTTTCGACAGTGTTGGCAAAAGCATGGGAATAATAAGCGAACTGACTCTAAAGATGTCTGAACGTTCTCTGCATTGCGAACCGCACAATACACCAGTCACTATAAGTATGCGAACACGTGTAATGATATCGTTCATGTTTCATTAGGGTGTGTTCGATAGTATGTACGCTAAGAACGAGGACCGCTCATGAAATCCAAGAATGTTTTTTGGCTGCACATAAATGCGCAATCTAGTGACTTGCCGCGTGTGCAATTCACTTGATAGATTTTGCCAATCGCAAGGCAGTTCTTTGAAATCCCCAAAAACTGACCTTGATTGTCCGAATTAGCACAATAGCCTATGAGCTTATTCTGTCTTGCATTTTGCTAGGTGACCTCTGCATCCGCTTGCTTTATTTCTGCTGATAGATCGGAGGGCTAACGTCAGGGTGGTATGGCGACTTCGCAGCACTCGCCTTGTCCTGATCGAACAGCCAGATGCCGTTTGTCAGAGACTCATTAGTCTTCTCCCCGACCTTGGAGGCTAGTTGCTCGAAGACTGGCGACTTCTCAGTGCGGGTGAAGAATTTGCGCTCCCATTCGCGTCCTGCTGCTTGCTCTTCCTTGCGCATCTCACGCTGACGATTCTCGATGATGGACTTCTCAGCACTGGTAGTATCCATATCGCCCTTTACTATAGCATCAGCGACCTTCTTCCATGCGCGGCGGGACTCAAAGTCGTCCTGCTCGGCGATGGCTGCGACTATAAGAGGTGTGGTCTTGTTTGCTGCGGGATCATGCGAGGAGAAATTGGACTTGTTCTTAGCATCCTTGATGATCCACTTGTCGATCCATTGGCCTTCGACTGAGTAGATCACGTCCTTCTCCTTTCCTGTAGGGTAGAGCGAAGCAGAGAATCGGTTCTTCTTGCCAGAGACCCATCCCTTGCCGCTGTAGTCGATCTTGGCGGTATATCCGGACGAGGAGGTGATGTAGGAAGATCCGTTCAGCTCGACGTAAGGGGAACCTGTGATGAGGCCTTCGATGTGCAGCGAGGGAAGGGTGATCAAGTAGTCCTCGTCGTATGCGTCGATGTGGAGAGTGGCGTGGCCGATTTGCTACTGAATGTTAGATTTGGCCCCGGTGCGATATTGCCAGTCGTACTGACCTTGACGTTAATGGTGCTCGAGAAGGAGGCCTTCTGTGCATTGTACCCTTGCAGGCGGACGCCATGCTGCTGGTTCCAGATGGAGTATGCAGTGACAGGTGGGTGATGGCTGCGCCGTATGCATTAGTGCGGCCCGGATGATGTCTGAAGGACTTCATACCTGACTTGCTCGCTGACGAGCTGTGTGGTACCTGCCTGGTCCTCCCACTTGCCCAAGAACAGCTCGCCCAGGAAGGGGTTCAAGGGCTTCTTCTCGCTGCCCAGCTTCTCACTTCGGCTGGCGTATTGCTGCTTCAACGTGCTCAGAAACCATTTTAGCACGAGCGCAGCGCGTCTGGCAGGATCCTTCTCGGCGGCGGGTGCGACGAATACAGAGGGGTGTTCGGTCCAGTAGGAGGAGAACTCGGTGAGGGATGTTGTGGAGAGAATGAACGCGGGCGCGGTCATAGTCGAGAGATCGCCGTTGAAGGATGCGATCGACTACCCCAAGTCAGCATGCGTCCTCTCGGCGAATGGAATGTGCATCTCCACCATACCTTGAGGAAGCTGCCCCACGAACCCTTCGCGGCCGGGGGAACAGCAGATCCTTCTTTCTCAGCCATTGTATGTCGTGTTATGTGTCGAAGTGGGGGTCAGAGAGGTTAAAGGTACGGTAAAATGTGCTTGAAGGCGATTCCGTGCAGTCCGCAGTGTTGTTGTGACGACCAAGCGGCGGGGGTGACGTCGACATCTGGCCCGTGCCCGCAACCTCTTCTCGAGGACATTATTATCCACCTTCTGTGTGGTAGACGCGGGCCCAGGATTGGAGATGTCTTGTAATATCTGCGCTTTCGTGCGTCTCCTTCTCTTCCTAGCTGGTGTTGGAGGCTGGTTTCCCGTGTCCTCGAGATTCGGACCAGCCTTCTCTTTCTTTCTCTTTGGCGTCTTCTTGACCTCAACTTCATCCTCGTATTGGACAACATCTTCATTTGCGGGCTTCTTCTTCTTACTGCCTCTTACGGCGTTAATGGTTATCACACAACGAATCTGTCAACAACCTCCATGCGTCTGCAAGCCTCCTTCTTGACCTCCACCTTCTTCTTTGGCGGTGGGCATGGCAGCAATCTACGAGGCTTTGTGGGCGTGACGGGAGGCTCGAAAAACTCGTCGCACCTCAGCCACACTACGCAGGGTCATGACGCACAAACCACTGGTAATGTTGTGGTAATGTTGTGGTAATGTTGCGCGTGCACATCACGGGACTGAAGGTATTTGGAAAGTAAGCAGCCACGAACGGGCCGCTGGGACTAAATGGTATTGTCTTTCGCTATGCTAATTTCGAAGAAGTCTCATGGCTCATACACGCGTAAAAGCATTATTTGCTTAGGTCTTGACGTCAGGGTCGGTGCGGCCGATGTACTCCTGCAGCTTCAGAAGGTCTGTGGCCAGCTTGACGTTGTCTTTCAGGAAGTCCTGGGCATCTTGATCGTACGTGGATTCGTCGCTGGTGTGCTTCTCAATGTAGAGACGGATAGTGGCACCGCTGCTGCCGGTACCGGACAGACGAACGACAATGCGGCTGCCGTCGTCGAACTTGACGAAGATACCCTGGTTCTTGCTGATACTGCCATCGAGGTCGGTGTAGGAGAAGTCATCAGCTTCGACGACCTTGCGGCCGGCGATGGTGGAGCCAACAAAGTCGTCCTTCTTGGTGGTGATCAACTCTGTCATGTGAGCAGTGACTTTGTTCGCGCCCTCGGTCTCGCAGCCCTCGTAATCGTAGCGGGTGAAGAAGGTTCGTCCGTAGGTCGTCCAGAAGTCCTTCTGGATCGACGCAATGCTGGGTGTGGTGCCAGTCTGCTGTCCAACACCAGCGATGATATTGAGCCAAGCGACGACTGCCCATAGACCGTCCTTCTCACGGATGTGGTTGGAGCCAGTTCCGAAGCTCTCCTCGCCACAGATGTTCATCTTATCAGAGTCGAAAAGACCGCAGAAGAACTTCCACCCGGTAGGCACCTCGTAGCACTCGACACCCTTCTTCTTTGCGACAAGGTCGATTGCGCCTGATGTAGGCATGCTTCGTGCCAAACCGTAAATGCCCTGCTTCTTGAAGTACGGAATGAGCTCAGCGTGGTGAGCAATGATGGCTAAGCTGTCTCCGGGTGAGACGAACGATTTCGCACCGTAGATCATGTTGCGGTCACCGTCACCGTCACTGGCAGCACCGAAATGGACGCCGTTCTTGTCGACAGCATCAACCAGCGACTTGGCGTAGACGAGGTTGGGGTCGGGGTGGTGGCCACCGAAGTCTGGCAGAGGGACGCAGTTCTGTGTGCTGTTGGGAATAGCGAGCTCCTTCTCGAAGATGTCGACACCATATGAGCCAGTGACACCGCTCAGTCCATCGAAGAGGACCTTGAAGTCAGAATGCTCCTTGAGGAAGGACTTGATAAGGTCGAAATCAAATATGTCCTTGAGCATCTCAAGGTAGTCCGTGGTTGAATGAATGATCTCAACCTCAAGGTCACCGTACTTCTGTGTTCCAATTGTGCTGAGGTCGACATCGGGGATATCGGCGATCTTGTAGGAGGTGAGGGTCTTGGAGGTCTCGAAGATCTTGTTGGTAACGCTCTCGGGGGCAGGGGCACCGTTGGCCAGGTTGTACTTCATACCGAAGTCCTCGTCGGGACCTGCAACAATGGTCAGTACTGTTGGCATCTCTTCCAAGCTGACACTAGAAGTGCATACCTCCGGGATTGTGACTGGCGGTGAGCAAGATACCGCCCGTGGCCTTCCTGATCCTGATGATGTGGCTGGCAGCGGGAGTACTGAGGATACCGTCTTGACCGATCAACAGCTTCTTCACGCCGTAGGCAGCACTGATCTTTGCAATCTTCTGGGTGACCTCAGGGTTCCAGTAACGGCCATCTCCTCCAATAACAAGGAAGGCACCATCAGCACCTTCAGGGATCGACTTGAGGATGCTGACGATGAAGGACTCGGAGTAGTTTTCCTTCTGGAAAACCTTAACCTTCTTGCGAAGACCAGAGCTGATGCTCGTTAGCATGTATTCAAAGAACGGATGTGAATCTGCTGCTGGCAATGGCAGAAGCTTCAATTGAAGCTGGATCATGTCATGGGGAACAAGTGTAAAGAGATAGAGCACTCACGTTCCGGGCTTCTGGTCTTGGAAGGGTTGAAGCTCGACAGTCTGAACGCTCATGATGTCTGAGTGCTTTGTGTGTTTATTCAAAGGGAATTGGAGGGATTGAAGCGGTGGCTGAGCGACCGCAGGCTGTTTTGAGCTCGAGCGGCGCCTGAGGGGCAATGACGCTACCCCACTACGAAGTAAAGCAGCAGCTACCAACTAGAGCTATGCGGGAAAAGATCCGCACCCTCCAGCGCCACAGCTGTCAAACTTCTCAACCGTTTTCGTTTTCGTGTGCTCAACACCCGTCCACGAAGACAATCTCACGGCAAGGCTCGAGGCTGTCTAGCCGTTCTCCAACATCTGGCTCGGCCTGGCCTGCAGCGCACGGACTTCTCCACCATCCGCCGCAGCCCAGACGACTTTTTCCATCCCAACACGAGGAATATCGATTCGCCTAAAATTCAAGAACCACTCACAACTGGCACATCCCTGTGCAGAATTAGTGCCTGAGGCTTGTGGCTTTTCCGAACTCACCACACGTTGCCGTGACTACCCTCAGGACTCGTCACCGCCATGGGCATTCCTGGACTTGCACGGAGGTCTGAGCCGTACGCAGAGTGTCGTTCTGCTCAACAGTTGGGAGGTTACCAGGCCATTGTCGATGGTCCCTCACTTGCTTATCATGCACATAAACTGGCACTCGCTGGTTTACCAAGAGTACCATCCTATGCAGACGTCAACACTGAAGCTATCCGCTGGCTTAATACACTCGAGGCTGCCAACATCAAGGTGTGAGTGACCACGACTGCTTCCAATATAGAGCGCTTTGACACACATTTCGTCAAGCGAGTAGAACGTACCACGCTGGTAAGGCGCATGTTCAGTCACAGTCCTAGTCTCTCAGGTAGCAGAAGAAGCCGGATGCAGGTCAGAGATCACGAAAATTGGGAGGCGTTCAGTAGCAATCTGCGAGTGTCTCGATCCTGATGAATGCTCTCATTTTCTGCTCCTGTGGCCGACTTTCTCTGCTATTCAAGAGCCAGCCTACTGCATCTTGCCTATCTTATGACAATCATTCAGGGTTGAGCTAAAGCGGGTCAATTGATTGTTTCCTGAAAAGATGGCTAACGAGCGTGACCAGGACGAAGATTGTTTTCGACGGAGCCTTACCCTCTTCCAAGCGGAGCGAGCGAGTACATCGTTTGGAGCAGAACAATAACAGAGTACGGAACTACCGAGTCCAGTATCCTATCTCCTCCTGCCCAGTGCCGACTTACCTTGGGTCTATACTACATGCTTTTCTGGCCCCATCACTGAGAGAGGCATTGCTCGATACCCCATTTGCAGCGCGGACCCGCATCGAGCCAGGAGAGGCGGATGACTGGTGTGCGCTGCATGCCAAGGATCATGCTCGCTCGATCATCTTTACGAGCGACACGGATCTACTGCTCTACGGCTACCCTGCCGAAACGCTCATTGTGTTCTTTCAAGATGCCGATGTCACGACAGGATTCAAGTCTTACTGCCCAGAACAGATGCGTCAACGGATGCAGCTGCAGCATTTGGCTCAATTCGCGTTCGCCATGACACGAGAACCATCACATACATCAGATGATCTGTTACGCGATGCGAAGGATCTCGACCTGTCGTCTGACGCCTATCTCGAGTTCAGCGGGCGCTACGCTGGACGTACTGCCGTTCCGAGCCATGTCTCGAAAGTTGACGGCCTACCAATACCGCTCCAGAAGCTGGATGTGAGAATATCCGAGTTTATTCATCAGGTACTGGACAGCTCGCCAGGACCATTAGTATACCTGCCGCTGCTGGTTGAAGATCCTAATCAATCTTCTGCATGGAGCTCAGGCCAGGACTATCGCGAGCTAGCATATTCGATCCTCGCACCAAAGACCTCAACTGTTCACGAGTACAGGCGGAAGGCGCAAGGAATATCTGTGCAGGAACTCCCTATGCGAGCCCCGGACGTCTCAGCTACAGACATGATGGCGCACATCAGCGGCGTCTCGAAGTGGGCGTCAGACAGAAACCTCTCTCGAGCCCTGATGTGGCCGCTCTTTGCGCTGTCTATCGTCCTCTTGGACTCAAAGACAACACCGTCGGTCTCTGTAGTACTTCGTGTTTTGAATGGCGATTTCGACAACTCATGGGAGTTTATACATCTTACGGCTCGGCTACAGGCAGTCCTATACTCACTGCGAATCCTTCAACAGGTTGTTACTGTTCAACACGCTATTCAGGGAAAGACCAGTGCGGAGGACGCCACACTACAAATGGCGAAAGAGTTGTCAGACTTGCCGTCAATAGCGGACACATTCACCGTTCCAGGTCAAACGAGGAAGATCCTAGTCCAACACGAGAAATTGAAGAGCATGGTAGAGGAGATATACAAAGCTTCCGGTGTAAGTATACCCACAGACCATGTTTCGAATAAGAAAAAGAAGAAACACTCGAAAGAGGCAGAGAGAAAAAAGAAAAAACAGGAACAACGACAGCAGGCTAGACCGCAGACGTCAAACGTCTTTGCCATGCTCGACGGATAGGCCTGTCAGATGAGCCGCAAGAGTCAGAAAGACAATAGAAGGCATACGTTCATATCCCTAGAATGTAACTGCTCCACGATACTAGACTCTAGTTGAGTATTGACTAGCATGCTCTGACACCCCCCCTTTCTAACATACATATCGCTTGCATGTCCGGTCATTCGCGACATTTTCAGATGGCCTTCAGTCTGTGGCTCGTTAAGAAGCGGCATCTACTTCCTTCGTTGACTTCCATCTCTTCTTCGACCCCTTGAACATGCTCGATTCGCTTTCGTTGGCACTCCCGCTGCATTTCCTGAGCACAACCGCGGTACCCTTCATGCGCGGCGTGTTGATCACACCTGGCTTAACTCTCGCGAATATTTGCAAGGCGGTGGTTTTGCTCTTTTTAGGCCTCGTCCTTCCGCTCAGCATAAGGGACACTGCCACCTCCTTGACCGGTACCGCCTTTTTAAGGGGCTGCTCGTGCCTGTGGAGGTAGACTTTCTCTTCCAATGACAAAGTCCCCAGCAACTAGCTTCGCTTGCTTTTTTTTTTGCAGTTTCGGCAGCCTTGAAAGAAGTGTTGATGTCAATGTCATTCTCGATGATTGAGGAGTCCTCCTCCTCTTGATCCAATCCTTTGTCGGTGAGGAAGGAGTTTCGAGAGGCTGGTGTCTTCTTTACGGGTTTCGCAACAGTCGCCCTGCCTTGTATCTCCCGTTAGCTGGATTATTTACAATGATGTGTGCTCTTCCACTGACCTCAGTGACCTGCACGAGTCGTCACGCTGCGCTGCGATTGTCTTGGACGAATGAGCTACGCGGTCATCAAGCGCCATTGACGCTATCTACGTGAGAGTACCATCAGAGACTCTGAGCTTCAAGCAGTTGTTGATCACTTCGACCACAGCGTCCTTGCCGATCGCATCCAAAAGCTTCGCGCGAGCTTCCGTTCGGTCTCGGTCGCCAGACAGCACAAGCAGCGCCGCCACGTAGTCTTGCGCCATGTTAGATCGAGATGGACTGTTCCGTAAATTCCCAGGCTGGTGCTTTGGTGTGCGTGTGGAGAATTTCGGGACTGCGCCAGGTTGAGACAGCAGCAAACGGCCAGCACAGGCACCTTCACCTGCAGTCACAACTGTAAGCAACCTTGCTTCTGGACAATGCTTCCAAATTGCAAAATACCTCATTATAATCTCTTCATCTCAAAGCGTACAATGCAGATAGGGGACTTCGATAGGAGCAAACTCCTTGTCACTTTCACCTCGAGCGGCAGGCTGCATACTCACGGGAGCGTGCAGATGTCAAACGGACGCGCAAAACCCGCAATACCCCCTAACTCGCCAGGCACCTTCTTCCCCGCCTTTCTCATCTTTTGCACCATGTGCCTCAAGTACTTTGTTCGACACTCAACCTGTGATCACCACGAATACTTGGGCAGCCATCACTGCTCGCTAAGACCCTGTGATCTCGACACACAGCACTTCCACTATATTGAGGACGACTTCCCAGTCCCCTGGCCAGAGGTCCTCAAGGGTAGACGAGGCGCGCGGGCATGCAAGATCTGCGCCAGCGAGCAGCGCGATAATCCTGACCCAGCTGATGCGCCCATACAGTCATATGCGCCAACGAACGACTTCCAAGTCAAAGAGATCCGGCCCACAGGCTACAACCTACCCGTCAGCGTCGTCAGAGTCGAGGAAGACGAGGTGACGACGGAATTCACGACAGAGAGTGCAGACAGCAATGACAGCTTTGACTACGACTACAAGAGCTTGAGTGATGCAGATGACGAGGAATGGACCGTACCGAAGGATGGAGGCCAGAACACTGGGTATGACCAGGCGCGCGACGAAGTGCTGGCGCAAAGACATCGAGAATATCTCCAAAGCCAGCTCAGAGATCTCCCCAACTACCTAATGCAGCAGCAGCAGTTTGTGCCGTTCGTACCACCTGGTCTCATGCCAGAAGCATACGCAACAGGCAGCTACCTCCACTACCCAATGCCGCATGTGGGATATCTCGCGCCTCCATCGGTGCTCTCAATACCGCCATGGCACGGAGGTATGATAGCTCTATCTTCGATCCCAAACAACGCACCATCGACAGGTCCTGACGCCTCCTCACCGCAGCTCTTGCCAGCGTTCATACCCAAAGATGCAGACAAGCAAACCGCCCCTGCATCGCTACCCCAGCGTCCGGCAACGCCGCCACCTACGCCGCCTTTACACCCGCTGCCGCCCCGCCCAACGCCGCCTTTCATCGTTGGTAGTATAACGGATGCGTATCTGAGGATGGAGGCAGCAAAGAGGAGGCATATGAGAGAGCGTGTAAGGCGCCAGTGGTCTTCGCTGCAAGATGCTCTGCCTGCTAGGAGAATGGCACTCACGGATTTCATGGTCAAGAAGAAGACTCAGAGAGGTCACCACAAGGAGGTCGGCACGCCGGAAGACATGGGAGTGGATGCATGGGCGAGCCTGCCTTTTGCGGGCGAGGAGGCGGACACAGAGTGCGGAGCGGAGAAGCGTGCAGAGACTGCAGGAGTTGAGAAGGCGACTTGTAGATTTTCATGCAGACTGGTTACACTGATGTAGGCGAGTACACGTACAATGCTCGGTTGGTGTTCGCGCATATGCATCACACGCGGATCTAGCCGTGGACTGGGAGTGACACCACGCGACTCGGCTCCGCTTGCTTTCGGAAACGGTGACGTCCTTGTCGGCAAGAGCATCAACACGCGCCGTGCAAGCCGCGGTTCAACACGGCCTGACTGACAAACGCCTTCACCTCTGCAAGCTCTCTTCGATGCGCATCTAGGTCCTGCTCTCTCACCTCCCCTACCCAAAACACGCCGCCTCCCCTACTGCACCATGGCGTCTCTCCCCCAGCAGCGCCCCGCGTCGCAGCGCAGAGCATCTCCGCCGGCCGAAGCATCTTCGTCACAGCAAGAAGATGTCACGCGCAGCAGCAGTTTCTCTGCCGCGTCAGTCGACTCCCAGACACTCCTTTTGAACTCGCCGCAAGCGCACACCGACGGCGAGCAGGCAGAAGCACCGCGACAGAGCACCACGACTGCGCCGCAGCAACAGGAAGACGAGGAGCCGCGCAGGTGCTGGATTTGCTTCAATGACGAGACAGAGGACGATGGCACAACTTCAGAGTGGAGGAGCCCGTGTACGTGCTCGCTGGTTGCGCACGAGAGGTGTTTGTTGGACTGGATAGCGGATATGGAGGTGAGTGAGCTCCTCATCAACTCGACGCAGTGGCTAATTGCGGCAGGCACCGACAGCAGGGCGACGAGCAGGGCGCAAGAAGGGCAAGATCCTGTGTCCGCAGTGCAAAACAGAAATCCGAGTCGAGCGACCGCGCAGTGTTATTGTGGACTCGGTGCGCGTGGTAGAGAAGTTGGCTGGCACGCTGCTGTTGCCTGGGTTCGCCTTCGTCACGGGTACAGCGCTGTACTCGACACTGGCACTTGCGGGAACACAAACGGTATATGCTATCTTCGGGACACAGGACGCTGTGCAGATACTGCAGCCGCTGTATCAGGCGCCGACAGACCTGCCGTCATCGCTGGCGATACGACTGGTCGACCACCTGCGCCACCACTGGAGACTCGACATTGGCTTACCGCTGATACCGGCCGTCCTCGTCGCAAGCAGGACCACAATGGCCGACTCGTTCCTCCCGTTCCTTCCACTCATCTTCTTCGTCAGCTCAGGCCAGCCGGGTGACGAGATGCTGCAGCTGCAGTGGCCTCCGAGCGCTGCGTTCTCCTTCGCTGCTCTTCCCTATCTTCGAGGCTTCTACAATGCATACTACGACCGCGTGTGGGCCCCACGGGAACAGCGATGGCTGAAGGAGATTCAACCTCGGGCTGGCACCGAGGACGCTGCGCAGGAAGGCGGCCTAGAGTTCCAGCTTGGCGAGGTACATGAGCACGATCACGAGCACGAGCACGAGCACGAGCACGATCACGAGCACGACCATGACCACGACCATGACCACGACCATGACCACGATCACGATGTAGACGAAGTCCTGGAGGTGGAAGTAGACTTTGACATCTTCGGCGACTGGAACAACGGGGCCGCTCACAACCACAACCACGACATGGTCGAAGCAGCACAGCCGGCCGAGGCCGCACACCCTCTCAACGCACCACCGCTCGACAACGACGAACAGGCACCCCAGGTGCCCGCGCAGGAAGCAGCCCCGGCGCCAAACGTCCCCGCGCAGCCCCGGCGCCAGCGCGTCCGTCGCGAGCACAACATTGCATTCTCCACGACGTCGCTCGCAGACACGATTCTCGGCGCCCTTGTGTTCCCCTCGATAGCCGCGGCCATGGGCGAGCTCCTCCGGGTTTCACTGGCTACAGCCTGGGTCACGCCGCCTAAAGGGGTGACGACGACGTCCTGGCTCGGGGGATGGTTAGGCGCAGGAGCGATGCAGGGCGGCAAGGGCCGGCCCACGGGCTTCTTGCAGACGAGGTGGGGACGGAGCTTGGTGGGAGGGTGTCTGTTTGTGGGGATCAAGGACGCGGTTATGCTGTATGTGCGGTGGAAGATGGCGCAGAATCACAGACGGAGGAAGGTGCTGGACTATGAGGACGCGAAGAAGGGGAGGGGGAGTGCGCGGGCTTGAAGACGGGGGAGCGCGCGGGCTTGAAGACGGTGGAGTGCGTGGTTGTGGTTTCTCGACCTGTTCGCACTCCAGAGCCTGTACGGTATGCGTAGACGTGGATCCCCAATCTGGCGCAGCCTCAACGATTCATCCAGGCCGTTTGTCTGGCACGCAGCCTCCATCAGGTACTCGTCATCAAGCTGCCGAGGCGCAATACTAACGAAAAGATGCGACGTCGTTAGCGGCGATGTCACCAGGCTACGATGGAAGCGGGAAGGTGGAGCCATCCGTGTACCTCGGTTTCACAGCTCTCGGCTACTCCGCTTTGTGAGCGACGTGAGGCGGTGCGACGTCTGCTCCGTTTGTTGATTCTACATTAAAAGGCCTGACTTGGCTACTGTCTTCGATCTGGCTTGACAACTGTCTTGGATCTGGCTTGACAACTGTCTTCGATCTCGTGTTTTTCATCGGTGTTTCAAAGCCTCGTCTTCTTTCCACTGTCTTCATCAACACCTCCAGAGTTCGACATGTCCGCCTCGAAGCGTGTCGACCAGATCGCTGGCCACCTCAACTACCCCACGGGCATGTTGGCAGGCCAGGTGGCGATCATCACGGGCTCGGGCCAGGGAATTGGGGCCGAGTGCGCGAGGCTGTTTGCAAACGAGGGCGCAAAGGTCGTGGTTGCCGATGTCGATGGCAGTGCGTGTTCCCACCCACCCACGGTCGCACGGCCAGCATAGTAACAGCGCACAGAAAAGGCCGAGGCGGTGGTGGCGGCGATCAAGGCCAGCGGCGGGCAGGCGGTCGCGGTCGCGGGCGACGTGCTCGACGACGCGTACATCAAGACGCTCATCGACAGGGCGGCTGCGTTTGGCAACGGCAAAATCCACATCATCGTCAACAACGCAGGGTACACGTGGGACGGGGTGATTCACAAGATGACGGACAAGCAATGGCACACCATTGTCGACCTGCACGCGACGGCGCCGTTCAAGATTGTGCGCGCCGCGGCGCCGTACTTTCGCGTCAAGGACGGCGAGCCCCGCAACATCATCAACATCTCCAGCACGTCCGGGCTGCACGGAAACGCGGGGCAGATCAACTACGCGCTCGCAAAGGCGGGCGTGACGGGCGTCACCAAGACGATTGCCAAGGAGTGAGTTGCCCGGGCTCACTGCAGTCGAGACACTTGCTAACGGCGCCAGATGGGGCCCGAGTTTCGGCGTGCGCGCAAACACGGTCGCGTTTGGGCACATTGCCACGCGGCTCACGGCGGCCAAGGAGGAGGGCGCGTTTGTGCAGCTGCCGGACGGCGAGAAGGTGGCGCTGGGGATCCCGCAGGCTGCAAAGGGCGCTGCGGGCGGCCAGGACGCGCACGCGGACATTCCTCTGAGGCGGCCCGGCACGGCGACCGAGGCGGCGAGCGCGGTGCTGGCGGTCGCAAGCCCGCTATTCAGCTACGTGAACGGCGAGACGATCAAGGTCACGGGCGGGCGGGCGATGTAGGCATGTAGGCATGTAGGGCATGTAGTCTTGCGCGCTTGAATGAAGAGGATGCAGGGACACAGTCTTGGGCAGTTGAGTGAAGAGATGTAGGGCATGTAGTCTTGGGCAGTTGAATGAAGAGGATGCAGTGACACAGTCTTGGGCAGTTGAGTGAAGAGATGTAGGGACACAGTCCTGAGCAGTTGAGTGAAGAGGACGCAGGGACACAGTCTTGGACAGTTGAGTGAAGAGGACGCAGGGACACAGTCTTGGACATCAAGCACTGTTTCGGGACGTCGATAGTGACGAGCTGAACGTCTGGATGCTGAAACGCAGCAGCTGGATTGCCGTGTGGAGCGTGTCCAGTGTTGGCGAGGCCGTTTCAGGTCCCAAGCTTTACCAAGTGCTCACTTCCGAGAGCCGTGATAGCCCTCCGCATCTGAACCGTCCATCCCTCGACCGCGCAACGCCGCATCGCACGCCTCTCCTGCGCTGTCCCGTTTTTGCCTTGCCTTCTTTGCCTTCCCTTTTTTTTGCCTGTGCCATCCTCGTCGCCCGTGCCGTCCCTCGGCTTGCGCTCCCCGTCCGCCATGTCTGGCCAGTAGCGCTGCACCGCATACCGACCGCATACCCACGCCCATCCCGCCGTCCGCCGCCGCTGTTGTTGCTGCCGTCGCCGTTGTTGTTGTTGTTGCTGCCGCCGCCGCCGCCGCCATGCCCGACGAAAAGGCGCCGCTGCACGTCTACGAGCGCCCCGCGAGCCCGCCCATCCCCTCGTACGAAGAGGCGACCAGCTCGCGCCACACACGGACCGCCCGCCGCGGGCCCGACGAGGCCAGCGACGACGCCGAGCGGCAGGGCCTGCTCTCGCCAGACGCGCCTGTCCCGGCCAGCGGGCCCTCGCGCCGCAATGCCTACTACCACCCGCCCAGCGTGCAGTCGGTCGACGATGGCGACTCGGAGCTGGGCAGCCCCGTGCGCTCGAGCGCCGACGACGAGCAGCGCCAGATCCTCGAGGAAATGGACATTCTGGACCCGGAGTCCGCCGACGACGACGGCCGCGCTCGCCGCAATCGTGCGCGCGGCCGCTTCTCCAAGCGGCTGTCGAGCCTCACCAGCAGCCTGTCGAGCCTGCACCTGCCGCGCCTGGCCTGGCCCCGCCGCCTGCGCCCGTCGTTTGCGCGCGTCACCGACGGCCTGCGCCCGTCGGTCGCCTTTGTCGCCAATCGCCTGCCCACCGTCCCCGACGAGTACAGGCCCGGGTGGAGCGTCATTGCGCGGCTGTGCGGGCTGCTCGTCATCGCCTCGCTCGTGTACATGCTGGTCGCGAGCGAGGTCGTGCCCATGGGCGGCGGGTTCGGCGCCCAGTTCAACGCCGAGTGGGTGCGCCACGAGGCCCAGAAGAACATTGAGGGCTGGCGCATCGAGAAGACGCTCGAGTACATGACCAGCTTCGACCACCTGGCCGCCACCGAGGGCAGTTACGTCCAGGGGCAGTGGATCGAGGGCAAGTTCAAGGACGCGCACATGGACACGTACACGCACGACGAGTACTGGGTGTATATGAACTACCCGCAGAAAAAGGCGGGCCGTAGCGTGGAGGTGGTCGAGGGCGAGGCCAAGGGCTGGAAGGCCAGCCTGGAGGAGCCGTCCGTGTACAAGCCGGCGCGCGCCCAGACGCCGGCCTTCCACGCCCTGTCGGCGGCAGGAAGCGTCCAGGGCCCGCTAATCTACGTCAACTACTGCGACACGAAGGACTTCAAGAGGCTGTGGGACAGCGGCGTCGACGTCCAGGGCGCCGTGGCACTGTGCAGGGAGTACGGGACACAGCCGGACCTGGCCATGAAGGTCAAAGCGGCGCAGGACGCGGGCGTCGTCGGCGTGCTCGTGTACTCGGACCCCGTCGAGGACGGTTTCACAAGAGGCACAACCTGGCCAAACGGCAAGTGGCGCCCCGAGACAAGCCTAAGACGTGCTTCGGTCGCCCTGTCCAACATGATCCTGGGCGACCCCCTCACGCCGGGCAAGCCGAGCTCGAAGAAGCAGGACCGCGTGCCAAAGGACAAGAACCCGGGTCTGCCCAGGATTCCCAGCTTGCCCCTGTCGTGGAAAGACGGGCAGAAGCTGCTCCAGTCTCTGGACGGCATTGGCGAAAAGCTGCCCGAGGATTGGAAAGGCGCGGTGCCAGACGTGAACTGGTTCTCCGGCCATCCTGACAAGTCGCCGCGAGTGAACCTCTCCAACCACCAAGACGAAGTCGAGCAGCAGCGCATCACCAACGTCTTCGGCTCCATCCGCGGCCTCGAGGACACAGCCCACAAGGTCATCATCGGCAACCACCGCGACTCGTTCTGCTTCGGTGCCGCGGACCCTGGCTCCGGCACCGCCATCATGCTCGAAGTCGTGCGCGTGCTGGGCGACCTGCGCGCCCAGGGCTGGCGGCCCATGCGCACGATTGAGTTTGCGTCTTGGGACGCCGGCGAGTACAACCACGCCGGCTCGACCGAGCACGTCGAAGCCAACGCCGACTCGCTGCGCGAGAACGCGCTCGCGTACATCAACATTGACGCCGCCGTCACCGGCGACAAGCTCTGGGCCAACGGCTCGCCCATCTTCACGCACGCCTGGCACCGCATCCTGGACCGCCTAAACGACCCGCGCATGGACAACAAGACGCTCAAGGAGCTGTGGGACGCGCAGGGCTCGCGCGTCGGCAACCTGGCCGCGGACCGCGACTCGGCCCCCTTCCAGTTCATCGCCGGCACGTCCAGTCTCGACTTTGGCTTCGGCGCCAAAGACACGCCCGCAAACCCCATGGCCGGCAGCTGCTACGAGACGTTTGACTGGATCGCGCAGCACATTGACCCTGGGTTTCTCTACCACCAGCTCCACGCGCAGCTGCTGGTCCTGCTCATCCTCGAGCTGAGCCAGGAGCCCATTGCACCGCTCCGCATCACAAACTATGCCGCGCATCTGCAGCAAGAGGGCCAGAAGCTGCTCGACGACACGGAGAAGGCGGGCGGCGACTACGACATCGCCATGTTTGAGCCGCTGGTGCAGAGCCTGAGCGCCCTCAAAGCCAAAGCAGACGAGTTCCACAAGTGGGAGACGTTCTGGTACAACCAGGTCTACGCCACGGGCGGCTTCGAGACGACGAGCGTCACCATGCAGCGCATCAACCACAACGCCAAGATGGGCCAGTTTGAGACGCTGCTGCTGGATCTGCCGACGGGCCCCACCGACACGAGTCCGCGAGGCGTGAGTTTCTGCCTAGTTCTGACGAGCGGGATTGTGCTAACGACGAGATTAGTTGCCTGGCCGCCAACAGTTCAAGCACGTCGTCTTCGCGCCGTCGCTGCACAACGCGCGCGAGAGCAGCGTGTTCCCGTTTGCACGCGACGCGCTCGAGAAGCTCGACTGGAAGCGCGCCAAGGACGCCATCAGGATGACGGCCGATTATTTGAACCGCGCCGGCGATGTGCTGGGGCCGGGCTAGCGTCGTCGTCTTGGTGGTGCTGTTTTGTTTTGCATAGACCGGCGTTTATGGCGCGAGAGGAAGACGCCTCACAGCATTGCGTCGTGCGTGTTTGTGCGTTTCTTGTAGCAGCGCCTAGTGTATATTCTCACACCTACTTTTTCCCCACAGGTCGCGCTCGGCACACCCGTGAACAGCGGCATGAGCCTCGATGCTAGTCCCTCTGCAGCAAGCCCTAAACCTCTTCCTCCCCTCTCTCCCTCTTTCTCTCTCCCCTCTCTCCCCCTACCTCTCTCTCCCCCTACCTATCTCTCCCCCTCCCTCTCTCTCCCCCTCCCTCTCTCTCCATCGCGAGTGAGCAATACGCGTCACACACCCGCCATCGCTCAAACCGAGCCTCCATTGATCCAGGACTGGACAAATGAAATTACAGCATGATGGCGAAAGCGCAAGCGACACCGCCAAGCCCGGTGAGCGAGCTAAAGTTCGTACGGTGGTAGAAACGCGTTGATGGAAAGGAGAGCTGCAAAGTCAAAGAATGATGCAAGGTGGTGCCGGCAGATCGGGCCTTTTTCCAAAGACACGTCCCAATTCGGTAATCGCAACAGTCAAACCTGTGGGTCCCGCGATCGCGCACGCTCTACAAACTGCGGAGCACACGTGCATCACCGCCGCGATAGTATAAAGAGACCTGACGCCCTGTCCGCAGCTATTTCCAAAAAGAAAACAAAACCACAGTCCTGCAAATTCAACTCCAACAATGGCAACAACAGCCACCTCCACGCCCGCATTCAAGCCCCTCGGCGAAGCACCGCGCGGCATCGACGACATCGCAGCGCAGGAACGCGCATCCACCCTCCCGTACTGGAACGCCACCGTCGCCTTCCAGCTCGGATGTGCGCTGCGCACGCGCCTGCTGGCCTTTGACGCACCGGCCGTCGTGCACATCTCCACCCTCAGCACGCCGCCGCACGTGCTGTTCCACTGCGTCACGCACGCGGGCACGGCGCTGGACAACGATTTCTGGGTCGCCCGCAAGCGGAACACGGTTATCCGGTGGCAGGCTAGCACGTGGCGGCTGCACAACAAGTTTGGCGGCGATGAGGACTTGTTCAGGGCAAAGTTTGGGCTGGGTGCGTCGGCGGGCGAGTATGCGATTCATGGCGGTGGAGTGCCGGTTTTTGTTAGCGGCGTGGAGGGCCCGGTTGCGGTTGTTGTTGTTAGTGGGTTGAAGCAGTGGGATGATCATCAGGTTGTTGTTGAAGGGCTGGCGGGGGTTTTGGCTGAGATGGAGGGGGGCGTTGCTGCGTAGAGTGGGTTTGGAAAGTAAAGAGAGATTCCATGAGTCGCGATTGCGAGACTGCGGACATTGGTCGCTGGTAAATGTCGCTCACTCGTCGGGTTACCACGTCGGCGCGATTGGATTTGTCTTGCAAAGCCCGTCGAGCGCTTCGACGACCGGAGCGACCGTGTCTGTAGGAGTCGGCCGTGATCGTTGTGCGACTGTGCTGTTGCTTTGCGGAACCGTGCGTCAGCCACCTTGGGGTCGTATGCCGCATCCGCGGTACCGACGGCGTGTGATGTCAAAAGCCCATTCGGTTTGGAAGACATTCTGTATCGATGGCTTCAAGGAGGATCTCCGTGGGAAGGTGGTTGCGTAGTTGTATGGCGTAGTCGTATGGCGTAGTTGTATGGCGTAGTCGTATGGCGTAGTTGTATGGCGTAGTTGTATGGCGTAGTTGTATGGCGTATTTGTATGGCGTATTTGTATGGCGTATTCGTATGGCGTAGTTGCATGTGGGCTCTACTCACTATACTCGACATCCGCCATGGTCCACACATCCCCAAGTACCTACTTAAGATGCACGCACGGCGCACGAAACATGGCGACTGCTTGGAGTTGCTTCATTTCACGTCCGAACATTCTGCTTCAGGCTGTGCAGTGTTCCGATGCTGATCAGCTCTCCTCCACGAAAAAAGACGGACTGGTTGCTGGAGTCCGAACGTCTTTTTTCTTGTTGGCGGGAGTTGTAGATGCTACAGACCAAGTCCTTGGGCACTGGGTGGAGTTATATAACAGCTTCAGACGGATGAGCGTCGGCTTTTGGCTGACAGCGGGCCAACACTGGATCTGATCAAAAGTGCTGTCAGCAGCCCATCAAGCTTGAGTTGTGCTCGAACAAGAAGCTGTACCAGACGTCCCTGAAAAATCAACATCCTGCGGACAGTGTCTTTCTGGGCCCGATTTGCTATTGTCGCTCTTCAGGGATGCGCCAGATCGACGACGCACTTCGCCGAGTGGGGAATACCTTATTATAGACATGTCGATAGGATGCATCGTCACAACTGCGATCGTTTCAAGAATTCGTTTCGCTGGTGACTCTGCCTTGGACGCGAGAGCGAGATTTTGGCGCCACCACCGGATCAGTTAGTTCGGATCGGTTGTCGCTCCCGCTCCCCGAAAGTCCGCCAGGCCTCCTATTTTCATGCCTCTCGCCCTCACCGAACAAATGGCAGAATGAACAGGATACGTACGTCGGTCTAGCTTCTGCAGCGCGCCTTAACTAGCCTCTGTGGGAGATTAAAAGCTTGCGGCTTTGGGCCCTTGAGCTTGCGACAACCGACTTTTGCAAGACGCCACCAAGTTCGTCGTACGACATCGTGCCACTTTCGCCTAGATCGCAACGGCATCGGCTCGCTACGGTTGCCACGGTCCAGCCTTGCCTATCATGATTTCGAATCTAGCATGCTACCTCAGCTCTTTCAACTCCCCAGCGAAGTGACATCCACATATGCCAGGAAGGCACCGTAGATACGCCGGGACGTCTCATGTTGGGCAGTTGCAATAAGCTTTGCTTGTAATTGAGTGGTTACGATGCTCCGCGCACGGTCAATGCCTTGTATGGACTTTGTGAGATGTTCGCCGACCACGCGACACCAGATGCTCGAGTCCCGGTCTCGATCATCCCAGCAGACGACATTTGATTCTCCGACTTGGCTGTATTTCAATTGAGATCTGGGAGATCTCAATCAGCCGCTAGGAGGGATACGAGACGCTGGAAGCTTTTGATGTGTTCCCTGTCAATAAAGCTTCCGACGCCATGAGACCACTGCAAGCATTTGAACTTCTAGCTCTAAATGCCCTTGACTAGCAACAGTGGACGGCAAGGGAAATGCAAGACGGGTCGAGTGACGAACAAGAACAAAAGCTGCCCAACTCTAGGCGGAAACATTCAGCTCCCTTGATCATCATCATCATCATCATCATCTTCTTCTTCCTCTTCTTCTTCGTCTTCGTCTTCTTCGTCTTCTTCTTCATCACCATACTCTTCTTTTATACCCCATTTTTACAGCATAGCCATGGCACCCACACGAAAGGAGACAACCATCGAGTTGTGCAAGCGCGTCAACGCGCAAGGGAACACCGTCTCTATCCGCATGCTCGAGTATCTCAGTTCCTCGACAGAACCGGTACGCGGATTCTTTCCATTAGCCACAGCATTCCTCGACTTGGCACGTTTGGTCTGGTCAATCGAAGCAGGGATCAACGAGTCGTTTAAGACGCGCAAGACCTACCCAGTTGAGATCACACAACAGCTGGACACTCGGTTCCGCCATGTCTACGATGAGTTCGTCGTTCTCGGACAGATGGTCGCGAAGTTCATCGACAACGATAATGGCAAGGGCGGCCTAGGAAAGCGTATGCGCATGATGTTTGCCGACTCTGAAGTTGACAAGGTGCGAATGACGCTCCTGAGAAGCAGCGAATCCCTCAAGATGAGCTCTGCGATCTTCCGATGGACGATAGGGGACGATCACGCTGATGAGACGATGGCCATTGGATACGCCGGACTCATTGCTGCTCTTGAGCGCCTCAACCCAAAGAAAACGACCGCACCAACTCCTCGCCGCACCGCACCACCTCCTTCCACACCACCTCCGCTACCTCCATCGAAGGGTAGTCACAGTCAGTCAGAGACACTTCTTCCCCCTCCATGTTTGACCAGTAGGCCATCTCTTAGTGACCTCCGGCCTACAGCGAGCGATCTATCCAACACGAATGGGATGCGACCTACATTGAGCGACATAGATCTGCGGCATGAGGAGCTTCGGATGTCGCCAGACGTTGCATACCCACACAACGAATGGAGAGCGCCTAGTGTACACTCCGGTGGCTCTGTCCGTGACACAATACACTCGGCCTCAGCAAGAACATACGACAGACAAAGCCACAACCACCAGATGCCCTACGAAGAACCAGCTTGGTCTGCACGAATGCCACTAAGGGAACAAGGCCACAACCTCGGCGTACAAGAGCAGCGATACCCACACGATAGCTTTATGTCACATGCACAAATAGACTCTCCTACCTTACACAGTAGAGCGACGCATCGCTCAGGAAGTCCGCGAACCTTTGGTGGGAAGGAGGGCGTGGTGATGGCTGTCAGACAGGGACAGTACCGAGTGGTTGAGCAGCTGCTTGCGAGCGGTGTGAAGCTTGACAGCGTCACTCAGGCTGGCCTACTACGTATTGCTATCGATAACAGAGATGCGGATACGACTTCCGTCCTCATGCACTACGGGGCAGATGCGAATGGCTCTGATGGCGATGGTATGAGTCCACTATTCGCCGCTACACAAGCTGCGTCTGTAGCCTGTGCCAGAGTATTGCTCAAAAATGGCGCCGACGCCAACTTCAAGGACAGCGAGGGTACCACAGCGCTGTTCAAAGCTATACAGGCTGGCCGTACAGACGTCATGGCAGCCCTTTTAGACAACGGAGCAAACCCCAATCTGCCATGCCCCAAGCACCCGTTGTGGCCATCATGCTACCATCCTGAAGCGCTTGCTTTGCTGTTGTCGCGAGGAGCCGACCACAGGCGTACGCCTGGTATCATGGAGCTCGCAGCCAGTCTCAAGAAGCTGGAGTCAGTCAAGGTTCTCATCGACGCAGGCGTCTCACCAAACGTCCGCAAGGATGGCTCCTACACTCCTCTCGCGTCTGCTATCCGCGACAACAGCGCCGACATCGTAACATACCTGCTTGAGCACGGCGCCGACCCCAACTTCAAAGCCGTCGAGTTTCCAACCTTCAAATGCATCACCCACAAACGCACACACTTCCTCCCGCAGCTAGTAGCTGCAGGTGCAGACCTGCACACACCCAAGGGCATTATCGAGACCGCCGTCTTCCACAAGGACAAAGACGCTCTTCTCTACTTGCTCGACCAAGGCGTCAACCCCAACGACCGCTGCCCCGAAGGCGGCAAAACAGCCCTCACAACCGCAATCCGCGAAAACAGCCTGGAGTTTGTCGATCTCCTGCTGAATCACGGCGCCAACCCGGCTGTCCGCGGCCAAGACTGGCCCTTGTGCATGGCAGTCAGAAACCCCATCGTGTTGAAACGCCTTCTCGCTGTCCCGGGCATCAACCCTCGCGCCTTCCGCGGCTGCGTAGAGATGGCTGTGCACGCAGGCCAGCTCGAGTCCGTCAAGTTGCTGCTAGGCGCAGGCGTGAGCGTCGAGGATAAGAACTGCGGCGTGTTTTCTCCACTCACAACTGCGATCCGCGAGGGGCATAAGAGTATCGTGCGATACTTGCTGGACGAGGCGAGCGCGGATCCGAATGCACCTGGCGAGCATCTGCCGCTTGTGAAAGCGCTGAGAAGCTATGACGGACATGACACAGAAGTCATACAGATGCTGTTGAGCAGGGGCGCGGATATCAATCATATGCACCGCGGGTGGAATCCCGTTCTTCAAGCGGTGGAGAACAGTGATACTGAGATACTGCGGCTTCTTGTTAGTCTCGGTGGACCGGTGGATTTGCAGGCTGTGGATGAGACGGGCCGACCGGTCATTGATATCGTTGGAGATCGGGATTGGGAGGAGGGTCTTGCGTTGCTGTTTCCCAAGTCCTCGAGCCCGAGAGGTAGATCGTGAGTCTTACCCGCCCGATATCGCTGTCCGTCCACTGACGTACAACAGACAACCGACGTTGAAGATGTTTCCTTCTTGAAAAAAGAAGATGGCGCAGAGCAACGCGCGCGTTTTAAAGTTCTCATGTGCAGCCCAAGTCAAAGGTATTTTCTATTTGTCCAGCAAATGGCTCTACGTGGTCTCCAATGTCAGGAGGGTTTTTGGGTACCAGCTTTGCACCAGGCAGAGTCTTTCCGCTTATTTCACATGCATCTCCTTTGTTCAAGATGGATCATGCGAGCATACCGCCTCACATGTACGAACTCTGCTGTGGCTTTGCCACCTTCTTCTCTCCAGCCCAGTAATACAGCTTTTCCCACCCAACTCCGTTCCTTGCAGCATCCGGAACAGGAAAGAATCCCAACTTCACCACGCCGTCTACCTTCACCATCCTCGCGCAGAACCGCCCCGTATTTAGACAAGTATCACATGTCATCTCCTTATTACCCTCTGCTATCTTCCGCTTGCTGGGCTCGTTCCTGCGCCAATACGTCACGTTCCCCACACACACATCGCGGTACCGGTAAGTCTCTCGACTGCGAAGCATGCGCGCGTAGTCAGCGACGTGGCCTGGCTTCTGGAGGTAATCGGTGCTGAATTTGCATTTGAAGAGAACCTGTGCAGTGTTGGGAAATTCGGAGAAAAGGCGCCAATATCCGACTTCCTCACTGACTTGGACCCAAAATACCCACTCGACAGGTGGAAGCTGCGCAACCTGATCCGTTGTAGTTTCGGAAGCTGGTTCTGCAGCGTTCGAAACTACGACTGGCTGTGACAGTCTTGATTTCTTCGACGCCCGGGTTGGCTCTGATGAGCTACTTTGCTTCGACGGATTCGTCACCTTTGGCGGCCCTGTTGGCTTCGCAGGCTTCCGTGTATCGTGCATCAATTCGTCTTCTGACGACTCTTCCGCAACGACTGCCGAGTTCAGTGCTGCAGACTCTAGTTCGCCATCCTCCCACGATACAGTGGCAGCGCGAGACTGAAGCTGCGAAACGTGTTGTAGAGGTCGGCGAGTGCGATTGGGTATGGGAATGACCGCTTCGGGTTGAACTTTACGTTGTCCATCGGTGGACGGTACGCGTCGGTCTTTGGAGAAGTCAGCACGGGTCAAGCGCTTTCGATGGACATGGGGCTATCACTACGCCTCTTATTACTGGCTATCGCCACGCTAGCAGTCGAGGGCGTTGTATTTTCCGCTCTTAGTTGGCTGATGACCTGTGAGGTAACAACAGAGCTTTTTCTGGTATCGTTTGAAAAGAGTATCAGAAGCGTCTTAGTCAGCCCCTCATCGCGGATTTGCTGGATAAGACTGTCACGTTGTTTCACGAGCACATGCTCGCTTGACAGGAAGACCAAAGCTTTCTTGTATACTTTTACGTTGTCCGACATATCTCGAAGAAAAAGATCGGGATGGGGGCGGTATCTAAGAATATAGTGCAGTTAGAAGATGAAGAGGGCGAGGTACCATGAGAGGGAAAAAAGTTGGGGATCAGGCTGAGACTCACACGCGCTGTCGCGTAATCACATGATCTGCATGGTGATCCTAAAGGAGGCGGCCCGGCCAATCGATGCTGCGCCGCATTTGTGGCTTACATGGATATATCTTGTGGCACATACAGCGGTGAGAGCGTACCTTGACGAATTGGGGGGAAATTATCTAGATCGATGAAGCTATTGGACAGTGGTGCTATGGGGAAGCTCCGGGTGATCACAGGCTCGAAGGCAAATTATCGTGGTAAGATTTAATGCTCACGAGCAAGGGGCATAGTACGCCTAAGCGGTTCTTCTATAGCTCGTCTTCTCACGAGATGCTCATGAGTGAAACATCGAGTATCTCAAGTAGCTCGGCCGTTTAAGGTGGCCATGAAGGGGCTACATGTGCCATGGACGTTTGCCAAGTTCACGGCATGTAGAATGCCGACAACGGAATGTTGAGGAAGCCTTTGATCCACGGGGCGCCTGTCAACCTGGAAGTGATGTTAGCCGAGAGTTTCCTGAGCTACGAGGCCGATTGGTCTTGTTGATACCGGAGAGTGGGCTGAGGCAGCTCACCGGTTCGATATCCCCCCCTGGACAACATAAGCCACGATTACGATTGACGCGAAGAGCGCCGTGGTTGGAATCCATCAAATCTTACATCCATCTCATCGATGTTTATCGCCCATGCTAGAAAGAAAAAAGAGGGGGATGACCAAAAAAAGCCTCCAAGGTTTAGATATATCCTTTCAAATTCAGCCAAATACCCATGTCCATCTTATCCTCCATGGTTACTCTTACAGCCAGAAGATCTTTGCTCAAAACCGCATGGGAGGAGAGTTTAGATACTGCTCCCACAACTAGCAGCAGCACCGTTCTAAACTGCGCCCTGACAACTTTCGAGCTCTTCGCTTCGATACCTTGGGGAAAGGCCCCTTGAACGCCTCCCATGCATCTCGAACTGAAGTAGGATCCAGAGAGCGTATCAGACCATGATGACAGGGGATGCACTTCGAGACCGAGCTCTCATTCCGTCTGTAAATGTTTTTACCTTCCGATTCCCGTTCATTGCTGAGGTTATGACGCAGCGAGCGACAGCGGAACGTGGGACTGTGGTTCCATCAGCGCCATGTCTGTGAAAGCATTACTGAGGCCTGTTGACGCCACCGAGGAGAAAGCTCACTACGGTTGTCAGGAGTAGATTGCAAAGCATCGTCTCCAAGAGCGACAACTTCACCACACTGATCGATGAGAGTTCGGAAGTAATATCGACAGGACCGGTTGTACAGCGTTTCTCATGCAAGTGATTCATGTTGCGTGGCAGGGATCAAGAGCAGCGCTGACGCTGAGGTGTCCAGCCGCGGCGCGAGCCGGAGCGCCTCAAGGACGAGCGTCGCCGATTTGAGACCTGATTCTACCCAGGGGAACAGTTGAGATACTTCAAGTTCGAGATGTGTGCGGTGCAAAGTAAACACAGAGACCGGTGCATCCATTTCTAGACGTACAGAGTCTTGCAAGTACGAATAAAATGCCGCTGAAATGCGCTGCAGACCACCCATCACACCGTTCGCCGTCCAATGCTTTTGATTCCGATCCTTACTTCTTGCCCTTCCCCTTCGTCTTACTCCTAGTCGATTTACTAGGGGGCGCCTCTTCGTTGACCTCCACCATCTTCTGCGTCGGCAGGTCCTCCTCGTTGACATCCTCACCCTCGTCCTCATCTTCCGCATCCCTCACCATCTCTCGCGCCTTCGCCGTACGCTCAGCGTCCCAGTTCTGCACTAAATTCGCGACTTCCTCATGCGGTTTCTCCTTGCCGTTCCAAGCCTTGCATCCGCCACATCTCCACTTGCCGATGTCTTCGACCGTGCGGGCGCCGGGCGGGGCTTGGCCGTTCACAAGTCTGCATTCGGAGCAGATCAGAACAAGGCGGTTTTTGGGCTGGGTCTCGTCTTCGCCCAAGAGGGCATCGAGGATACGGTCGTACCAGTGGGATTGTGTGAATGAGGTCGCGGGCGTGGAGGAGTATTGCTTTGTTGCGTCGACGGGTCCGAAGGCGTTCGGTGCGAACTCGGCGCTCGGCGAGGGTAGTTGCGGGTGCCCCGGAGGCGATACAGGGACGGGAGGTGCACGTTCCGGTGTCGACGGGTTTTGCGATTGGTTTTGCGGTCGCTGTATGTTCGCTGTCGGCGGGGGCGCAATGCCTGTGCGTGGGCCTTGTGGTTGCGGCGCTCTCTGGGGGCCTTGCGCTTTCTTGTTGTTCGACGCGGTTTGCGGCATCTCCTGCTTGGGTGAAGCACCGTACTTCTCAAGCAGCTGCTGAGTCGAGTTGTACTTGGTAGCTTCTTTCAGTCTGTTAATCGTGGCATCGCGCTCCTTATTCAGCTTGGCGATGTAGGCGGTAGTGTTGGAGATACGGTAGTCAAAGTAGCTTGTCAGCGCGTAGCGGACAAGGTAGATGCTGCGCGACATTAATGGCAGCTCCAAAGGTACCGAAGATGACCTACACAACAGGACTGCCCGCTATAACCGAGACCTCCACCACTCCCCAATTCTGGCGACCAGTGACCAGGACGAGGAGCAACGCTGCGAGAATGTATGCGAATCCAGCGTACAGCGTCCACATCACACGAGCGCGTCTCGAGGCTCGGCGACGCTTGTCATTGACCGCGGTAGCTCTGTTGATTTTGGCGGTGAGAGCTGAGAGTGCTTTCTCAAACGAGGCAGCATCTTCGCCCGCCTGTTGCCGTCAGCATGCACCTATCGTAAAATGTGTTCGTGTGACTTGCCCTCCACGGCCACAGAGACACCATGGTTGCGGAAGCAAATGTGTAGAGTTTGCAGCCCAGGGCGGGGGCGTGTTGTGTTCAAAGTTGCCAGCAAGACATGCGTCGCGTGTGGAGAGCTGCTGCGACGTCAGCGATCGACATTGATCCCTGCATTTCCGCTGTCACGTGCCGTACTTTCTTTCCGCGACTTCGCGGTTCGCCGCTGCCGTTGCTGCTGCGACTCCAACCCACGATTCAGTCCAATGTCCCGCGAAATGGCCCTTGTAGCATACAGGAATCTGCTGCGATCAGCGCGCATCGCTTTCCAAGGTACATTGTCGGTGGCGTCATCCTCCAAACGCCGTCAACTCACGCCATGCTAGGAGATGCGAACGTCCTCTCCGCGGCGCGCATTGAGGTCCGCAAGAACTTCGAGAGCAATCGCCACCTCCAGACCGGAACCGAGGAATTCCAGAAGTCGATTACACATGCCAATGAAGTGGCCAAGTTCCTGAAAGAGAACGTCGTCCAGGGAGAAGCCACGGAGGGAGACAACTACAGTATGGCACATGGTGCATTGAGGTAGTGGAGCTCATGCTAACGCCACACAGAGATCCGGATACACGAGCACACCGAGCGCGGAGACAACGAGGACATCAAGAAAAACAAGGGCAAGAGTACATTAGGGGGAACAAAGTGCTGCTCCGCTTAAACTTTTCTTCAGCTCGCAATGTGATACCCATGCTGTCCATAACGCCGATCCAATGCTGTATAATGATACACCCTAGTTGCCTGCCAGACTGGGATAGCTGGCTTCAGCATCATCTGATGGTGGAGGCGCGAGAGCCAGGCTGTCCAGGTCGTTCTGCTTGGGTGCTTCGAGTGCAGCCTGCGCCGCTGCTCGTCGCGCTGGACCAGCTGCTTGTCTGCCCTCCTTCGCATACTGCATCCTAATGTTTTGGTCCAAACTGTCCAGTTGTTTCGGCTTGCCCCAAGAAACCCGCATGGGACATCCTTTGATGACCACCTTGCCCTTCAATGTCTCCGCCGCAGTCTCTGCATCCTTCCTTTTCACATAGTTGACGTACGCGCAATGAGCTCGATGGGAGCACACGAGCGATCGCAGCTGGCCGTACTGTGCAAAGTGGGTCCGAAGCTCGTGTTCAGGCAGATCGTCCTCGACACCGGTAACGAAAAGAGACGCAACATTCGGGTCTGATGGTGGCAGCCAATCCTGCGGGTTGGGCTGTGCTGAAAATCCTCCAGCGCGCCCGCCTCTTGCAGGCCGCATGCTTCCTCGCGCAGCGCTGGCGCCGCCTCTCGAATCGCGTGTCCTGATTGGACCTCCTGTATGCCCATATGCAGAACCTCCGCCTGTGCCCGGTGCTGGAAGCGCCTTTTGCCCGCCTTCTTCGGCGTCTGCTTCCAGACGTCGCTGCTTCTTGTGGTAGGGTTCGCTTTGCGCCAGTCGCCTCAGCAGGTCGCGCGCTTTCTCATCTGTCTTCTCGTATGCCTCCATGGCTCCTCTTCCCTCTTCAATCTCTCTCTCGTGCTCTTGCGCATAGTATTGTCGGTTGATGTCGCTCTGCGGCCCAGGCGCCACCATCTTGAGCGCTGCATCACGGACGACGAGGGGCAGCCCGAATGAAAGATCCAGCATGCAGCACTGACAGCAGTTCTTCAGACGCGCACATGTCAGGCAGATGTTGGTGCGCTTCTGTCGCGCTGTGCGGTCGGCTTTCCAGCGGAAGATTGTGAAGGGTCGCGTGCAGATCTTGCATTCCTGTACAGTGTCAGCAAACGCGCACGAGATGACAGCGAGAGACGATGCTTACAGCGCCATGGTCCTCCTTCAGCATCTGCACGTACGGGTTGTCGGGCAGACATTTCTCGCAGACAGACGGGAAGTCGGTCGTCTCCCACCCGCTGCGGTTCAGATCGGTCTTGATCTGGGGCGGCATGGTGACTGCGGTGATTTGACTCGAGAAGTGTAGTCGGCGAGCGTATGACCAGCCGTGGAGCTCGTGTGGGTGGGTCTTGCGCCTGAGCGACTATGTCGAGCCTTGCTGTTGCGACAGAGGCAGTGCCGTTGTGGGCGTCGCGATGTTGCGCCAGACGCCAACCCAGGAACTGTTGTCGGGTTTGGTTGCGGGCGAATCGGCAGTGTTGCAGTACGCGCAAGTGGGGCGGCGCAGGAGCAGTGAAGGTGTTTCCGTGGGGTGGTGCAATGACGGCGGAAGGCTCAAGGAATCTCTAGCTTGTCAGGGTGGCACCCTCTAGCGCGGCCGTAGAGAGGCTGCTGTGATTGGCTCCAACCCTCGCCGCCAGGGATCATTTGGTGCTAGTAATTTGTTACTACCTGCGGTGAGTTAGGGGGGAGTAGGAATCTCCTGTACCGCTATTTCGCATAAGAAACACGGTCGTCCGGTTCTTTGGCCTTTCCACCTCGTCAATTGACACTGCTTCAACACAGTCCCGTCGTTTCTATATCTAATAGTTACTTTCGTCCGCCGCCACCATGTCTCCCACTGCGCTTGAACAGGAGGACCACAGCCGTGATGCCGCCTTCAACAAGGCCATGCACGGCACCTCGGCGAAGGCGCGCGGCGGTATGGCTGCCATGCTGCAGAAGGACAAGGGTGCGCAGCAGGCTGCCGTGGACGAGTACTTCAAGCACTGGGACAACAAGGCCGCCGCCGACGAGACCGAGGAGACACGAAAGGTGCGTCGCGTGAGAGACCAAGTAGCGGTGACGGCAACTGACATGCGCAGGAACGACGAGACGAGTACGCCACCCTGACCAGGCACTACTACAACCTGGCGACCGACCTGTACGAGTACGGCTGGGGACAGTCGTTCCACTTCTGCCGTTATGCGTACGGCGAGTCCTTCTACCGCGCCATTGCCCGCCACGAGCACTACCTTGCCCACAAGATGCAACTCCAGGACAACATGCGCGTCCTGGACGTCGGCTGCGGTGTCGGTGGCCCTGCCCGTGAGATTGTCAAGTTTGCCGGCGTCAATGTTGTCGGCCTCAACAACAACGACTACCAGATCGAGCGTGCCACAGCATATGCCGAGAAGGAGGGCCTGTCAGACAAGCTGTCCTTCACCAAGGGTGATTTCATGGTACGTGCTGCCGCTGCGGCTTCGAGACCCTGGCGCTGACAAAATCACCAGCAAATGTCGTTCCCTGACAACTCGTTCGACGCTGTCTACGCCATCGAGGCTACTGTCCACGCCCCATCCCTAGAGGGCATCTACAGCGAGATCTTCCGCGTGCTGAAGCCTGGCGGTGTCTTCGGTGTGTACGAGTGGCTGATGACGGACAAGTACGACAACGACAACCCCCACCACCGCGAGATCCGTCTTGGTATCGAGATCGGTGATGGCATCTCCAACATGGAGAAGATCGAGGTTGCTCTTGCGGCCATGAAGGCTGCCGGGTTCGTCATGGAGCACCACGAGGATCTCGCTGACCGCGACGACCCCTACCCCTGGTACTGGCCTCTGTCTGGCCAGCTCAAGTACATTAGCACCATTGGCGACATCCCCACCATCCTTCGCATGACCAAGGTTGGCCGTGGTCTTGTCCACAGGTTCGTCGGTGCTCTCGAGACGATCGGTCTGGCACCCAGGGGTACCCAGAAGACGGCAGACAGCCTTGCGCTCGCCGCCGACTGCCTGGTCGCTGGTGGTCGCGAGAAGCTCTTCACGCCCATGTACCTCATGGTCGGCCGCAAGCCCGCTGATGCGTAAGCGCGTTGGACTCTTTACATTCTTGCCGCATGTTGTTCTCTAGACCATTTTGCATCGAGGCCTGTTTCGCCTCGACTTCGCTTCTACGAGCACCGTCTCCAGCCTTGTACCAAGCGTCGCAAAAGGCGCGTTATATATGCATGTAATATCTATAGAGTCTAGGGGGGTAATGAGAACGCGATTTATGGCCATGACGGCAGCTTCCAGCAACCATGCCAGACCAATGTGTTTATGTGAGGAGTGTCTATGGCCATGACGGCAGCTCGCAGCAACCATGCCAGACCAATGTGTTTAT